CCCCGTCTTCTCCCTCCCCCCTCCTTCTCCGCCGCGATCTTTTTTTTCCCCTTCGGATTTTTTTCTCCCTCCGGCTCCATCCTTCTCATTCCCTTCTCTTGTGTCCGTTACGTTCCTTTCGGATAATTTTCTTGCTAGCGGCGGCAAGACATGGCTGACCAGAATGAAATCGATCTGGATTCCATCATTGATCGGCTGTTGGAAGTGAGGGGTAGTCGACCTGGAAAGCAGGTTCAATTACTCGAGTCTGAAATTCGCCATCTCTGCACCAAGGCGAGGGAGATTTTCATCTCTCAACCTATACTTTTAGAGCTTGAAGCCCCCATAAAGGTTGGTTTCTGACCATTTCTAATATTCTTGCCCTATAATTTTTATTTTTATTTTTATTTTTATTTTTTGGCTTTTCGTATCAATCTTGATAATATGGGTGGCGGTAGCCTTTGCCGGTGGGGGCGAGACACTTATTTCTCAAGCCGTTCCTATCTCGCCATGCAATTTAATAGTACATATGGCTAATTCACCCGATGAGCAACAAGTAGATATGCGGCGATATTCACGGACAATACTACGATCTCCTGCGTTTGTTTGAATACGGCGGATTCCCTCCTGAAGCTAACTACCTCTTCCTTGGAGACTACGTAGATAGAGGTAAACAGTCGCTCGAGACGATCTGTCTCCTTTTGGCATACAAAATCAAATATCCAGAAAACTTCTTCATCCTCCGCGGGAACCATGAGTGCGCGTCGATCAACCGTATCTACGGTTTCTACGATGAATGTAAACGGAGATACAACATCAAGCTGTGGAAGACGTTCACTGACTGCTTCAATTGTCTGCCAATCGCTGCTATAATTGACGAAAAAATCTTCACCATGCACGGTGGTCTAAGTCCCGACTTAAACTCTATGGAGCAGATCCGCCGGGTAATGCGTCCTACTGATGTAAGTGTTCGAATTTTACATCGACCCCTCCCCTTTGCACAATTTAACATCAGTAAAATCATGGGGCTTCTTGCAGCAGAAGTCTCCGAGCTCTGCGAGGCTCAGGATCCGCTGACCAATATAGATTCCTGACTGCGGTCTTCTCTGCGATCTTCTGTGGTCCGATCCAGATAAGGATATAACTGGGTGGAGCGAAAATGATAGAGGCGTGTCATTCACGTTCGGACCTGACGTCGTTTCACGATTCCTACAAAAGCACGATATGGACCTTATATGTCGTGCCCATCAGGTTGTCGAGGACGGCTATGAGTTTTTCTCGAAACGACAGTTGGTCACACTCTTTAGCGCGCCCAACTATTGTGGAGAATTCGACAACGCAGGAGCCATGATGAGCGTTGATGAGAGCCTGTTATGTTCCTTCCAGGTAAGATGGCTCCTGTTTATATCACGGCATCGCAGCCCGCGCACAAAAAAAAAAAATCATAAGAAATTACCCAAAATAGCTAACACCAACTTTCCCCCTCGCAGATCCTGAAACCAGCCGAAAAGAAACAAAAGTACGTCTACGGTGGCATGAGCAGTGGCAGACCCATCACTCCTCCTAGGAAACAAAAGAAGAAGTGAGAAAGAAATCATACGAGCTTTTCCATTTGTAGCAGGTTCGGGCGGAGATAAGAACTCTAGTCAAAACTTCCCACCTCGATATAACAAAAACACGCACGTGCACGAGAGATGGATAACCTGGAGAATGGCATCAGAAAACGAGCCGGCCAATCCGCCTCCCTCACATTCAAACACGACCAAGCGACATCAGTAATAATAGTAACAGCATGCATGAGCCGCCTTCTTCCCCGCCTCCTTTCCTTTTGCCTCGATTTCTTTTAAGAACCAGCTTAACCGACATGAAACTGAGTATTGGACTTCTTAAATGGCCTTTTTCTTGATTTTTCTTGTACGCTCCTCTGGTTTTGTTTTGTTTTGTTTTTTATTTTTTTTGTTTTCTTTTTTCTCTTCAGTAATAGGTCTTGAATTACTTTATTCGGTAACTTGATTTTCCCTTTTTTCCCACTTTTCCTTAAAACTCATATGTAGCTGATAATAATCAACCCTGCCGACAATCGCCGTCGTCGTCTTAAAATATTCTTGTTCTAGTTTTCCTCTCCATCCCTCCTTCTCTTATCTACTCTCTCCTCTCTCTCTCTCTCCGCACGTGCGCGAGTTTCAAATATTCCCATTCTGTCCTCTTTCGCCTCACTTTGCCTTCCTTTGCTTTCTCTCCCTTTTGTAGCGAGAAAGCAAGGGAGAGGAGAGAGAGAGAGAACGAGCGTGTTGGGTGTATTTTGGCCGCGTTCCCTCCCGCTTTCCGTTCCGCGCACATGGCCCCCCTATCCAAAGGAGAAGGGACCTTTCTCTCCCGGCACCCACAGCGTGTTTTTGGTGGTATTCGAGGTGTCAAATGAGCAAAGCAAAAAATGCCAAAACAAAATGGACAAGCTGATTGATTTTGTTCCTTCGTCTCCTCAACCCCCCCCCCCCCCCCAATTCTATTCTGCTCCGCTTTATATTTTGTTTGCGTTTCTCTATTCTACCTCTTCCCTTCTCTTCCCCTTGTTTGTTATTCCATTTTTTCCTTGTTTCAATCTTTAATTTTTATAACATTCAATTTAAAGTTTTTGTTCTTTTTTTTATATTACTCTTTTTTTCCCTTCCCCTTTAGTTGTTGTATCTGTACCATTCGATATACGGAAATGCACCAAAAAAAAAACAAACAAACAAGAAGTGCCTTTTTTTTTTTTTTTTTTTTTGGTTTTTTTTTTTCCCCCTTCAGAATTGCTAGGCTTTGTGAAGACCTTATTTTTCATTTCTTGCTTGTTTTTTACATCGTTGCTTTGGATTTTGGGTCTTTGAGCTGATATTAGGGGGCGGCGGTGGTTTGTGGAATCACTCTATTATGTATCGACAGAACGGCTCTGAGCAGGCAGGCCAGGGAGATGATAGATACACACGGTGCTTTATTACCTTGTTAAATCCTATAAAAAGATTATTGTTATTTTTTTCTCTGTCTTCCCAACGAACCCATTCTTTTCAACCCTTCCCCCCCCCAAAAAAAAAACCAAACCTAAAAAGTAGCTATTTACAAAACCATGTAGCAGAGAATGGGCGATCTTGCCGATTCCAAGCTGCCGCGCATGTCCATTTTCCATGGAACGGAGTGGAACGGGCCTGGAGAGGCAGGCTCGGGCTAAGGTTGGGGGGTTGGAGGGCGAAGGGCGAAAGGCCGACGATATGTATGATACGTCCATGGACCCCATGGACGAAAGCTACCATTACTAATTTTCTCTTTTTCTTGCGCAGGTCTGGAATGGGTATGTGGCATCGAAACGGCGTCCCGGCCCCTGGGGAAGAGAGAGGAGGGGGGAAGGATGGAACGAAACTATAAAAGCCCGGAAAAGGCACTTGTGATTTTTAGAACCAAATAGAAGTCGGGTTTCTACTGCATGTTTTGATTTATTGATTCATTAAGTAGGTAAAGAGGTGGAGTAGGAAACGGACGATTGTGGACTTAATTGTATATCACTACTAGTAAGTAGGTTAGCTAGCTAATGATAAGGTGTGAAACATGGGGAACAAAAAATAGAGGAGCTGTTTGTCGCGAGACTTTTGAGACGTAGAAAGTACTGTACATGTGAAGAAGGTTTCTGTGTTTTTATTTTCTTTCTGTACTGGAAGCCTAACGACATTGGGTCGGGTGGAGAGCGAAGAAATGGGAACCGCCAATTTGTGGATCGATGAGATGGTTTGATTGCGTGATTAATTTATCTGGAGTTGGGGAGGAGTGGGAGAAAGGACATTTTCCCGAAATTTATATTTTTTCTTGCCATATCCAACAGACCAGGGAGAGCAGGAGAACGGGGGAAAGGAGGAGGGCACGGGGAAACCCGAAGGTTTGATTTAGTGATTTAGAGAAATAAGAAAATGAAAAATGGGCTGAGGGGAAAAAACACACAAGATGTGCAAACTTGACGGACGCAGGACGAGCAGGGGAAACAGGTAAATGACAAGATAAGATAAGATGATTATAATCCAGGCGCGTAAGTCTTTTTTTTGGCATTTCAGACATATTGAGACATCCATCTGATGCCTTCGCCGTAGCCTATTGAGAAAGAATGAAAAATGAGCTTAGCTACGGAACTGGCTTTGCTTTCGGCAGAAAAGGAGGAGGGGTGGGGAGAGGGAGGAACAAGCTCATGGTTTGCAACATACCTTGTCGCATCACCACACTGCACATAAACAATTCAATAGGCCGGATACCCTCCAAAGGCACCTTCCCCTTGCCGGTGGTCTGGTAGAGGCCCATTTGGTGGCGGAGCTCATCCTCAGGTACAGCTTCTGGATGATCGATCTTGTTACCGAGGATGAGGAAGGGGACCTTGGCAAGCTCTTCCATAGCTAGGAGCGCGCTCAGCTCCGCCCTGGCTTCGGGGAAACGGTCGGGATCCTTGGCGTCGATGAGGAAGACGATGCCGCTTACTTCGGGGAAGTAATCTTTCCAGAGGCGACGGGCTGTGGAGAACGTACGTGTTAAGTTAGTGAGTGGTGGTGGGAAAAGAGACGGCTAATGCATGTATAAAGGAGGAACAGGAGTTATCACCTTGCATATGACCACCGAGATCGAATGTTGTGAATCTGTTGTTACCAATAGCTAGTTCTTCGGATGTGGGATGTGCGGTGGGCTGCAGAATGGCGACTCGATCATTCTATGGAAAAGAGATTTGTTAGCAAATGGCAATGACTCTATGCAAACAGCCCCTGGCGAGCCATCCAACTTCCATCTTACTCAAATACCGCCAGAGAATATAAAACCTAACGATGCGTCTCTTCGATAGCCACAGAAACCACCCCCGATGTCAAAAGTATAACTTTGTTCTTCGTTTTCTCCTAGGAAACAAAACGAAGAGAAAAAGAAAAAAGTGAGGATGAAAAAAGCACGAAACCCGCCGATCCCACTAACAAAACCAAATATATATATAAAATGTGTAAAGCTCAACCCACCTTCAACATATGCAGCAGCGTAGTTTTTCCTGCATTGTCTAGACCGAGGAAGAGGAGCTTGGCATGCTTGTTCAGCAGCCCGAGGGAGGCGAGGATGTCATAGACTATATATAAACCTCATAGATCATGTCAGTTATCTATCAACATCCCTTCATATACACATCCATAGGCGCAAAATATTGGCACTACGCAGGCTCCCAGGCGGCTCGTTTCCAGTTTTCTGTTATTTTGTGTGAAGCAGCAAGTTGAGCGAGGCAGCCGTTCGGAGCTTGGCCGTTGGGGGAGGAGTAGGAAAGCAGAAACTGCCACAGCTGGCAAAATTGCCATGTTGGCTCATTAGCGGGAGGAGGGTTAGGTAAATATATACATACACCAGTTTACAATCCACATCGTGGAGGGTTTATGTTGAGGTGAATAGAAATGGCAGGAAATCGGGGATAACGTGGGCGAGAGCGAGGTTCCCGTTGGGGAAATGAACAAGAAGTTATCGAAGGAGATGCGGAGAGAGGGACAGTTTAGTCGAACCGAGTTGACAACGGGCGAGGATTTCTGTCGTTCTCTCTCAGCACAATCTGTTATTTGGAGCTTCCCAGCACAAGGACAGGGTCTGTAAGGGATCCAAGGTACTCGATCGGCGATGGTTTGCTTGCTAGGAGGCTGCTGGCTATTGGTTGCTCGGAGGCATGCGTGTGTAAATCGCAAGAAGCCCACAAGTGATATTTGAGAATTGATGCCGATGTGTTATTCTTTCTTTCACTTCATCATCGTCGTCGCTCTCTTCCTGACGGTTGCAAGAAGTGTCCTTCCAAGGATCTGCTGATTCATCGCTCACGTGATTATCGGCGCCACAGTGTACAGGGCTTCGCTTGGCATTCTGGATTGGGGCTAGTGCGCAAATTATACCAAGTATCAAGAGGAATCTCAATCTCATATTGTCTTAGGGATGCCCAAGTTTCTGAGAATTTCACATCTACAGAAGAAGTAAAGAAAAAAAAAAAAAAACAATGCACAATCTGCGGTCACTTTTTGTTGTTGCTAGGTTCCTGACCCTGTGATTGTAGTGTGTCCACCTAACGAAGTGCAATACTAGAAAAAAAAGAAGAAAAAAGAAAAAGAACGAAAATGGTACTTCAAAAACAGCAAATACACCTACGGAAAACGCGAGGACGAAATCTCATGGTCTCGTTATGCAAATAACAACAGAAATGGAAAGTGATAAACGAAGTTAAACGGCTTCAGGAAAAGCAAAATGTGTCAAAAATCAAAGCCTATCCCTTCCCAGTCTAATAAGCTAGAAATGAAATTGAAATAAAATATTTCCCAGACAGGTCAAGGACATGATAGGGGAAGGAGAATCTTCATGTTTGGAAGAAATCAATTCACAAAAGTTCGACCTTTCCTCTCGTAAAATCTGGACTGAACGTAAGAATGTCAGGAGACGATATAAAAAGCAAAAAGAAAGAAAGTGACGAGATTAAGATAAAAGAATATACAGCATGGTGTAGCACAAGAATATGAAACTCGAAATATTTTCAAAAAAAAAAAAAAAAAAAAAAAAAAAAAAAAAGGTCTTTGAACAATATAAATGTCAAATCAAAATATGCCCTTGAACGAGGCTTCCGGAAGCGGAAAATGATACAACGAAACCAATGCAATAAATATGGTGGTATATGGTGAATTTTTATATCGAGAGCACAAGATGAGCACCTTGCCCAACGCCAACGCCATACGCCTTAAAGCGCTCCGCAACTTCAAGTCCAAGCTCTTTCATGCGTTCAGCACCTTTACCGGGTAATGGCTTACGCTCAAGATTCTCCTTTGCAGCTTTCCTACAGTGCTGGCGCCAGAATTTTTCTTTCCGTTTCTGACGCTTCTTTTCGAGACCCACAACAATATCGATAGGTCCGCGGGTGTGTAAGTCGTGATTGCTGGATTCGCTGGCGCTGGCCATATTAGGCATTGCCTTTGTCAATCGACGGCGTTCAAGCCGAGCGAAGAAAGGGTTTGGCGTGCGGGGGAGGGACCTCGTACGTGGCCGATGGGGCCTCTGCGTGAGATCGGTGATGTTCATACCGTCAGGGTGGAGCGCTGCAGCAGCGAGATAAGGACCGCGTGGTGAGGGAGGAGATCTCGATTTCATGACGGGTGGAGGCGATCGTAGACGTCGGGGAGAATTCCCATAGGCACGCCGCGGAGGGGGTGACTGCAGACGTTTTGGAGAGCTTGATGGAGTGACTTTACCGCTGCTGGCTTTCTGTCTTCCGCGAAGGCCCTCTAGATCATGTGCATGAACCTTTTCTGTGATGTCATCATGGTCGTCATGATTTTCATCATCGTCTCCAACTTCGTCCTCGGGATCTGTGGTGGGAAAACTCGGATCAATGTCCTGGGGGATAAGGATATGTTTCGCCCGACGACGTTGCTCCATGCAAGAAATATACGCGGCTTCCAAAGGGCGGTCTTCGTCGAGCGTCCCACATACGAAATCGGTGCTATCAGGAAGATGTGGTGTGGAAGGTCCATACTTTTGGGGCTTGCTAGGCCGACGGTGTCTTTGGCACCGCCCGGATTGTAGAGGTGGTGTCACTTCTTTGCGGCCGTTCTTCCGTTCGTTTGAAGATTCAGTTGAAGAGCATGAACCTCGCCGTCTAGAAACTTGGTTGGCAACACCAGCGTTATCAACGCTAGTAGAGGCAGTTGCCATCGACGGCGCCCAGAATGCGTATTCAGATTCGATATCAGTGTCGTCAGAGTCCGCAAACCCAGCCTCATTATCGCTCTCATTACCAGCGTCAGAAATATCATTTTGAAGCGTTGAATCATCTTCGTCTTCATCACCATCATCGTCATCCTCATCCTCATCATCCTCGTCATCCTCGTCATCCTCATCGTCGTCGTCGTCATCATTGTTATCATCGTCGTCGTCATCATCATTTTCAGCATCCTCTTCGTCCTGACGAGCTTCTTCCTCCGCTTCTTCACCCAGTTTCCTAATCGCAAGTTCCTTCTTCATGCAATCATTCAGCGTCATTTTCTCCTTATAAACCGTCGTCTGGTTTACCCAATCATCGTCTTCCAAAGAACTACCGAATTCGTGAAAACGAATCGCATCAGAGAGTTCAAACTCACCAGGCCTCGAAGTACGAGGGGCACCCGGTGGCTTTTTTGAAGGAGCGTCGCGTCGATCGACCTTTTCCTGCGATGGTGTTGAAGGGTCCGAACTGGGTTTGCGCAGCGGGAGGGGTGAGATGCCAGTATGATGGTATAAGGAATTTCCGCGAAGGGCCGTTGGTTCAACCGTCTTTTCACTCTCGCCAGTTGGTCGCGGGGCGCAAATAAAAGTCAGTACAGACTTCCGCTTGGGCACACCATTTGTATCCTTCACTGGTTCGCTCGAATATTTCGACTCGTCGTCAATTTTTCGCCCACATGCGAAGCTTATCAAGCGCTTCCGTCCAAGATTGGCTTCAATTTCCGATTGGGGAATGTCAGTGGTAGGTGCTACCGGGCTTTTGACTTGCATACGGCCACGGAATGTGGTGGGCAAATGAGCAAAACCGGACGGAATCGGTGGACTTGGTGAATCTGACCGTGGTGGAGTTTTGGTCTCCCCGTCGCTGGTCAGTTCTGCAGTCGAAGGCCCGCTGATGTTGCTATATATCGACGGCGGGTAATTTCGATCGGATCCATTTACATGTGAAGGTTGAGATAGACAATCGATAGACGAAGGCTCAGGGCCGCAGAGCAGTAGAGCCCGGGTAAGCAAAGACTCCTTCTTTGCATCCGGAATAAAAAGTCTCGCTTTGGTGTATGGTTGAGGAACGATATTTTCCAATTTCGAGGACGGCTTAAGTTGACGATCGTCTGGTGGCTCGTCCGCCTCCGCAGAAATCTCCTCGCCATCGATCGTTGGAGTACCCGGGGTGTTGGATAAACGAAACATGTTGGTCAAAACATTCATCATAGCCGACTAGATAGATGGCAAATGCGTGCGGCGGATCCTTCAGATCGAATCCTAACGTTCTGATCAAGGTCTAATGTAAAGAAACAAGATCAAATATGATGTGGGGTAGATGGTAATGAGAAACGAAGGAAATAAAACCAAAAGGCCACCCGAATGAAATTAGGAAAGTGGTTGCGCAACCAAAGATTGTTGTCGATAGCGCGCAGAGTCGACCAGGCAATACTCAAGGTATGCTTCCGCTGATCTATAGAGGACCTTTGAGGAGCAAGGAAATGCCCATCAAGAAAGCTATTGTCATAAGAGGTAGACCGTCATCTTGGCCAGAAGGACGTGATCGAGGCGGCGATGTTCGTACGTGAAGAGAAACGAGGATGATGCACGGGGCAAACCCCAAACAGATGGCTGCTGTCGAGTAGCGTCCGGGCACCTAGGGTTGCTGGGGAGGATCGGGCGGGCGGACAAGACGGAAGTGTCAAGCCCAAGGTTGTGTCGCCACCGATCGTTGCAAAGTTTTTCTACTGCTAGCCTGCTGCTCAGCGAAAGCAAGTAACAGTAACGGGAGTGATCAGGTTGTGAGTCACACAGACAGAGAGCGCCTAGATGGACAGTAGACAGTGAGATTGATAGACACAGGAAGACGGAAGAGAGGGATTGGGCGAGTGTGGGATGGGATGGGCTGGTAGAAAGGAAGAAGAGCGTGAGAAGGAAGTCAAACCGGGCGGCGGCGAGTTCTTGAAGGGCACAGGGCGGGCGGGTGACTAATCGGGTCTGAGTCGACCCCACGCGGTGCGTATTAGGCGTATTGCGTATCGCTGCGTAAACAAAGCAGTGCAGCGTAATAAATAACTAACGTCTGCAATTGATTTGGGTAAAAATGGCCATGGAATCAATCGATCGGGTTCCTCATTCATCTGAGATGAAGTGTTCTTCGATATTTCCCCATCTCGAATCAGGATTACTCTCTTTCCATCATCTGGAAATGTCGATTCCGATTTTCTTACAAGTATGCAGATCGTAACCTTCATCAGAACAATGACTTACCCCTCAGGGTAAAGCAGCAGCAAATGGAGCGCTGTAGCAAACCTATCCAGATAGCGACAACGACAGCGACAGCGACAGCAATGGCGAACAATGTCCGATTTCCCCTTCCCGGGAAGGGGAAATGTGTTTTCAATTGCAATTTGCGGTGTTTCTTTTCAATTTCCCATCCATCAAACCAGGTCGAGTCATCTGTACCATGGGTCCAAGTCGTCGTCACCTATAACCTACTCAAAGAGAGCAGTGAGCGAAATCGCATTCACCCAAGCCTCCCAAGAACGTACGCAGGATGATCAAAGTGTCTACTCTGTATCCTGGTGACTTGGCTGGAGACCGTTAGGCGGGTGTTGATCCGCGGCGGCGCAGGGTGTGCCAGACGTTGCTCAGCATTAGCCCCAGTACACCACATATTCGAAACCACACCTCTTAACTCCTCGCGGCATGGCGCAATAAAGAAATCACAATCCTGCCCGTGCGGCGTGTGGAGGTCTGTTCATGCATGCCCGGATGCTGTACGACACACCCCCTACGAAAACACGCGGAATTGCCAAGTCGTGCAGCGCAGCTTGACACATACAATGCTACCCATCCATGGCCAATAGGAATGCTCTTGCAAAATTGAGGAATGAAAAGAAAAATTAGTCGTCAATTAGTTGTCGTTTCTGTGAGGAGTGTTCAAAGAGATAATGTCTATTTTGTGAATTTAGTCTCCATGCCCTTGCTAAGAAAACGAAGACGAAACAAAAAACAACAGAACTGCCATCAGCTCAAACCCGCATCCTTGATACGGGGTCAATTCAACGATCTAATCAAAAATAATAATGATGATGATGATGCATTCGGGCGCAACAGCTCATAGAAACATAGATTCAGGCCGACAGAACCGCCATCCGAAGTCGGTTTAGTTTATTTCAAAAGCGTGATGACATGCATCATCCACACTGCAAGCCTCCAAAAATATTTTGAGGGCGGCGCTTTGGTAACTTCGCTGTAAAGTAATGCCAATCAAATACATGCGCTTCTAATATTTTACAGCGGACAGCTCGCATTACAAGCATCCACAAAAATAAACGACTGAACCCAACCCGACATCAACCTGTCGCTTGTCAAAGGGAAACGGCACACAATTGGGCAAGAAAGCGGAGAGAGAAAAAGTGAGTTCGAAAGCAAAAGCAAACAATCCTAGTATAATTCGAGCTTTCGAATACGATAGCAAAGCAGAGCATGCCACTGATGTCAAAACTCGGTGCTGATTTTTCAGTGAATGTCATTGGAGCATTATTTCAGAACTGGGTGGCTACGAAACACCTCCACGTCCCCTAGAATCAAACCTTTTGAAAACTATTGGGAAAAGTGGCTAAAATCCTCTGCAGTCCCGTAGAGTAATGGAAAAATTATACAATCCCGTTGAAACAATTGAGAAATTGGCGAATTTACTTGTAACCGTAATGTTTCATTTTTATGAAACTAAGTTTATCCTCGATGGTCTAGTGGTCATGATTTCCGCTTGTCATTCCAAGAAACTTGCCAAGCGCGGGAGACCAGGGTTCGATTCCCTGTCGGGGAGACAAAGACCTTTCAAAGGTTTTTCTTTTCAATTTTTTATTATTCCCCCCAAATTTAACTACGCTTTCACCAGCCCGCTTCACTCAGCTATAAGCCTATGACATGAAATTTTAGTGAAATTTTACACACAACAGCAATTATACTTTTTGTCATTCAATAACTCTGCACTTCACCTTTGAGGTATCGTTAGCGTTGAAGCCTGCTAGTTAGGTTCTGTTTATCAAACAGCTGATGCTTATTAATAGAGTTCTTGTTAGTATCCACTGCCGTTGGCGGGATTGGATTGGGTAGTGGTGAATGAGCTCTTTTGCTCTAGTGACCTAACAACTGCTCCTTCCGTAGGAATCGAGAACAACCAAAAGAGTTAACCAAGGCCAACCCGTAGAACTCTCCACTCCACGACCTCCATTCTTCTCTCTCTCCACTCACGACCTCTATTCTTCTATCTCACTACTGCCGCTATATCCTTCAAAATGCCTGATGGAAGTCTGTCTGAGTTCCATGCGTCCCCGATCCCTCCTGTAGAAAGATCAATATCCGAAAATATATATTTCTTGCATCCTGGCTATGAAGCACCCCGCAATATTCTCCTGATCCTTCCGCGTGTTGATCAAATAGCTCCTCACACCTTTGGAGTTCACCACCAAACCGCCTTGATTGCCTGCCAGATCATCGGAAACAACGCGTTTGAAACTGGCCGCCTTTGTCATGATAAAGATGGTCAACACCCTGTGACTGTCCCACTTGATGGAGTTCTGACGGACCCAGCTTACTATTTTCTGGTTGACGCTTGCGCGAGTATGCAAACTTCTCCACCTTCTCATCGCTGTTCTGATCCATTTCTACTAGGCATATACCCCATTGTCCCCAGTTTCCAGGACTGGGAGTTCCCGCACGGCCGCATCCCAGATACTTGGGGCCCCACATCCGTATTTCCTGAAACCACTGGACCTCGCTGTGGCATCACCAACTTCTCGATATGCACTGAAGAAGCACACCTCGTGCCGAAGGAAGAAGTGCTCTGGTACTCTAGAAATGGGATGTACCGATATGGTAGAGACTTGGGAGATATTGATAATCCAGCGAATCTCCTTCCGCTTAGACCGGATATTCATAAATGCTTCGACAAACGCTGGTTCGTTATCGTACCAAAGATTGCTGGGGGAGGAGGCGCGCATGAGACGGATACCAGTACTCGTTCAGCATACTACGTATCACACATACTTTCCGATAATGCTGCTGAATACTGGCCGACCTACCACAACACCATAGTCCAATACCTTGGAAACGACTCCCGTCCTTATCTCTTTGCTCGATTCGCTTGGGCCATTCTTCTGTTTGTGAAGCCCTTCGTTACAACCGGTGACCCCCGCAATGTTATTCACCTCGAAGTGTCGACTAGCGTCGAGAAGACTCAGACGGTGTGGAAGGCAGAATATCTAAGCGGGGCACAACTTAAGGCCAACTACAGTGGCGGCGGTTCAAAGAGCGCGACATCCAAAAAGAGAAAATCAGAATTTAGTACACTTGGAGAAGAGGATGATGATCTTGCGGAGTCTAGCGATGATAGCGATATCGGTAAGGAGAGCGACATCTGGGATAATGTCATGGATGAGTGGGAAGCAAGAGGGCAGAGGAGACGTCAGCAGACCTCCAGTGAGACTGCACCAGCGATTTCATCAGAAGATGCCACGGCTCATTTGAAATCGGGTCCGTCAGAATTGCAGATGTCTTTCCGGGAGTCTAATCGTACCTGAATCCTCACAATTCAAGCAAGACCCCTCAACCCATCCAACACCTTCCGCTATTTCTGTCTTATGGCCCAGGTGAACGCCATGGCATCATAGTGAGCAAGGACAAGACAGGATGAGGCAAACCGAAGCTCAGGAATGAAAGAAGTATGAGTAAATTACTTCAACCCCCAAAAGTGCATTTTAGCAAGTTTGTTTCACAAGCAGGGTATACTAGCGCCTATACAATGGTGCTAGACCGGCCAAAAGTAGTATCTAATTAGGCAGGCCCCTAAAGTTTAAAGATTGATTCTGTATGTAATAAATAAGTATTGACTAGTTGCCTAATGGTTATCATAATGCCTCGACCGTGGATATGCTTATTATGTTCATTATTACTACACACATAGAGTCGCATTGATCATCTAAATTATTAGCCCAATATCTTGATGCATTCCCTTTCCTTCCCCTTTTCCGTTTTGCTTTCCTTTCCGGCAAACATACATATACGAGAGAACGATGCTTCCTTGTCAGCTCACCACCACCGGCTTTCTCCCCGTGCGGTGCGAGGGGATGACCACACAAAATTCAGGAGAGAGGGAGAGAACCAAACATGTGATGTTTGGATTGGGGGACCAGATAGATATTCCATATCCCGCCGAACCGTGTCCACGCAATCATGGAGCAAGCAGCAGGAGAAGCCGTCTTTCCGTCGTGCCGCCGCGTTGTATGAGGGATTTTTGGTCCACTGGCTGAACACCGAGGAAGCTCTCACTGTCCCCGCGACGCTGTGCTGGGGCGGGGTCTGGTGTTTGGTGGCTTCGACCATTCGTGCTTGAAGGGTCCCGGTTTTAGTGCGGATATTTATTTGACTAGAGGGACGTGCCCAAATGACCACTCAACAGCCCTCAATCAGCACAGGGAAAGGGGGGTTTTTCAGCATCAAAGCCATTCGTTTCAACCGAAAGGTATGTACAGTACAACACGACGCACCGGACACTGCACACTGGACGCGGCCCACACTTGGAACAAGCATGGCGATTCGTTTTTTTGTCCAGCCTTGTTGCTGTTGTTATCGTCCCATGCTTCGGGATTAGGGACAGACAGGCACGATACAGGGTAAGAGAGCGGTCAGCAGCCTAACTAACTCCAAAGATACTCTAAACCTCGCGCTGTTGAAGAGCCAACCCATCACTGAGCCCTTGAACAGGGCGAGGGGCCTTGCCTGGCTGCTTTTGTCCAGTCCATGCACACACACGCGCGATGCTGATTCCCTGGATGGTTCTTTTGAACCAAGGGACTTGCAGCTGTGTACGACAAGGAGCCCCCTTACAGCACAGGGACAGCACTGGATATACTGCGTGGTTGCTGCGCTGCAGATCAGCTCGTCCACCAGCATATTGCGACGACAAGAAATTCGTCAAATTCAGCATCACCTAAACTGCTCCTGTTTCCTTTCTCGCTCCGTTTCCTTGATCTTCCCTTGTATCTCTTACCCGTATCTCTTACCCGCCGTAGCCCCCCGGGATCATAAACACATGTCGACAGAGCAGGCCAGGAAGGAAATAGAACGCTTCCCGCTCCCTGCCTGGCCCCGTTGCTCGCCTTGGCTTTGGTACTTACCTCCGCAGTAAGGTATCAGCTGGCTACTCAACCCATGATGTCATTCATTTTTGCCAACCAACCAACCAACCAACCAACCAAATAACTGCCCAAAAGCCGCTTGCGAATGTTTCAATCTCATGTCCCTGGATCCTTCCCTGTGTGTGTGCGAAAGATTAAAAAGAAAAAAAAAATCAACTCTCGAGAGAGATTGGTCAACCAGCCAAGGGACTTTCCTTCAATTTCAAGCACATCTTCAATCTCCACTGCACATGGTCCTGGCGTACGCTTGCACCTGATCAATCAATCAATCAATATTTTTGCTTCTCTCCGCCATAGCCGTATTGCCGAATATAACCAAGGAATGAAAAAAAAAAAAAAAAAAAAAAAAAAAAAAGGCAAGCATCCATCCCCTCCTTTCCCTTGGGGGGTTGTGTTTTTGGGGATTTGTTTGCGATTGGAGCTATACGCTGTAAATAAGCTACGTGTCGTCGTCACAAGAGCGGAGATTTTTTAAACTAACTCTGGTGCTTACCCTCCTCCTATCCGGTTCATATGGCTTTCTTTTTTCTTTTTTTTTTTTCTGAGCAATTCGGCTATTTACTGGAATTCACTCTCTCTAATCGAGGCCCCTCTTTTTAACCTCGACTACATCCGTTTTCTGGTTCAAATGAACAAACGAAACATAGTGCGTGTATAGAGCATATTGTTTCTAGGATATATATATACCTGTTGTATGTATTTACAATGAATGACCTTGTACTGTACTATATATATACTGCGTGTGTTTGTGTATAAAGAAAGGAAGGGAAACCAGTGGACCCCCACTGTATCAATAACCGTGCAAGCGCCGGAGCACCCAAGACGACCCCCGCAATATCGCCATCGCTATAAAAATAAAAATAAGGAATACCCCCTTATATATGTGTGTGTGTAAAAGAGCGTAACAATGGTGTATAATGGTCGTTATCGGGTCACGGCGCCAGAATCAAAGGTCAAGCCATAGATCCTCCTCTATAGGTTGAAGATCACCTGTCGCCAACCGCCCATCTTGACCTTGGCCCAGGTCAGCATCCTCCGCGAAGGCAACTTTGGCACTCCATCTCCTCGACACTGCTTTATTTCTAGGATGAGCTGTAGCTCTCGATTTTCTTGCTGGATGTTTGTCAGAAGAGGGCCCAATTTTCCTTATGAGGCATTTCTTCTTCTCACTGTTACCCACGACATTCCTCCACCAACGAACGATGACCCCCTTTGCCCATAGTAACTTCTTCCTCTCCTGTACAACCTCCATACATTCCGTTGCGATCTTTCCCAGGATGATGCGTTTTTGGAGTTGACGTCGAGCATGCGTTCGTCTCCAAGCTGATTGTAGAACAATCGCTGCCCGCGCCCTTTTCGAGGCAGGTAAAAGCCTGCTACAAAGAAAAGCCAGAGCTGAGAGAGTGAAATCCCGATCAAAAAAATGAGATGAGGATACGCATGAGGGTGGAAGTGACGGGGTCACAAGCGAGGCTGAGATTTTCCATTAGCTTATCCATACATTTTCAAAGAATTGACGGAATGAAGGAGGCATCATCACTCTTACCAAATTGACTACTGCAGCCCAAAAACCTCAGTCTCACATCCAAGCTTGTTGAGCTATTCAGCCTCCCTTCCTCCCCAACGATGAAGCCCTCGTATTCATCCACAATGCTCCCGAAAATCCGCCCGTCAGCAAAGCTCGTTGTCAAGTTATCAAGTCGAACTCCCCCAAGTCGCGCAAGGCATGACGCCCATTTCTTGAGAAGGAACGAGTGCCTCTCATAGCATGCATCGAAATCAGCTTTTTCTCCTTCTTCTTCTTCTTCTTCTTCTTCTTCTACCTCTTCACTGCTAGCTTCGGATTCGCGCCCGCTTCCACTACCTGCACCACAAGTTGCTGCTTTCAATTCCAACCGTCGAATTTCCTTCCTAACATCGTCCCAGTCCACCAAGACAGACAATCCCCATTTTCCAACAAGGCCCCACAGCAGCGCTATGGTTTTTTCGCGGTATCCATCGACGATATCCTCGGCACGGATCCCTTGGGCTATGCTGCCAATGCCCTGAACGCCGGCCAGAGCGCCTAGCGCAATTTGCACGTTGAATAATTTCGTTGCCCGACCAATGCAGGGTATCTTTAGATGTTGAGAGAGTATCCAGTCTTCCTCTCCTTCTACAAGAGACAAGATTTCTCCCGTTGGCATGGCTAGTGCAGTGGCGGTGGCATCAGGGCCATGTTCTTGAGAGAGCATAGCTGAAGCGGATGGGTATAGAAGTAGTTCTACCAGCCTCGTAAGAAGTATACCATCTCGAAGATCTACCGCAAGGTTGTTAATGCGATAATCGTATTCTTGTAGAGGGTGTTGTTTGAAGTATACTCTGCAGTCAAGGTGACTTAATGGCCGAGTAATGTCTCCAACAGACGGTAACAACATAGCTCCTAAGCCCTGGAGAGCAGCTGCGGATGACTTATATTTTGACGACGGGTTAAACAAACATCGCGGCAGTGTAGTTCCTGAATTTGACCTCGCCTTGTCGAGGAGCACAATTATCATGATACTGCGCAGAATAGTTCTTCGGTAAGACCAACGCGGTGTACCAACATCCTCCCCATCTTGGCTAGCAATTGTAGGCCCAACATCCTCGTTTCGAAGAATAAATGTTTCCAAAAAGGACTCCAATGTACGACGGAGCTGTCTGCCCTCCCTTGGAAAAACCGAAGTCTTGGAATCGCTGAGTCTAGATGGCCGACTTGGGACGGGTATTCTTCGACCGATCACTGTTTCCGCGGCGGCTCGAAGAGCGGATAGGTCATAAGTTTCTATCCAAAAATTCAAGAATGTGCGTTTTCGTCCGATGTCCTCCTTCAAACCATTTCCGCGAGCCAACACATCTTTAGGTACGCCCAATGCACCGTATAGGAGAGATGCGTGGATTCTCTTGTATAGGAGGGAGAAGGGGGCTCCTTGGTAGATTCCCAGAAGTTCGTGCCTAAGGGTATCGCTGTCATATAGTCCTGTATTCCCCCGTGCAGAGTCAAAAAGACCATTCACAAGTTGAGTGATTGCCGCCTCTTGATGTGCAAGCCAATTCTCCTCATACATAGCGGGGTTAGATATGTCTTCGCTTAGGAGAGGATATTTCTGATCGATTCTTAACTGAAGGGTCTTGGGACCTGTAAGTTTCGTTGGAGCTCGTTGTGCCACTGCAGGCTTCCCTCTCGCTGAGGGCTTAGGGACAGGAGACGAACGTGATGGTCTGGACCCCTGACTTGGGACAGCCTTCACGTTGGTCTTTGGATTAGAGGTGTTTTTCCCCCGCAAGCTTATTTTGGAGTTCAGGGTCACACTTGGTTTATTACCAAGGGCCTTCCTGTTCGCGGGCGGAGGATTGCTCCGAGTCTCTGGCTTCGCTTCCATGGCTGGCTTAACAATTGATGTAGTCCTTTTCACGGGCTCCACAGCGCCTGCGTTCTTCCTCTTTTCAACATGCGGCACATCGAAGACAGGGAAATCTGCCCCTTTAAGTTTCCCATGTTTGGTGCTAGAAATGGTTACACCGCCTGGAGGCATGTTCTCCTTTCCACCATTCTGACCTGGTATATCCTGTTTTATGCTAGATTCTTGCATCGGTTTTAACGTAGGCTGAAGAGGTGCGCGGCGAGGCGCGACGGAGAGTGACTTCCTTGCTGACCGCTTCCGAATAATCTTGGATTCTAAGCTCCCAATCTCAGAAGCTTCGGTGATATCGTCATTTCCTTTCAGAGGATTTACGTTTTTGATTGGGCTGAATATACCCATGAAAACAGAGGGCACAGTTGTGTCTTCAGAAGGAATGTAAATTGTTCTTCTCCTAATTGACTTCTTCAGAGGATCGGCGGCAATGACTGGTGGTTGCTCCTCTTTCTGCTTCGTAATACGATTGCTTATGACAGGTGACTTATTAGGTTGTGGAGGGCTTTTCCGTTGCACGGCAGGTTCTTCTGCTTTAGGCGCTTCCAGAGCGGCGAAACTGACTCTAGGTCGTTGAAATCTTTGAGCTGGTTGAGAGAACATCGACGAGCTTTTGCATATAGGTTTGACTTTTTGACGTAGGCCTGGCTCAGTTGGTTTGCCCTTCACGGGCCCGAAGTTATCAAGCCCATCCTCGTGAATACTGAACGCTTTTGCCTGGCCTCCCTTCCTCGGTTTCACTTTTGTTAACGGGGCGCGGACATCAGCGGTAAAGTCGATTGTGGCGGTATCGCCTTCGCAAAGCCCAAACTCATCATAGAAGTCACTAATATACGTGCTGTTTCTAAAGGGCAATTTGCTGTCTCTTCTCCAGGCTGTGGGGCAGGGAGTCCCCACATCATCGTATCCCGTCGACATCGTGTAGGCTATCAGAAATGGCAATAGAGCAACGCGACTGATCCTAAAGTCTCTTAGCAACGGATTGGAGCAACACTCGGTTTGGTTTTCCAGGCAATACCTTAAGCAAACTTCACATAAAATTTATGGTCTCTGGAGACAGGGAGCATCTTAGACGAGGTCTGTCGATAGGGAGTGTGTTGGATTCACATAGGAAAGTTTATTTCTTTATGTAAATTTTTCGATAACGAATGTTTTCTTCCTGATCCAAATAATCTTCGAGGTATGAAGCTCTTGGTGCCATCACAATCACGTCCTGAAGCGAGACCATCGTGTTTACACAGATGGTAGTCAGGTTGGGTTGCTAGGGGCAACCGTTCCTGAGATCCCGGTTTCGGACCGAAACTCAAATTGATCGGCATCCCAGTCTTCGGGCTCCAGCGTGTCCCAAATTTGGTGGTTCGTGGCAGCCATATACATACTTTATTCGTCCACCTTCAAATAACCCGATAGGTGTTGGCTACTACGGAGTGATAGTTGAATTCCTTGTAGATACTTGAAAACCGTACGAGGAAGGTAATATTTCGCACAATTTCTCCAAAGTATTGCGTTCGTCCTCTTGGGAAAAAGGTTGGTTCTGAGACACTGGTTGCTTTCTTGTATAGCTGCTACAGTTTTCATTCACATCCCGGAATTTCTTCCTAGGAATATACGCACACATAGGTATATACATATATTCTTTAATATCCTTCCAAAAGAGAACGGCACTAGTCTGAATAGGGTGCAAGAGGGCTGGAGATGTGGGCGTGATGCTTGTTTATCAGATGAGTTCCATGCTCCGAAACGTCATTGTCGGGCAGGTGCAAGAAACCCATTCTTGATTCTTGCTTTCACCCCACGAAAAAACCCCGAACCTGACAAGATTATGTATCATATGATGGAAATTTCCGCATTTCCCTATTCCTTCGAAGCGTGGAGCATATCAAAACCCGCCTTTTCATTCAGAGGGCTGAGTACCTTGAGTTTTTCGGCTCTAATTTTCATAAAGCAGACTCTCAGACAGCTCACACCATCAAACCTGGCTTTTTTTTTCGTCATGTTATTTTCATCAGTTCCTGAGGTGCCCATCATACTGATAATATTCGTCATGTGGGGACGAGGGAATGTGGGATAAGTTTGAAGTTAGACGGTTTACTTTTTGAATATGAAAGCCGGCGAACATGGAAAGTGACTTCCTCGTAAAGTCTGAGGCGGTAAGTACCTACTGGTTGATGTTTTGGACATAACGCCAGGACGTCGATTTCTGATCTTGGTGTTGCAATTTGTGTAGCGTGCGAGACGGGAGATTAAGAATCTGCAAGATCGGATATGCGCCATCTGAGGCTCTATTTGGAAGCCTACAAAAGAGACAAATAGTAGCCCAGGCGATTGAATCTCAGTGTCACCGTTAGCTGCAGACTCTGAAAGAGCATCCATTCATGAGGGCCTGATTGCTGTATACGGGGGATCCTCTATGCCAGTTGGTAGCGCGTCAGTTTAGGGATGAAAGACCATTGATCAAAACGGAGCAAGCGTAAACTAGTTTGGTAACACGTGGCAATTGCTGTGAAGGCCCAGATAAACGAAGGCATTCTTGTCCATCGATGGATGTTATACCAGATCCCAGCTAATCTCCCGCATTGCAACATGGTGGAGATCGGTCCGTGAATTTAGCCAATCCTAACACGAGAGTAAATTGCTCGACACCCTATGTCTAACATCCGTAATCCCCAACAAAACGTGGTTTTATTCAAGAAGCCACTTTTATGGTTAAGGAGCTCTGTGTTGAAAAAAAAAAAAAAAATTGAGCGTTAAACCATCGTTCTACACTCCATTCGTAGAGAAATGATGGAACTGGCCTGTATGAATATTACTGCTAATGAGGACGACGGCAACATGTTGGATTTGTAAAACCCTGCAAACGCCCATGAACAATGGGTTTAGCGGCGCATATGCGGCGGCGGAGCGAACGAATTGTTAGGCGGAGGAGCTAGAACGTGCAACTGGCAGGCAGAGTGTCCGCTAGCGGTTCAGGGACAATCATGGCACCGCCAAAGCAGTGCAGCTGCGTATCAGCGAACCGACGGTACCAAACCCGAAGCCAGAAACTGAGACAAAGTCTCTTGCAGCACCTGCCAGAAGGGAAACGGGATAACAAGAGTTGAATAGCAGAGGTTGATGGCTGTGTCCAGCCAGCAAAGGGACTGGCAGCTCTCTTACGAACGGTTATGGGCTCCGTCCTTTAGCGCTGTCAGGTGTTCTTACAAACTTCTCCCGCATGAAATGCCCCTTGCCAGTCTCCTGCTCGGCGCGTAAACTATACCCAACACCGGGATCGCCTGATAAGGTACTGATTCAAAACAACAAAAGATTCATGGTTCTGCACATAGACACACGATCTCGTGACACTCACGATTTGGACTGCCTTCAATCTTGTTTCCGTCGCACTGTATTACCCTACGTTTTGTTCCTAGAACACGCTCCATAATTTCAACGGATTCGCTTCTGTACTGGCTAAATAAAAGCCCCTACGAACCATGTTCTTCCGCCATGGAAGCGCTGGTTTATCAAGATTCGCCTTTAGCTGACTATCTGGAGGGTATGCCTTAAGCATTTTATCCTACCGTGAATCTCCCGCGCATAACTGACTCCGGACTTTTCTACAGGCGAAGGAGTAGCAGAGCAAGACTGGGCGCCTCAACAAGATGACCACCATCCAACGCTAACGCCCCTAGATTCATCGACGGTGAATTTCGCTCCTCGAGGACCCCCTACATTTCAAGATCGAATACGAAATAAACTACCTGCGCCGTTACAACTGAAGCCCATGGGTCGTCAAGAAACTGTGAACAAGATTCACAACATCTGCAAAGTATGGGCAATAATGCGGAGCACGCAACTTCTGGGGGACTATGTCTTGCTGACTTTTCTCCGTTCTTAAACGCATTAGGTGGCAGTCAGCACGAAAATAGGAAAAAGCGAGAACGAGCGTTTTCTTGAACAATTTGGATATACCATCGTTGCGTCCCAGCTCCTCAACGAGCAAAGCCCCCCCTCGTACAGCACCGTAACGGGGTTGCTATCAAATACAGCTCATAATGCAGACTTATCAGGCACACGAGCAGCCAGTTTTGGTATACGAGGGGCGATATTCACAGCTGGGGCATCGTTTTCGGTGGTCTGGATACTCCACTGGGCCAGGTCACGTCAAGGGTCCGGTTGGGATTTCCGGCGGATCTGCATCCTTATCACTCTTCTACTGGCAGTCGCAACCGCATTCTACGCATTCGCTAAACGCCAGTGGCTGAAATACCTTCGTCGCCAGGCGGTGGATATTGCTTCTGTACTCGTCGCCAATGCGCAGTCTTTCGACTCTGCAGCTTCAGCTTCGGTTGTTTTGATACAGGAGGTGGAACTAGTTTCCAGAGGATATAGAATGTCTGTTATTGAATATCCGAAGATACTTTTCTAAAGATCAAGTTTACCTCTAACAGTTTTCACAGAAGCACTCCTATGCCCCCAATAACCCGTTTGGAGGAGCAAACACAAACACGACGTTGTTTAAGACTTCGGCGTATTCTTTCAGAGTGTCTTACGGAGATGCTAGAGAGATACTTGGAAGCGAAAAGACATCTACAATTACTTACAGACACTGCTAATTTGGAAAAATATTTCGATATTTATGATTTCTCACTAGAGGAACTAGACGAACCTAAACCATCGGCTGACAATGCGCTGGAAGACAAAACGTCATTGCGATCCCTAAGACATCTATTTTCTAGAGCTTACGCAGCCAGAAAGGCTACGCTATGCTGTCTGCTAGCTCTACCGGCGGATGGTGGGGAGGTTGATATTGGAAATTGGAGCACTGCTATTGAGGAGATGCAACGTCTCGCTGCTACAAATGGAACTTGCGTGCAGAAGCTGGCAGCCATACTTAACGAGCAAGATCGTAAGTGCAACGGACCTAACTTATTGGACACGTATCTAAACTAATCTGGACTTAGACATTATTATTCCACCATCCCCTCAATCCAAGCTCAGCCCCAATAAGGATCGTCATCGCGCACAACTAAGACGACTCAATTCTCTATCTCAAGGAATCCGTGGACTGCATGCTAAAATGCAGCTCATCCGCGAAGAATCAGATGCCAGCCTTGAACGAGCAACCGATGATGCAGATTTCGGCACGACCTTAACAACCCTCTACCAATCTATCGGCGCAGACCTAAGAGGGATACTACAAGAGTGGGAAGCCGGCAAATCTTCATTATTAGCCACTTTAGAAAACCCAGATCGTCTCTCACGACCCACTAGTCTACTCAGGTCGCCGGCATCGCCGACATTTAGCTTAGGTGGCGCGACTGCGGTTGAGGGTGGTCCAGCGGAGGCGCTTCGGGCATTGAATGGCGAAGACCAGCACCTCACAGCCCCAGACAACAACATGGATGAGCATGAAGTTTTTGAAGCCATTGCCCTACCCCGGAAGCGAAACTCCATGACACGAGATGAAAGAATAGCCCGGATGAAAGAAGAACGGGCTAGACAAGCCGTGGCGAGAGAGAAATCGGACGCAAATACACACATGTTAAGAGAGCTGGAGACAGTTATCAAGTTGCGTCCGCGCGGAAAAACGGCCCCCCGAGTTACCAGCATCTGAATAATGTATTAGGTATTTCTTTTCCTCTTTCTTCTCTTTTCTTTTTTCTTGCCGAATTCAAGGATGAGCCTAAATTGCCCCGTCTACCCAACAATTTGAAAATAATTTTTCTTTACATCTGTCGGCTTTTGGTGTTTCCACCAGTGCTAGTCACATGTTTAATACCCTATATTTAGCAGCGATCAGATCATGCGATGACATATTCGGTCCCTAATGCCTACGTTTTCATTTATTTGGCATATCTTGAATGGCGTTTTTCCAACATGTTTTATTTCTGTCAATTTCCCGAAAACGGCGGTTGAATCGGCCGTCTTGCATGCTTGTAGATTACATAATGTATTTTGTTCCCTTTCCTTGAATCCTGTACCCATAGATAGATATGTTTTTTAGAATAAAATTTCTCATGTATTCTGATATCAGTTTTCTGGGTGGACCAAAGGAAATACGCTAACGCGAAATTGGCGAAATTACGTGATGCTCAATCCACGCGATGCGTGTCTGCACGCGACGGACACTTCCAGATTCCTCCAACTCAAACCCACTTTGACATTTCTCAAAGCTGCCCGACACTCACTGCGTCCGATTCACACACATTTGTACCAGTGTAAGCCTGTTCGTAATTTCGCACCTATTACCGTTTCCATGCTGACGAGTTTGATATGTCACCAGAATTCCGCCAACGTCAAATAACTACCCCGCCAAACACCTCCGCTATTACCTCCATTATCCTCCTCTGACTCTTCTAGAACCCAATTGACAAGAGTGCGTAATGGAATTCTAACGACTATTAAGTTGATCTGGGACTGATAGAGACATGAATTAATAGTGTTGGAAGCGCGGCTAGAACAAGCCAGCTTGTTGAAGAAGGTAGGCAGGCATTACATACAGCTTCATTGACATCCATTGATTTCACAATTCACGAAATACGATATAAAAGCTGACAGCCACCTTTACCAAAACAAAAAAAATCAAATAGGTCGTTGATGCCATCAAGGACCTGGTCCAGGACTGCAACTTCGACTGTAATGACTCTGGAATCGCCCTGCAAGCCATGGACAACTCACACGTGGCCCTGGTCTCTATGATACTGAAAGCAGAGGGCTTTTCCCCGTATCGCTGTGACCGCAACGTCGCGCTGGGCATTAACCTGGTCTCCCTTACGAAAGTACTGCGGGCTGCACAAAACGAAGACATTCTGACTTTAAAGGCGGAAGATTCCCCCGACGTCATTAACCTGGTCTTTGAGAGCGCGGAAACGGACCGGCTGAGCGAGTATGATATCAAGCTTATGGACATCGACCAGGAGCACCTGGCTATTCCGGAAACGGAGTATGCGGCTACTGTTGAGATGCCATCAACGGAGTTCAGGAGGATCTGTACGGATTTGGGAAATTTATCGGAGTCAGGTATGTATTACCATTTTTCATTTTAAGGAATGAAAAACGATTATACCCACTCTCGGATTACCGACACCCTCTTTTTTGGCCTCTTTCTTTTGCATTGAAGAAAAAAAATAAATATGCCAATCTAACGATATCCAAACAGTAATGATCGAAGCCAACAAAGATGGCGTCAAATTCTCCTGCCAGGGTGAGATTGGTAACGGAGCCATCACCCTCCGCCAACACACAAATGTGGACAAGCCAGACCAAAACGTCTCTATCGACCTCTCCGAACCCGTCGCTCTCACCTTCTCCCTTAAATACCTTAACAATTTCTGCAAGGCCACAGGCCTGTCGACGTCTGTTCGTCTGTGCCTCTCACAGGAGGTGCCGCTGCTAGTTGAATACGGATTGGGCAGTGGTCATCTGAGATTCTTCCTTGCACCAAAGGTATGTCATACGTATATATGTTACAATTTTTCTCCTGGGAAGCATTTGCTATTGCTTCTCTCCCATTCTTTTTCGTGTAGTATCAAACAGTCTGTCTGAGACGGGCGCTAATATATTTTTGCCATGCTAGATCGGAGACGAAGAGTGAAATGGAAAATGGGGAAGGAATTAAAAAATAAAATAATAAAAAATAACAAGCTAAAAAAAAAAAAAGAATACAAAGGAATACAAAAAGATCTTCCAAACCATCTCAATAATGCCATTCTTCCCTTAACTCGTCCCTTGCCCACTGTCATATCCGAGTGTAAACGGCCAACTACGAACCCTTCAATGTCTATTTCCCGTTATCTTTGCATGTCTTCTTTTTTTCTTTAATGAAAATAGGGAAAGCATAATAATTAAAAGATTTTTTTTTTTGCGACTCGTTTTTCTTTCTTTTTTAATTACACACAATTTTAATAATGGTACAGCTCAAAAGACCAATCCAACTCCATTCATTCCATGGTAACTTTTTTGTGAAAGGATTTCCCGCCACTTAGGTGTCAGGTAAGAATCGAGTCAGTCCAGGCTCACTCTTCAAGCCTTGAGAACACAAAAGGTTGAAGTTATCAATGTTTTGAGGGAGATGAAATACCACCCGCCCTATCGACATCCACAGCCATTTTGAACCTACCGGTCTGTCTGAGATCTCTTCTTGCCCAACCTCGTTTCTTCCAGGGGCCACCAGACGGGTTTGTTATATAGATAGAGAGATGTATCCGTGTGTCTGTCTACCTGGTCCCCCACCTTGTTAAAGTCCCTTTGGGTTTTGGGTTCGGGGTATGTAGTGGCTTGTTGCCCCTCCGCTTTGCTCACTTCATCGTTGAGGGGTTGTAGTGATTCAAGAAGCCTCTTTGAGATTTTTATCACTCAATCAAAAAGGTCACACACGAGAATAACTGTCAGCCTTCTGACAGGTGCGTTGATTGTTGTATACTAGTGGGGTTAAATTCATCAGAGATGCCAGAGCTCCGAGAGCAAAAGTGTTCATGCACCAAAAAAATAAACTCCGTGGATGCACAGGATATTTCCGTTTCCCATTTCCAACACCCTTTTTTTTATGCTGTATTTTTTGTATTTTTTGATTTTTCTTTTTCTTTTTTTCTTTTTTTTTCTTTTCTTTTTTTGGAAACCAATCATTGAAGTTTTTAATATATAAAAAAAATTGGTAGGGTGTCTCTCTCAAGGGGGCGTGGGCATATTCGAAGCAATCGATCCTGTACTGATTATCTCGAGGGGGCAAATATCTGCATAGAAATCAAAAAAGGATGGCAGTACATGAAAGTAAATAAATAAAACAAAATAACAAGCAAGCTAAATTATATCATCACCAACGCACTCCTTTGCGACGTATACTGTTTCCGGTTTTGAATTGGGAGCATAGGACGATCAAGTGACCCACCACAACGCGACTGCAGCAACACCAAGAACGACAGCGACGATGGCGACAAATCCGAATCAGTACTGGAATCCAGTCCAGCCTCCCTCCTCGCCCACAGAATGGTCTCGCCGACCCCATCAAACCGCACAAGCGGCGACGTAACTAGCACCTCAGAAATCTCATCCACAATGTCCTTTCCAATATCCCCAACCCACCACATCGTAATGCTTTTCCGCGACCGATGAACCAGCACGGCCCAGAACATCATGACGAACAGCGCCAGAGGCTCGCGGCCCTGGAAAGCCGCAGTCAGCTCCCGGCCACCGACAGCGAGGATAGTATAGAACATTCCCTTGAACATCCCATTGGTCGCGTCGTTCATGAATGAATATTTTATCTGGTCAAGGGCACGTTTGTAGGCAGGTATTTCGTATGCGACTCGCACATTGCTGTTGCTGCTGCTGTGCTTGTCATGGCAGTCCGTGTTGTTTATCTGGCGGATATTATCACCACTCTTACCATCACCATCGATAATCACCTCTACCATATCTTCTGGTAGCTCTTCTGGTAGCCTTACTGGCACGCGCATTCGTTTGATGAGAAACTCCAAGCGCGCAAGGGCCAGCTGGGTGTCGATGTCGAGTTTATGCATGAGCTCCGGCGGAAGCACGGGAAGGCGTTTCACAGCGGCAGCGAGAGAACAAGAGGACCGGTTAAGCCAGTCGAGGTTTGGGCGGTTGGCGACGAAGGAGCCCACGTATAACGCCATGGACGTGCCCAGGGTTTCGAGAATGCAGGTCTGGTACTTTGGGTTGGGGAACGTGAGATTGAGCACGAAGGTAAAGGAGGCGAAAAACAAGAGAGCAGACAGTTTCTTTGGAGTGATATTGGCATCTACTTCATCAAGAGCCTGGCGGAAAGCAGCATTGGCTTTGTTTGAATACTCAAGTGCTGCGGATTGGTATCGGTATCCATCCTTGGTGAGTATTAGAGATTTACTGTTGGGGTCCGATGCCTGCTTTGCTAGGTCGATGGCGGCGAGAGCAAAAACATTGTTTAGGAGATAGTTGGTCTTCATGCAAATACGGGGAACGATATTTGTTAAAAGAAAACTGCAGGCGGGAGAAGTGCAGACACACTGCCATGTTCTCGTCAACCAGCGGTGAAGGAGTTCGAGTTCTAGGGTTCTGTTCGATGTGGGTGTGCTTGAAAAGGTCACGGGAGAAGGGTTTGAGATTCCTGAAAATGCGCTGGGCGAGGCCGCCCGGACTAGAGCTTGCGAGGCTGCTGAGCTCTTGGACGCCCGTTTTGATGATGAGGGGGGGGATGGGGACGGGGTTATCGGTGGTCTTTGGCTTTGGGAACTGGCAGATGAGATTTCATGTCGAAGAATGCCCCTTCCCCGAGGTGTGGCATTGTGCGCTTCTACCACCGCAGTGTGATTAGATGGATAAACACATTGGAGATTTCGGATGCGACAGTTTGTGCATATGGGCTTCTGCTCGTTGCACTGTAGGAAGTCCGAGTCAGCACGGTCTGGAGGATTGATCGCCCAGCTGCGATGAAGCCAAGCGTCTCACTGAACACCTCGATGTAGGTGCTGGTTCTTGGCTATTTGCCGTACCTTGACCCTTCTCCTCTTACAGCTGGTGCATCCCCAGCGGGATTTTCTGTGTGCACCCCTCTTCCGCGCCTTCACTTCCATGGCAAACAGGGCTTTCTCTTTTATAACTGATCGTATCCCGATACCGTAGCCCGTGATCACGAGAATAAGAGACGGGAGGTCAAAACTAGAGGGACCTACGACGACATCAAAATCATGAACTCCGGTAAAAGTTCGACCACTGGGAATGAGAGAAGCATGGACAGAGGAGGGGTTTTTACACGGAATTCATGGTTATATTATGGAGTAAGTTACTGAGTCAGGAGGTTGAAAATGTGGGTGTTTCGGAAGCCTGGGGAGATTCAATGCGCGCTGTCGTTGACTGTCCGGCAAACTTTAAGAGATGCACGGTTGGCTGGATAAAGCCGCGCGAGAAAGGAATGTAATGTTGTTGATGAGACGGCGAGGCTTTGATCCACTACTAGCGAAGCAGCTAGGCGACATTTTTGGATCCAGCCCGCCTCTCGTGGTGCCGAAGTCAAAAACGATGGAGAGGTGAAGGGTATTTAGTTATGAGGATTTATAATTACTAAAACTCGAGGATTCGGATAGCTACTGTACGAGGCGACAAGTATTGGCAACCCTCACCACAATCATTGAGGGTTGCCAATACTTACGACCTGACACTTCGGATGGCGTTGGCCCAAAGCGATTAAACTTTCCCAGATATAGCGGCTTGGTCAGCCGGCCAATTGCAGCCAACGTGACATCGTTCTCTGAATCGCGAATGAAGATATTTTGTCAAAATATGAAAGAACAAAAGGAAAATTATTCCATGGTGGTGCGCCATTTGCGCACTCCCGACCACTGACAGCCAGAGCACGCCCCGCTGAAAGAACAACAACCCTAACACCTCGTAAAATCGTGAAAAGTGCGGGGGGTGGCGTGTGTGGAGGGCCTTCGAGCCAGTTCCGTGCTAAACCCAAAAACACATCAATACGAATTAGCAGTATCCCTTCAAAAAGAAACGAAGGGAAAAAAACCCTCCAAAAACATCAACATATTCGGGCGATCCCGATGAACCCTGCGCTCCCCGCCGCTCTCAGACCTTTATTTTTTACAACGAACCTTAAAAAAGTAGAGGATTGAAGCGTCGTCCCCGCCAGAGTAATCGGAATCGAATTCATACCAGACCGCATCTCATTCTAGAAAGAAGAAATAGGAACCCAGTACGCTGCGTATTGCACTAAAGTGTCATACAGCCCACTCCCTTAACTCACCCAACCCTCCAAAGGGAGAGAGAAGTAAGGGGAAAAAGGGAGGGAGGGATGTACACACAATCTTCGCAACGGCTCTCCCAGGGAGGGGAGGGGGGAGGGAAGTGGGAAACAAAGTCTCCGCACAACCCCGAGTCCCCTGCCTCCGAAGTTTCTGATGCCTGATTGCGGACGTGTAAATAGGTTTCACGCCGGGCCCTCACGGGCAGCACCGACTCAACGCTCGCTCTCTCTCTCTCTCTCTGAGCGCTGAGCGGGTTGTGGGGTTTGAAGATTGCTCCGAATTTCTCATTTGCATATTTTCATGATTGGGGATCAATCAAGGACAGATAGCTAATCCCTCCCCTTCTCTTTGCAGAGGGGAGAGGAGAGATAGATCCGACGTGTGTAGCAAAGAAACGCAGCTTTGGCGAGGACGACGCTTGAAGCAGAAAAGAAGAAGAAGAAGAAGGGAGGAAGACAACAGAATGAGTTTTCGTGACTGTGTGCGCTAGGACAATTCTGCCCCCATACACCGCTTTAGCTGGTTGGAGCTGGATTACTCATCGGCTTCGAGTCATCAAGATTTTCAGCTGAAATAACTAGTTGAACTCGCAAGCATCTCGAAGGAACATCTACAACATATTGCATATTATAATATCCCGATATATGCGCATTCTCAAAGATTCTGTTCTAGCAATAGAATGCAGCTCAAGAGATGGAGGTTTCAAACACAATGGCTATATGCTGATTCAACGAATGTTCAATATAACCAGATGAATACTAATAGTAGTTACATATTTTCTGTTTCTCAATGAGTCATTTTGTATTAAAAATCTACTAAAATGCAACTTCCCAAAAAAGGAAGATACATATATAACTATCGCTTAGAAAACGAGAGAGATTGTTATAATCCTGAGCTGTTATTGATAGGTTGAAACAAGTTTCAAGTCAATGAGTGTGGGACAGACAGCCTGTGCCTGTGGGTGTAACAGAGCGCACCTGCATGGTGCGATATCCCTCCCAATACCTAGTTGCCTGGTACTAATTGGATTTAACAATCATCATGTACACACATGTACTAGACACTGCAGTTTTCATGCATTGAACAAGCTGATGAAAATACTGCGTAGAGAACCTTTAATTCAAGGTTCTTGGGAGCCTCACTGCCTCAAGCCTTGAACAGGAGTGGAGCAGGATGACGCAGGTTAAAAATAGACACGCCGTGAGACCATGTGGGATGTTGGGTGTCAGTTTGGCAGACCACTCGCATCACGACAAATCCTGTTTGCCATCACTGTCATTGTTGGTTCCTGTGCATATGAAGCAGGATACTTTATTTGGCCAGCTGGGGAGAAGAGAGGGCGGGAAACCGTTGTAAGACGGTCCAATATTCCCCGAGGGCTAGGAATTGATCCTCCGAGTCGAAATCTGAAGCTCCATAACTAATAAATAATTGACTCTGTTATTCATCTGTGGAGAACGGGGTAGATCTGGTGGTAGCTTTACTAGTATTTATCCGAGTCAGCCTTGCGAACTTGAATTTTGGGCTGGCAAGAAAAACAGCCTCTGCAGCGACTGTGCAGAGATGAAGAAAAATGGCCCCCGATTCCACTGCACAGTTCCGTTGCACAGCTCTCCCACTACGACGAATGACTACTGCCAATCATAAGGTAACTAACCCTTCAGCAGATGGCGTAGTCAAGGAACCAGAGCGCCCACAAACCCCAAGCCGTTGAGCAGCTCAATGTGAGCGGGGAGTTGGCCTCGGGGCTCTTTCGGGCCACGCCCGCCCCTAAGCCCTGCCGCACCTCCAGGTCTGCCGCTGAGCGTGTGTCAGCCGCTCGCTGCCTCCGTCTGCTGCTTTGTGCGGCTGCTGCTGCTTGTCCACTCCACTGCAGAGCACAACAACTCTTCTTCCGCTGTAGATTTGTTCCTCTGCGCCCTCAGTCTGCACTCGTTGGTTTGTTTGCTTTTCTTCTGGTACTCCCTTGCTATTCCGAAATCTCGTCCTGTCCAACCATCGTCTCCGTTCGCCGGGTTACAGCATCTCCCCGCTGGCCTTCATACCGCGTTTCAGATTTGCTTCCAGGTATCCCTCCTGTCCGAGTGAAACTTTTACCCCAAACTTTGTCTCCTTCTCCCTCTTTCATCCTTTCTCTCTCCCCTTCTTTCTCTCCATCTCTCTCCTCTCCCTCTCCCTCTCCCTCTCCCTCTCTATCTCCATCTGTCCCCTGTCCCTCACTCTCTTGTTTTCCTGCTGCTTGTTGTTGTGGTTGTTGGAAGGCCCTCACGCAGGAAACGGGGGCTGTTGCAATCCCCGTTGCAACAACCGTTGGACAATCCTGGATCTCCCAATTGATACCATCACATCCCCTTCCTGGTCGACAATTTGATCTAATTATCGTCGCCTTTTGCTCCTGCCTGCGCGGCTGTGTAGTACAGCCTCCCATCTCGCTGCAGGTTTGGGACCCCAGTCCATTTGCTCAACACCAACCAACCAAACCACCCACCAATCTCGAACACCTTTCTTTTCGCTACTTCATCCACCTCTCCCCCACCCCTCCCTCCCTCCCTCCTCCCTCTCTCGATCCATATAGTTAAGAGGCGTCGGGCTCCATCCGGGAGCGAACCGCCAAAATTCCTTCCAACCCGTCGCGGGCCTCTTTCCTGGGAGGACGGCCTTCGACTCCTCGAACCGTAATTCTACAACAGGTTTCCGTGCAAGAGAAGGTTATATCAACTTTACAGAACCAGAGTCAAAGATGTATCGGCCAAACTCGCGATGGACGTGGTCGTTCGTCATTGTTGCTTGCGTCCAGGCTGCTATTATTCTTGGTTTTGAGTCGTAAGTTATTTTCTCCACATGGCTGTTCATTTTTTTGACGTCAAAGCGACATGTATAATTTTTTTTTTTCAATTCGATTTCATTTTCACTCATCTTCAAACCATAGGTATGTCTTTGCACGCTTCCAGTCCGAACTCAGAGGCAATTGGAGCAACACAGCTACGTCGAGAACGATCCCGACTTTCTTAACTCTCTACATCTTCGGTTTTGTGTACGAGCTTGTTTTGACCTACGATGCGCTTCAAATGAAAAACACCATTCAGGTCATTGGAATATGTATTTGCAACGTCGGCCTGCTTATATACGGCGCTGTCCAAACAGACCAGATTCGAGACGCTATCTTGCAGCTGAACGCTGGTAAAAACATTGACAAGCAAATCTGGCCCGACTTGAAGCCGTTCCTCATTGCTATTCCGATCATCATTGGTCTGGGAACTGTGTGTCTGAGTTTCATCGCCTGGAAACTATACGATGAGTTTGCCTGGACCATTTATAAGCATATCAGCGCCGATTTGCGAATGAAGCGGCGATATCTAACATACCAGGTAGGGCTTGTTGAAATGAGTCACCTTGCGGTTTCATATCTTCCTCTTGATTTTTTCCCCCCATTAATAGGTTTACTAAGATGCTAATTCATCTCTTACTATATGTACAGATCTATATTGCGCTCCTGAAATTCGACTTCTTTTTCTTCTTGGGCTTCACCGTCCAGTTCGTCGTCATTGTCACCGACAAGAAAGCCACCGAGTATATCCTCACCATTATTGCCATCCCTGTCACCATCCTTATTCTCCTAGGCGCTGCCTGGTCCACCCGTCGCGAGAATACATTGGGAATGATAGTTACAATAGTAGGAACTCACCATCATCCTGCACCAATTATTCCGATCCCACCTTATCTGCCCCTCAATTAACTAACAAATCTCTTTTCTCCCTTTCACCAGCTCCTCTTCCACGGTGGCCTCGCCTACTTCCTCTTCAAGCTCGTGCGAATGTATACCCCGCCACGCATGGATGCGTATAAAGCGGCCCGCACGTCCCTCACCTTCTTCACTGTCATCACCATCGCCCTGATCATCATGACCATCGTGAACGCGTGCATCTGCACACGCAACTTCAACAAAGGACTGAAGCGTCATTTGTCGAACCGCAAGGTCATTAGCGATGATGAGAAGCCAAATACGATGGAGATGTCGTCGAATATGCCGCCAGGTGGGCCATTGCCGATGCGGATGACGATTGATTGATTTTGATGGGAAGTGTGTCCCTTTGTTATTATCTTGGTTTCTTTTTCCGTGTTCGCTTTGCTCTCCTCTTTTTCTTTTTCTTTCTCTTTTTTTTAACCCCCTCTGTTGCTCTTATCTACTGAATTAGTCGTTTGGATGCTTGTTTGGCTATTGATATTGGAGTAGAGTGAATGAAGACAAATACGGAACGAAGAATCCAACCTTTTCAACCACAAAAGATTGCTACGAAAAGGACGAACGAACCCATACACCAAAATTATACCCCCGGTTTTTATCTTGCCATACATATATATATTATAATACCCAAGAATCTTCAATTTCCCTCTTTTTTGGCTTTTTAACCTTTATGATGATCTATCTACTTCATCTATTCTACCCGTCTTCCCTATGGAATAATTTTTCCGGGTTACTGTCCCTCCCCCAATCTCTCTCTCTTCCCTGGCTTTTTCTCATTTTTATTTCTCATTCAATATTTTTTTCGTCTTTTCCTCTGCGCTTTGTGTATAACCTATATTTATATATCTATATTTTATGCAGTTCCTACTAGCTTGCTTTTTGATGTCAACAGTTTACAACTTTACAATTCACATTATACGCATACAAATTCAATGCTGCCCGGCGGGCTTGGGGGGGAAGTGGGGGCGGGGTTATGTGGGATGGATGTCTTGGCCCATTTTCCCCTGGATGCTCCCTTATTTGTTGGAAGAAGCAAAATGATCAGGCGGATTCATTTGAACTGATTAAGATAGTTGCTGAATCATGCAGCCTTTGTTCGTTTTTGGAAAAATAGTTGATGAGTCGATGAAAGGAAAGAAGATGAACTTGATTTGGTTTGATACAGGTTATACTAATGCGGAGATAATACTGCTACCACTGGTATAAGAATAATAAGAATAATTAAAAGCAAGAACATTTCAATTTGATATTCACCAATCAGACAAAATCAACCATTCAACGGCAACAGGTGGGAAAAGAAAAAAAGGGAGTTAACCGATTTCAACACATCCTCACCCCCTTTCAATTACGATGGAAATCATCTCATTCCACACCTCGTCATCACCAGAAATCACTATCACAATCACAATCATCAATCATCCCCCCTTTCTTTCCTTTCCTTTAAAGGGCCCCTATCTTTCGCACAGATAGATACCCATCCTAGCAACATGCAACAACATGCAAAAAAAATTTTTCTTCCCCTTACTAAACCAAGCGCCTTTCCTTTCAACAACAACAACAACAACAGAATGACATTACCCCATATTCCATATTCCATCGCGTAGTGCGATCACCGCCACCGTCACCGCCATCATCACCATCGTTAATAATCCTCATCCTTCAGAACAGAGAAACCCACAACCCTACGCCCTCCTCTCCAACAAAACCTCAAACGGCGGCGGCTTAGCCGTGAAATAATCCCTCCAGCCCGGTTCCTGCTCGTCGAAATACGACAGCGGCGATTGCTGCAGCGTGGCTGTATCATGACTGCTCTCCTTTTGTCTTGCAGCATTAGCATTATTGGTATTGGCATTATTGTTAATAGTAGTAGTAGTAGAAGTAGAAGTAGAAGTAGAAGTAGTTTTTCCCGTAGCCACCGCATGCAACCGGACCGTGAACGTGCGGAAAATCAGGGCGGTCACGAGGCGCAGCTCCATGAGCGCCATGGCCTTTCCCGCGCACGAGTTGGCGCCGATCAAGAAGGGGTTGAAGGCTTCTTTGTGCTTGATTAGGTTTGCGGCGGCGGGGGACCAGCGCTCGGGGATGAAGGTGGTTGGGTGCTCGAAGTTTCGCGGGTCTGCATGTTGTGGGTGAGTGAGGGTATGTTGGGTGAGTGATAGAGGGAGACAAGAGACGACAAAGACAAGAAGGGTAGGTCGTTGGGTCGCGGGTGGTCGCGGGGGAGGGGGAGGGGGAGGAGGTGTTCGTTGGATGGGCTTTTGACTCACCTCGATGCAGGGTATATGTCGGTGTAGACACGAGTGTGTTGCCAGGAATCCATCTGCCAGCAATGCGTGCACCCTCGGGAGGCGTCATGCGTTGCATTCCACCCGGCGCCCCGGGGTATAACCGGAGGGTTTCAAGAATAACACCTTCGAGCATCGGGGAGCCGTTGGGGATAGACAATTTTTGATAGGAGATGTCGTCGATGCCCGTGAGGAGGGTGTCGAGTTCTTGCTGGAGGAGGGCTTGCTTGTCTGGGTGGGTAGCGAGGATGTAGATGAGGGCGGTGAGGGTTGCTGCGACCGTGTCACTGCCGGCTGTGATGGCTAGCTCGGAGTCGCACACGAGGTCGCCGGGGACGGAGAATTCGGGGAAAACGAACGGGTCAGAGGTGGCCGGTGAGCCTGGGGAGTCGTCGAGGAGGTAGGAGAAGAGATCCTTGCAGGCTGTTCCCAGCTGGATGTTCGCGGTGATGAGGACCGAATGAGTCAGTAACAAGGTCATCAAACGTAACGGGGAAGGGGTGGGGAGAGAGATAGATTATCCATTACCTTCATTCTTTCTACAACCTTGCGCGAGTGGTCTTTTACCCGTGCCGACCATACATCGCGCAATACAGGGAGTCTTTTCAAAAGAATGAACGTCCAGGGAACACAGACGAGGCTCCCCGCTATCGGCCTTGACATCTCGAATGTTTCAAGAATTTGTGCCGCCTTTCCATCTTTGACCATGTCAAATGGTTTGCTGAACGCAACGTCACCGATGACGTCGAAACCGAAATAGTTCATCCACGTACCGATTTCGATGGGCTTGCCGTTTCGCGATCTCGCGATCAGTTGATTTATGAGGTCTGCGCAGTGGCCGAGTATTTTAGGCTCGTATGTGGTCAGAGCTGGAGGGGCACGTTTCGTTCAATCAGGATATATGTAAGCAGTTGTTTTTTCGAATTGAACTTGAAAAATTGGGTGAAAATAATTGACTAACCCTTAATACCAAGTCCGCGATCCCAAATTCTCCGTCTTCTGGCATGATCACCTTTGTCGCGGAGCATCTGCAGAGATCTGAAGGGGTAATTTAGGTCATAGAATGGGCCTTTGACACAGACAGTGCCTGGGCCATGAATATCACGGATAGCATCTGCATGGTTGATTGAGATTTCTCGAGGCCCTGGTGATATTGGAGTCAGAAATACGAAATCTAGATTTCAGAGACGAGCCTAACCAGGCAGTTGCCAAAACGGGGGAAGTCAGCCTTGGACGTACGAATGCGAACAAAATCCCCATGCTCCTCATGAAGTTGTTGTACCTTTACAGGAAATTTGAATTCAGGAACAGAGACCTTGATGGACCAGAGTGCGGTCAATCTCCAAGCTAAAGGACCAGGGAAATCCCTAAGAGGGTGGAGCCAACCGCGGTAGAGCCCGATGCTTCCGAAGAGCCCAGTCATGTAGCTGACCCAGAAAGCGGACACAAGCAACAATGTGCTGGGAATGGATAGCACCGTCAATGTAAGGGTCACAGCCGGGCTCAGTAGACCAATAGCGAAGGCGTAGAGCGCCGTCAGAGTGGGTGTATATCGTTCCCATTCGCCATGCTTAAAGATCAGAAGGTGGGAGATGATCCCCAGTAAGATCCCTGCTGTGCAAACGACTTGCAACATTGTATCCAATTCTGTTCCTGATACTGACAGTACTAGGATCTTCCGTGTTGAAGGGTTGGAGGGGTGGAGGCGGTTGGAGACACTGTGCCTTGATCACAACCAGTTTCCCCACCATAATATACATAGGATAGCTGCTGGAAGGTGTGCGCTCTGTTGGAAAGATTATGCAAGAGATTATAAGCAGCTAGTTAACTAACTAACTAGTCAATTGCGGGCTGGCTGATCCATCTGCCGTGGATCCTGAGTAGAGGAAGTTGCACGGGAGCGCGACTCTGTGGACCTAGACTGTTCAGGTTTAGAGGCACGTTGTTCAAGAAACTGAACATAAGACCTTCTGAAGGATCAGAGCAAATTGTCACCATGTAACCTAATAGTTGACCAGACTGAGGGTTGGCGGAGGATGCTCAGACATGTTTGCCAAAATGCAATGGTGGAGCCGTGATTGGGTCATTCCATTTCCACATCCTGGCCTCTGGTGGTTGTTTCTCCGTCGCTAGATGGGAATTGGATATTGAATGCGCCTGGGGGCCTGGCTTTTTCTCATGGCTGGCAAACTAGAACTGCGTGAAGGAGCTGACCATTGCTTGGCCCTTATTACTCGTCTGCATCTAACTTCTTGTTTGGCCATAGCTTGTTTTCACCAAGAGTCCAAGTTGCCAGGAAGGCCACGCCATGCAAGCAAAGCCTTCGACCAAACCTGATCTGGGTGCGTTGAGTTAAAACTCGTGTGATGGAGCTATTTGTGATGTGCTGTTGAAAGTCCCCAGGGAAGCAACTTGTTCCACACAGCAAACCACGTTCCACGAGTCAAGAAAGGGGTGTACAATTCGCTGAGCATTTAAATGCGAACCGGTCGTTCAAGGAATGAAACTCCCAACCACAACATCGGTTCTTCATTTGTGGAGGCATGATGACCACTGATCATCGGCCAGTATGGAAGAATTAATGTGGTTCCCCGACTCTACCGCAGTAGCATTTGGGTTTTGCTTTGTTCTTGTTTTTGGGCGAAGGATGACAATCCATTCGACTTAGGCGGCAAGCGATAAGCTGCCTTCGTGTCCAGAACCAACCAAGTTAGAGGCGCGGATTTCGGCTCGGGAGCTAATAGCGTCCTGGCCCTGCTCACAGTGGAGTAATTTCGAGACAAGGAACAATCGCATCTATGATCATTGGTGGGCGTGAAAATCGTTCGAGGCCTTTGATGACTGTTGGGTTCAGCACTGAAGGATGATGTTATGATGGTCATTGACACTGGGAGGCGGTGGTGGATGGGGTCCGATGAACTCAACAAGGGCCAGTGTACGGACTTGCCTGGCCGTCATTCACAGATTTCCTCGAAGGAGCTGCTCCACACGGCACGTATTGAAAGCGTGAGGCAATCTTCATATAATTCCAAACATTCCCTCAAATTCTCCAATCGATAGCGCCTATACCGGCCTCGAAACCGCCCTTTCAACTTTCAGACCTTTGCTGCAGGATACCGATCACTTGGCAAAACCCTGTCTCGAGGTCTCTCCACGCAGCTGGAACAAGTCTCGCGCGCAGATAGATGTATGCAGCATCCACGAAGAGACATTTCTTTCATTGCGAAGGAAACTCGACTGTAACAAAATACCCTTGTGGGAAATGGGCCATTAGGGTGTGGGTCAAATCCCTGATATCTGTTACTTGTTGTTATGCTGTGTCTGATGGTCCTAAAAGAGTGAAAAATTATCAACAAACTTGCACACGGAAAAACCCTCCACTGAGCTATTTTTCTAAATTACCAAAGTGACGAAGAACCATATCACAGACCTAACAAACGAATGATACGTCTTGCATTGTGATCGCGGATTATTTTAGGGCTCTATCTCAGGATATCAAAGCATTTTCGCGTGTTATATTATAATAACGGCTATTTTTACGGCCCCCCGTCCCACGACCGTCAAGGAGACTTCAGTATGACCTCGCCAAATTTGGACTGAATGGATTGGGCCGGAAAAAGGCAGGCCCTTGCTTTGCTATATCTGCGACTGACCAACCCAGATCTGGAGCATTTCATGGTGCCATTGTGGTAGTATCTCACATGGCATCCGCTGCTATATGGCGGAATGAATAGCTTCCAGAGTTCAGTCTGATATGAAGCTTTGCGGAACAGATATGACCTATCATGCCCCAAGGAATTTACGTGTGTTCCATAAGATTATGGACCAGGGAGAATGAAACGAGAGCGGCCGATATTACGGCCTTGATTCTGCTCTGGCTGACCGTCTAGGGAAATCAAACTGTGACGTATGGATGGCACTGCCTGCAAGGAGGCACTGGTCAAGGTTTTTACAACTCTACTTCGCATCTATCTTTGCTTAGGCATTACTACCGTGCGAGCTTCGGTTTTCACAAGAACAAGTCATTGCAGGAATATGTAATTGTATCAGCAGCCGCAACTGCTAATCGTTTCTCAGACAACGGCTGACGATGAGAGAAGTTTGCCCGGGATAAGGGAAGAAGTGTACAGAAGAATTCGGTGGAATGAGATATTTACAGCAACCGTTTCCGGAATAAGGGCGTAGGATTCTCTCCAGATATTGATATATGGATCATGGCATGAGTTAGCCTTGTGATAATTGTTACCTCCTGTGAAACACGCATATATATATTTTGAGGAATAGGCTCCTACCTTAAGGATTGATCCTTTTAGTGTCGTGGTAAAGCCTCTCATCAAGATTGCATGTTTTACCTCCTCATATGCTGCTCCAGCTCCAATCGGGAGTTTGGGTAATTTTAATCGGTAATCATAAATACCGGTATTCTGAACAAAACTGCACAGATCTTCAGTTTTATTACGCCAAGCGTGACAGTACACACTCCCTTGATACATCGTCGTGGCCTCTTTCTGGAACAGTCAAAGCTTCTCCACTCCCTTTTCTTCCCATTCCTCCCACAGCAACCAGCTCGTCCCGCGACGCCCATTCCAATCCTAATCCTAAAGCCCTCCTCTCTTTTCCCTTTGTAGTTTAGAAGTCGCAACTCCTCACGACTTCTCCAACCAATCCTCTCATTCAAGACGAGCCCGTCCAACACCATGGTAAGAAGCTAAAACGATCTCAGCATCCTTGGGCCTCAACCATTTTGTTCTGCAACCACGAAATGAGCTTGTCACTTTCCTCGAGCGTTCGAATTGATTTCAAAAGGAGAAGAAAATCCCGTTACTAACTCGTGCGTCCTCGAAATTGTAGGCTTCAGGATCAGGCGTCGAATCAGGAGCTGAAGGACCGAAGTCGGCTTCTGGTGCTTCCTCTGGCATTTCGGGCTCGGCCCTCAATCGTCCCTCATCGCCTACCCCCCCCGGTGGACCTCGCACGGCTATGCGCCGTCGCGCTGCTGCAGATCACAAGGAATCTATCCGGAATGCACGTCCTGCATCAACACGCTCCGCTGGTGCGGGCGGCTCCTCGGGTACGATGCTGAAGCTCTATACAGATGAGAGCCCCGGCTTGAAGGTTGATCCTGTCGTCGTGTTGGTATTGAGCCTGGGTTTCATTTTCTCTGTTGTTGGGTTGCATGGTATGTGTTTCTCTATTGCCCATACCTTGTCCGGAGTGCATGTTTGGGCTGGCATGAAAGTTTCCTATCCATGTGTGGTCTGGTTGATGTGGGAATTTTACGTTACTGGATGCCACATATGTTTTGTTATCCTGGGAGATGCTGTATTTCTCATCTCATTACTTTCACACTAACTTGGGTTGTTCCGCAGTCATTGCCAAAATCTCGCGGAAGTTCGCATAAGTGCTTACTTGTCTGCTTCGTTCGATACCATCTGTGCTCGAAAAACACCATCTTTCCCCTAAGTTTGCGAATGAGGATCCGATGGAATACCCTGTACGATATGACCGAATTGGCGATCCAGGAGAAAATATCCACTTGGGGTTTCCATGGGTTGCTTGCAGGCTCATTGCATTTTGAACGGAGGACTTGGCCCTCCATTTGTCTTATCTTCTTGTCCTTTTGCTTGACTTTATATACGCTCCTCGTACTCACTCTATACCTTACCATCTTCCCATACCTACTGCCAATGACCATGTCGCAGTGAGCGAAAGAGCGATCTGTGAACATTTGGTGGAACTTTTCCAGCAATCCTTCGCTTTCACTTCTTACGCCTAGTTTGCACATGTCCACATTCGGCACCCGTATGATTTCCCCCACTACCCAAACCACTTCTCTACCTATCTCGACAGTCACCCATTTGTCTGCAGTACAATGGGGAACCCTGATCGCCAACTCCTTATACTAGTTCGATCCACAAGACAAAATATTTCCTTTATATGCCTATGCTTCCATGTGTATTTTCTTCTATTTCTTTTGCGCTCTGTTTCTTGAAATTTATGTCGTAAATAATATTTTTTTTATCTCTTGATTCAATTTATTCGCTCTTCGGATCGCTTTGTCAGTCGTATCTTCCCGCTCCAATTTCCGCTTGGTCCTTGATTTACTCCGGCATGTTGTAATGGAAGACTTGCGCTGGGGGAGGGCATAGACATAAAATGGCGTAATATTTGTTTGCTCATCAATTCTTATACCAATTTTGAAATCTTCTGCTACACATGACTTGGAGTGGGCTAGAACGGGACGTTTGAGTGAAGTTTTGCTCGGTTTGGACGGACTAGACTCGTTGAGAAAATGGAATGGGTTCACACACACACGATATTAAGCTTACATAGAATGTTTATCAGGCTCGTTTTCAAGGTTGGTAGTTTAATCTCTTACAAGATGCGACTGGAGAGAAATGCTAAATATAGACATAGGTGTCTGCTCAAGTCGAGCTGGAGTGTCAAGCGCCTGAGGCATGGCGGCTGCTGCCTGCGCCACTCGAAGATATAAAAGGACGCCAACATCCCTTCAACAACTCCCTCAAACCCATTTTCATTTCACTTGCAATTTTCATTCATATCCCTATATATTTTGCCTTTGCTGATAGAGTACCTCGCAAATGGCCCATAGGTATAGCACATCTGTTTCTGTCTATTGCTACTGCTAGTTATATAAACCGTCCTCGACAACATCTTTTGTACTCGTGTAGTTCCCCCAGTTGCGCGGCTATTAATTCCCCTAGGAGCTCACATTCTAAAGAACTTATTCTCCAACGTTACTAGTGTTTTATGTGCAATATGGCGACTGACACCGTCCATATTTCCGAAATTTCCCTGGTGGATACTCCCACGAAGTCAGTTACCTTAGGCCCTGAGAGAGCTACGATTGTCCGTGAGATCCTGGGTGTCCCTATCAAGGTACGGATACTTGTTTTATGCAACTAAAACGAAATGTATTATTCAACCATATTATTGACATTCTGCCTCGTTCTTTGGTAGCCAGGTCCGAATGAAATAGTTATCTATGGGGTGGACCCTCAAGTTGACCCTGACTCGATTCGTGTGTCTGGTCATGGCCCTGGCACCATAACCGACATACAGACTACCACAGTGACGCAAAGGACTCCCTTCGAAGAGCTGTTTCCTGGCTGTGAAGTCGAGCCTGGTGATGACGATATTGACGAGGAAGATCCGGACGACAATTTCGGGGTTGATAGATCGGAACTCTCAACTGCGGAGACGGAGTTGAAGGCTTTAGAGTCCGACCTTGCTGCAGCAGAGAGAGAACGGCAAACTGCAAAGAAGTCACTCGAGGTCCTGGATGACTATGGTAAAACTATCAAGGCAGGCGATGTGCCTGCCGCGAAGTTAGAAGAGTATCTCCGTGGTTATCAGACTCAGGTCTCGGCATTGGGTGAAGTTTTGTACAATTGTGACAACAAAGTAGCGGAAATTTCCGAGAAGAAAATGAGAGTATGCCGCAAGGTGAATAAGCTTTCTGTAGCATTCAATCGAGCTCGAGACGCAGCTGCAAAGCCCGAGCGCGATAGCAGGAAGAGGAAGTTGCACGAGCGTAATGTCGTGGTTGCGGAAAAGCGAAGGCGCCGAAACGAGCATTATCAATTTTATCCGTCGGAGGTGGGCATGGTTACGCTATTCCTGGACGGCTTTCCCAACCTCAATCCAAACGCCAGCGGTCAAAATCATACGACTTTGGCTACCGATTCCCTTGAGAGAACGGGGAAAATAAACCTTTCTCTGACCTATGTGACGAAGAAGGCGGCGTGGGTTCCCGCTTACGAGTTGAGTCTGACGACAGTAACCCCGGCCGGAAAAGGGGTATATTTGGCAGAGTATCATAATTCGAGCTCTGAGGTATGGCGCGATGCAAAGCTCGCGTTGTCCACGTCCGAGACTTCCTTTGGTGGACTTGGGGAGAAGCTTCCATTGCTCAAGGCGTGGCATGTGAATTTACACAAGGAAAAATCTGAGGAAATAAGTAACGCTGATAGCTGGCGCAGCGGCTTGGAGAATCCCGCTGAAATCAACTCCAGAATGGCTCTAGACCGCATCGCATTTGTTAAGAAAAATACCAATACTCTACCGACAATATCGCCCAGTCTTTTGATGAATAAAACGGCTAACCAAACGGAGTTTGTGGCGGGCCAACAACATTCATTACAACAGGTACTGCAACGGCAGCAACAGCTGATACACAATCACCGCATGCGACAGCAGCAACAGCAGCAACAAGTGCAACAAGTGCAATTGGCCAACATAGCCCAATCGCAGAGGATGCTTCCGCCTCCTCCATCCGCTACCGCACCTATATCACCTCCACTGGCATCTGTCCCTATGATATCAGGCAATCCCCTCGAAGATGATGACGCCACTATTGATGGCGACTCAATAGAGCCTGAATCGAATGCGCTCACTTTCCAAGAATCGTCCCGGCATGATCACGGTTTGACAACCAGCTACGATATACCAGGACGCCGAACCCTCCGCCCTTCGTCACTGAAACGCCGTCATGTAATCGCCGAGCTTGATTTCCCCAAAGTCGAATTCTCCCATGTGATCATCCCCAAACTCCGTCCCGCTGCTTTTCTCCGCGCCAAGGTCCTCAACACATCATCGCTGACACTTCTCCGTGGACAAGTCGGTGTCACCCTTGACGGCACATTCATGGGAATCGCAGTACTTCCTGGCAGCCGTCCAGACACTACCCTTAGCCTAAGCCTTGGCGTCGACCCAGGGATTCAGGTCTCTTATGCTAAACCCAGCTTGAAGCGGATGTCTGGTGGATTTTTTGCAGGAGGATTAGAGACTGCAGTATTTACACGTTCATGTCGGATCACCAATACCAAGTCGGCCGCGGTTTCGTTGGTGGTGCTCGATCAGGTACCCGTCAGCCAAAACGAAAGTTTGAAGGTTAATATTTTGGAACCTAAGGGGCTAGATAAAGAAGGCGATTCTGCCACTGTACTTCTTGATAGCAGTGCCGTCAAGACGGGCTGGGGTTCTGGACGGATAACGAGACTTAAAGGGGGGGAAATTATGTGGCAGCTTGAGGTTGAAAAGGGGATGGAGGTAAAGTTGACACTGGTTTATGAGGCGAAAATGCCAACTGGACAGCAGATCGTCGGGGTTCATTGATTGGATTCATTTCCTTCAGCCTCTTATATATGCCATTTGGCTCATATATTTTGATACTAGGAGCCTAATTTCTGGTCTGTCGGCAACAGTTTTTGATTGTAGAGTTGTACCTGGACGAAATGTAGTGGATTGGTGCTTTTCAAAACAGTTAGGGCTATTCCGAGACCCAGTTGTGGGATGGTTAATCTTTGTTGTAATTAATGGATACTAATGTGATTCTGATCATAATACAAACTTCAGAAGAAATTCATTCTGATACTTGTAGACTACACAATTGAGAGCGGTAGATAAAGAAGCAAATTGGATATTAGTTCATGTCATACTGTACAGACAGTGCAACATGGAGTTCTCTTATGCAACTGTCAAATTTCGATAGAATGCTCGGCCAAGGCGCTGAAGCCTATTATAGATTTTGCCGGGCCGGGCATTGTTTGTCGATAAATGCTCCCTTAAGTTGACTTTACACTTCGACTTTTATTCTGGTATGATCTGATATGACTTTCGGCATTGCCGGTGATTGGCCCCGCAGCCAATGCCGCGCAGTGAAATGCAGAGCCGAACTCCCTTCTCAACCTTTCCGGCGCCATTCTGGCAAGTATGAATCGTTGTGGCCAGCAACTATGTGTTCTGGAGGGTGTGGAGGCTGGATAGTTATTGGAGGCTTCAATTGATTTCATACAAAGGACGGTAGACACAATTGCGGACCCCAGGATGATGCTGAACCCCACGGCGTGCCAATATTTACATCTCACTCTCCTGTCTGCTACCACTGCAAATACTATACAAGAAACATCTTCTATCCCTCTCTGAATACATGGAAATGACGCCGCCCTTCGCTTTCTCCTCGATCCCAACAATCGACCTCTCCCTCGCCAACTCCCCCACGACAAAACCCGCCCTCCTCCAGAAACTCCACAATGCCCTTGTCTCCGTCGGATTTCTCTACGTATCCAACCACGGCGTCCCAGAGAACGTCATCGCAGACCTCGTCAACGTGATCCCGCAGCTGTTCAGTTTGCCAGAGGCGGCTAAAGATGAAATTGCGCTGCGTAATTCGCCCCACTTTTTGGGATATAGCGGTGTAGGCGCGGAGACGACGAGAGGGATAGCTGATAGACGGGAGCAGGTGGAGTTTGCGACGGAGTTGGATGTGACTTACGAACCGGGGAAGCCGCTGTATGAGAGGTTAAGGGGCCCGAATCAGGTACATACATACAATTTTGGACACTTACCCATATATCCCATGCTGCTGCATACGGATATAATAAATTCTGAACATACCAATACTCACATAAAACAAACAACAACGCAGTGGCCCTCCCACCTCCCAACTGTAAAACCAATCGTCCAATCGTATATCTCCCATCTAACGTCACTAGGCGAGCGCTTCCTCCACCTCGTCGCTGAAGCCCTCTCCCTACCGCCCAAAACATTCCTCCCTTTCCTCTCCGACCAGCACCGCCTAAAACTAGTCCGCTACCCGGGCACCACTACCCCCACCGCTGATCCCGGCGAAACAACCATCCAAGGCGTAGGTCCGCACAAGGACTCCTCAGGCTGGTGGACGTTTCTCCTCCAAGCCTCCCCACCCTCCGTGAAAGGGTTGCAGGCGTTGAATAAAGCCGGCGATTGGATTGACGTACCCTGCGTGCCGGGCACGTTCGTGGTGAATATCGGGCAGGCGTTTGAGGTTGCTACGAATGGGGTGTGCAAGGCCACCACGCACCGAGTCGTAATGCAGCCGGGGTCGGCAGAGAGGTTTAGCGTGCCGTTTTTCCAGGGGGTGAGGAGGGATTTGACGAAGGATGAGGCGGTGGGGAGGTTGAGGGGCCAGTTTTTGGAGGTTGGTTTGTTGGGCGGTGGTGGTAGTGGTGAGGAGTCTGAGGAAGGGAGGGAGATTGATTCACCTTTTTTGAAGGGGAAGTATGATACGTGGGGTGAGTCGCAGTTGAGGACGAAGGTGAGGAGTCATCGGGAGGTTGGGAGGAGGTTTTACGGGGAGGTTTTTGAGATGTACGTTAATGACGATTGAGGGAGTTGGTGTAGAAACTGGATACAAGTATATAAGTATACAAATTCCATTAATTTATGTCATAATCCCTAAATGTCTAAATATTACTAAGATCTTATTTCCTCCTCAACTTTATACAGCAGAAAATAAACCCATAGCAATTAGAGAGTACGCTATTTCTGGAAAACAGTGCATTGAAAATAAATAAAATTAAAGGCTCCAAATAACATTTCCCCTAGCCTAGTCAAATGGGTAGCCCCTCGAACCTTCCAAGCGTAAGGGGATTGCTTTTTCTTGCTTTCTTTTCCTTTCCTTTTCTTTTTTTCCCATTCTGTTTTCCCCCACGGACCACGAAAGCTGGTCACAATGATCCTCGGCAAGCCGAGCAAGGGATCATCAGACATAGGATACATGTACAGTACAAACATATGCAGACCGCCCGGTTATAAAATATCGTTATTATTGCTTTATTAATTTTTAATTTATTTTCTAGATCGCGGGAGATAACATTTTGCATCTCATATTGACACCGAAGGGTTCTTATTTTCTTCGGCCCCTTTCTGTTGTTTCGGGGCCGAGATGGACAGTGCACGGGCCGCATCTTGCTGGACGGCCCGTGAAAAGAGCGGGTCGGAGGATGAGGATGGAGGAATTCAGACAAATTATATAACAGAAATTCGTGTATATAAGAGTACTGGGGCTTAGAAACATAGAAAAATGAAATCGAATTTCCACATGTACTATTACTTGTTTCTGCATTTTTATATAGAAACTTTGCTTCTCCTATAACAACGATGGCGGCAATTGCTGGGAAAAGCTTGCTCATTGACCCAGAGACGAAGCCGGTGGAGGAGGAAGTATCTGGATCTCCTCAGAATGGAGACGAGACGGAATATCCATCGACAAAAACAGCCCTGGTGATAATGGGTGCGGTTTATTTGGTCTTTTTCATAGTTGCTCTCGTAAGTTTGAACGTAGAGGAAACTCAACCTACCCAGTTACCACCAGTATTTATCTTCCAAACAACAACAGGAAAGGTAATATCAAAGCATTTCAAGAATCGAACAATTATCGCAACCGCTATCCCCCGAATCTCCGACGACTTAAAAGCCCTCGAAGACATCAGCTGGTACGGCAGCGTCTACTTCATCACCAACTGCTCCACCCAGCTCATCTTCGGCAAGATCTACTCCCTCTACTCGCCCAAATGGGTCTTCATCTTCGCCATTGTCCTGTTTGAAATTGGCTCTGCGGTTTGCGGTGCCGCTCCAAATTCCATCACCTTCATATTCGGCAGAGCTATTGCGGGAATGGGGTCGTCCGCTATCTTCGCCGGTGCAGTTGTTATCATACTCCATACTATACCACTCCCTAAACGGCCAATGTATCTGGGGTTTCTAGGGTCTACCTTTGGGCTCGCCTCCGTCGTGGCCCCGCTACTAGGCGGGGTGTTTACGGATAAGGTTTCATGGAGATGGTGTTTCTATATCAACCTTCCCATTGGAGCGGTGACGTTAGCAATCGTGATATTCGTTCTGAAGATGCCAAAGGCAAAGCGTGGTACAGATCTTGCTAGTGCGTTCTTCAAGAAGAAGATGTTGCATCTTGATCCCTTCGGAATGCTTTGTTTTTTCCCAGGCATGCTTTGTCTGTTGCTGGCGTTGCAGTGGGGTGGAAGAACATATGGGTGGAATTCAGCCCGGATAATCGTCTTGTTCGCGGTGTTTGGATTGCTCCTGCTGGGGTTTGTGGGCCTTCAGGTATGGAATAAGGAGTACGCGAGTGTGCCAGGACGGATAGCCGCGCAGAGAAGTATGGTCGCTGGCGTTTACTACACAATCTGCACTGGCGGACACATGCTGGTGGTGCTGTATTACCTACCCATCTGGTTCCAGGCAATTAAGGGCGTGAGCGCCGTCGATTCTGGAATCAATATCCTTCCCACCATGCTATCTGTCGTCGTCGGTGGCATTGCGGCTGGCACGCTGGTCAGCAAAATAGGATATTACACTCCATTCATGATCCTCAGCACGGTGCTCTCCTCCGTAGGCACTGGCCTAATGATTACTTTTACGAAGGAGACGGGCCATGCGAAATGGATCGGATACCAGGTTTTGTATGGCTTTGGGCTCGGCACGGGTATGCAGCACGGACACATGGCGGCTCAGACTGTGCTGCCAAAGAAAGATGTACCAATTGGTGCAGCGCTCATGTTGTTCGCACAATCACTTGGAGGAGCCATATCTATTGCCGTTGGCCAAAATGTTTTTACAAACGGACTTGCGGGTCGACTGGCGGATATACCTGGCATCGATGTATCGACTCTCGTAGATGGCGGGGCAACAACACTCCGAGACCAAATCAAGAGCCCGAAAATCCTTGATCGGGTGCTCAGTGAATACAATGATGCCCTTCTTGAAGCGTTTCATGTGGCATTCGCGCTAGCATGTCTAAGCTTACTTGGGGGGCTGGCCATGGAGTGGAGAAGCGTCAAGCGCCAGAAGAAGGATTGAACTGTGCAGTGTGTAGTTAGTAATGTCGGACAGTTGTTGTAGATTCGGAGCAGGCAATTGGCATAATTTGCGCTAGTGGGAAATATGGAAACATATACAGATGTATTTTTAATCAATAGCGATACATTCATTTTTTGATATTTGCAACCAAGGAGGTTGAGTTAAGCAGTTGATCAAGCTTTGTTGGTACCACGGATCAATTCGGGATCTATCATATTGAGAGACTGGTAAAAGTCTTGGCGTAAAGGCTATGTTTACATTGGCTTGGCACCCGACCCGGACTTACTGCGAAGTTATCGTTGAGCATTTTTTATTATTCCAGCTTGGATTCCTCGAAACATCCTGTGCCAAGAGTAGCAATAGAGGCAGCTGTGTTTGGTTACACGTATTTGTTGACGCCGATTTTCTTGCTCAATAATTGACCGGCTTCGCTGGTAGCACGTTGGAACGGGTCGTGCATGATTGCGACATTCACAAGGGTATCGTTGATAGATGAATATACCCAGGAGAAAGGAGCTTTGAATACTCTTACTATTACTCTTCTTCATACTCCATTATATGTGTTTGTTAGCTTGATATATTTTCCGGGATTCACACTAAGCAATGAAACATCATGTCTTCAAAAAGCACAACCGGTCCCACACCTTCCCTCCCCACACATCTTGGCTCTTCAATGCCATATTCCTGCGTTCTCTGCTATCAAAGAAAAGTGAAATGTGATAGACATGACCCTTGCTCTGCCTGTATAAATGCAGGAGCTTCTTGCATTTTTCGCGCCCCGCCAGCCCCTAGGCGACGGAAAAAAACTTCACCGGAATCTGCTCTACTCTCTCGGTTGAAAAGATATGAAGATATATTGCGCAGCCATGGCATCAACTTCGGTGGAGCTCAAGATGGGACCCAGGAGGCTCCTAAACCTTTCTCATCGGGTCCGGCTGCCGACGGGTTTGATGGGGCAAGCAACATGCCCGTTTGGACAAAGAGTAATATGGATCAGGCCAGGGAAACCGGCGAGTTGGTTACGGCTGAAGGGAAATCCAAATACTTCACTGGGTTTGTTTTCTGGATCCTCTTTATCCTGTCCATGAAATGGGGAGTGGGAAGCTGATTTGATAAATACAATAGTACTTTGTGGATGAGTCTGAGTGATGAGGTTTGTCTTCTTCCGTGCGAACTGCCAATCCTAGAGTTCGCAACTCTGATGACACATACTCTATCGCCAGCTTCGAAACACCAAAGAGCTCTTTGATAACCAGTGTTCCTCGGATGAGGAGCAACCCGACACCCCGGAGCGGGGAGCATCACTCCTGCCAACTCTAGACGAACACCTCTTTATCCTCAGCTCCGCAACCTCTAGCCAGCCGTTGACTGCCTTGCATCCCCAGCCAGTTCACATTTTTAAGCTATGGCAGATATTCCTAGACAGCGTAAATCCGCTCGTTAAGATATTTCATGCACCGACGGTACAACAAGAAATTCTAGACGGAACGGCAGATTTGGAAAATGTCTCCAAAGCCACAGAGGCGCTCATGTTTGCCATCTATGCTTGCTCGATTACTTCCATGACTGACCACGACTGTCAAAGTCAACTATGTGAAACGAAATCGGCACTCTTAGCCAGATACCGGTTTGCCACGAAACAGGCGTTGATCAATGTCGGATTTATGCGGAGCTCGGACATCACTGTTGTCGAGGCATTTGTGCTTTACCTTGTGAGTTACAGCCTTTTTGCCACAGTTTGCTTATTGAAAAGGATTTGTGGTCTAATAATCTACGCACTTCGCATTACAGATTTCAATTAGGCGCGCTTGCAACCATCAAATCCTCTGGATCTACAGTGGTATATTACTTAGAATCGCACAACGCATCGGCCTCCACCGGGACGGATCTGTCTTCGGCATTTCCGTTTTCGAAACCGAAATGCGTCGCCGCCTCTGGTGGCAGATCATAAGTCTGGATATATACTCCTCTGAACTCTCGGGGGTAGGAACATCTCTGCTGCGTCATCCCTGGGACACCCGAATGCCCCTGAACATCAACGATAGCGACCTGAGCCCGAACATGAAACAGCCTCCCATAGAACACACTGGCCCGACCGAGATGCTATTTCGCCTCATCCAGTGCCAAGTTGGCAATTTCCTCAGGGAGGGTCAAGCTCTATTCTCGCCCGGTAGCAATTGGCGCGACATAGGCGGGATCGACACGTCCATTGGGGATAGGAGCAAGCGCGTAGACGACCTCGAAGCGCTGATGGAGGAGAAGTATTTCCGTTTCCGCGACCCTTCCATCCCTTTACATCAGACAGCCCTGTTGGTTGGCCGATGCGTCCTCGCCGTCGTGCGGTTGCCCATTTACCGCGTAAAGGGCAGGAGCGCTTGCCATAGCGAGGGGCCCAAGATTCAAGACGACAAGATGCGTGATCTCCTCTTCGCCACGAGCGTCAAGGTGCTCGAGTTCGATAATCTGATTAGAAACACAGCGAGCACGAAGCAGTACCTCTGGCACGCAGACATTAGTTTCCAGTGGCACGCCGTCATTTGCATGCTGACAGAGTTGCGCATGCGCACGGTCGGGCCCGATATCGACACCGCCTGGCATCAGGTGGGGATGCTATTCACCAACCGGCCGCAGCTGCTGACGAAGTTTAAGAATGCGTTGTATGTAGCTATTGGGAACTTGGTGTTGAAAGCATGGGCAGCGAGGGAGAAGGCGCTCGCTGATAATATGCCTGCGGGGTCGATGAATGATCAAGAAACTGTAGAGAGTGGAAGGCCGGAATATATACAGATATTAATCGCGCAACGGGCTTGCTCTGTTCGCAAGAAGGCGGCGGCGGAAACTGTAGCTACGAACGGGGTGGAACAACAATCATCAACGAACGCAACGCTGCTAGATGTGTCGTCCTACGGCATTTTGGGAACCAATAACAACGCGCAGATGACACCGATTGGAATCGGACCACAAGAATCTCCAATCCCCAGCCACCAGCGTCGCTTATTTAGTCCCGCTCCGCTCGGTACATTTAGGATCGCTGGTACCCATCAGAACACCAACGGGAGGTTAGCTGAAACCGAAAATATGGAGGATAGTCATACAGACACATATCTCGACCCGTCAGTTCTTATAACCCAGGGCAATAATGGCGGTGTACAGAACTGGTTGGATGACGGCCCCCTTGATTGGACGCAGTGGGATATGTTGGTGCAGGAGTTTGATATGGGTTGGGGTGATATGGAGGTTGGTTGAGGACGGCGGCTTTTGTATTGGCTTTTTATTTTTATACAACTTAGCCAAGGGGAGAGAGGGGTAGGGAAACGGCTTGCAAGATCAGCTAACCAGAGATCCATTTTCCTACCTTTTTTTTTTTTTTTTCAATATATAGTTCTGTTTTAGGTATTTTTTCTGTTTAACTGTTTGTAAGGAATGAATGGGGGCTTTACATAAACGGGAACGAACGAGGCATGGAGAGTTTTAGCTGCTACTAGAATTAGGTGAATGCTAGCATTGTCTTCCAAAGCTTCACATCAACACTGGTCATCACCCGGCACTGGCTAGTTAAACCACTTTTCCGCAACATATAGTTTACCTGGCAAAAAACTTCCGTCCAGGTCATGGCCCTGTTTAACTAGATGGTATACGAAACATAAGTGAATCCCACCGCGGAGAGTACCAGGCGGCGGTGTATATTGAAGCGGCCGTTTGCAGGTGAAGCGAGCCTCATTCAGACCCAGCAGTTAACCCATCCGCTGGTAAACCCATAATAATGTATCACTGACAATAAACGAGGATAAACGGCCTGTACTGGACGGGCAAAACAGCACTGACCACCTAGGCCAAAAAGACCATACAGGGCTGGCTTCCTGCCAGTAGTGCCCACCAACAGGGGCATACCGTTGCAATACTATTTATTGCAGTGTAGTTATAATCGAAGCATGTTGCTTTTCTCAAAAACCTGATAACTGGCATAACCTGTGGGATGGTTAACCTTGTTATCACTGTGGCGGAAGCCATAGCCCTGTAACTATCAGATCACGTGTAGTGGACCGTCGCCTTGGCAACCATGCCCAACACGTGACTAGCACACTCGATTAGCGCAAAGTCCCGCGCCACATTTACACGCAACAAGCGCTCCGGGAGGCGGAGTCAACAGAGGCAACACCACCTGTCCGGGTAGTCTCAACCTCAAGCTGCAATTTCATATCCTCAGACATCCCTCACATAGGAAGCCTCTGTTGTTGCTCTTCGACTTCATCATTGTGCCCGGCTTTTGCTTTGCTTTGGCTACCCGGTCATAGATGTCACTGAACTAAAATTAACCGCCGACTCCCCGTCAAGCGCCGCCACCAACTTTGAAGGCCTTGTTGGCTTGCGACACATCGATATACTATAGGTATTGGCTTGTACAGATCCGTCTTGCCCGCCGTCTTTAAACCAGCCAAAAAGGAAAAAATAGAGACGTAAAAAAAAATAGATATCTCACACCAAGAGACAGAAAAACACCGGCACCTTTCAAAGACAAAGATATTTTTACGTCTACGTTAATACGGCCATTCTCTTTACGGGAACGAAAAGATGGCTATTTGTATTACATTTGGGACTCAAGGTACATTACATCCATTCAAGCAAAGTGGAGATACAATGATCAAACCCTTGTCGCCCTTGTATGCTTATAGCAGGAGAAGGAGAGTACGAAATGTGGCAAATGAGCCTTTTACTAATGATTCATTCCAGAATTTACGTCGCGCCTTAAGGGATATGAAAATGTCACTGCACAATGCCATAATTGTAAGTTTGGCGCGCGTATAGCCGGAAAGGATTCCCTTCCCTTCCCTCTCTGTTAAGTTGAGGAAATGGTAAGGGGCAAAGCAATGGGTTTCTAACCTGGTTATCTGTTTCTCTTTATAGGCGGGAATTGGTCTGCTCATTGCGTCACGAGATGGTAGGCATTGCTAATTCATAATATTCCCTATTTTCTTTGCAAACCATTTGATTCAGAACCGCTTTATCGCATCATCAGGCGCAAATTATATGCTCTCTTGAGATGCTGAGAGAAATGGCTGAAAATAGGAGGACCTGACTAACTTCTCTATGTTTTTTAGGCCTTGGTTTACAGTTTGCTTCGTTGTATGACAACCCTTGAACTATCCATTTGTCACCGCAAAAGCCTACTTAATTCATAACTGATTATATTTGGTTTTTACTTAGCCTGTTCTTCCTCTATCGACTCACAAATATAAGGTTTGTCCTGCTATGCATACCATCCTATGATATCTCATGAAACATAAGGTCCTCATTTTCATGACAAAACTAAACTAATCATTCCCTCATTCTGTGTGCTTAGGAGGTTATCTGCCACGTTTGCCGCTTCGCACAAGATCTAAGGTAAACTAAAAGGAAGATTGCTCATTGGCTATTTTCTATTTTTTCCCCTCGCCCCCTCTCTTTTTTTTTTAGATCATTCTTCTTATCGACATCTAACATTCTGTCACACAGCAATCGACCTGATGTTGAATCGCAAGCAGGTGGGGCTGCACCACCACCCGGACCATATCAAGGGCACCCTGGCTGGGGCCCTCAGGGTCCAGGAGCCTCGGGGGCACTAGGACAACAGCAGCCAGGTTACGTGTATAAATAGCTCGCGGAACTAAAAGCATAGTTTAGGCTGGGCCGGATTTTTGTTCTTCTTGTTTCTACCGTTCTTCGTCCCGTTTATGTTTCCCACTTCCATCGTCTTATATCTCCTTGGTCTTGCCATATTTTATGAACTATTTTCTTCCTCCCATTCCTTTGTTGTGCTGGATTTGGACTTCTCCAACTGTCCCTTCTAATCTAACTTACTATCTAATTATGGAATACTTCGATATTGTCATGATTGCATCGCCAATGTACGATTACATACCCCACTGTTTATTGGAACTTGATTTTTGATGGGGGGTCGATTCCTTTTCTTGCTCTCTTTTATTTCGTTCTCTCTTTCCTCTTTGGGCTTTTTTAGGGGGTGAGGGAGAGCGGGCGGTTCTCAGTATGCTTTATGGATTGAGAAACAGATTTTTATGGATCCGGATTTGACTAATTTCACCTTACGGAAAATTACATGGTTAATGGTAAATTTGTGTTGTGTTTCTATCTGTTCATTCGTAAACGAGGAAATGATATCACGAAAATGTATGGTCTATGGAGCGATCAGACAAAATATATTGTAGGTTTCATAAGAAGAATAATGGAGGCCAAATGATAAAAACATGGAAACGGAAACATGGCACAACAAATAAGGACAAACTGTGAAAAGAAGAGAATAAAAAGCGAAGAGAAAAGGTTCGTGAGTCGTTCATTTCCAAGCTCCAGTTTCACCTTCTATTGCCCGCTTTCTTTCCTTCTCTCTCTTATAGACACGTGCAAATATGTATCACAAAAACAATCCAGTAACATTAGGCGCCATTTAATACAGGTTCTAGAGCGGCAAACTGTGTATGAGAAAGAGAGGGGTTTTAAGTCATTCTGCGACAACCACTGCAGAGCACAATGGCATAAGGCGAGGATCTCGATATGAAGGGGGAGACCGAGTGCTGGCATTTTCATCCCGAAAACAGGCAAATGATCGCAAGCTATTTATTGAGTTTTGAAGAGCAGAATGGCGCAGTGTCCCACGTAAAAATATATAAAATGCTTGGTTTCTATATGTTCATGACATAAAAGTTAGCTGGACATTCATCTCAATTTTTTTTTTCCCCATCTTCCCTATGTAGGGTGGCATAAGATGGATGGGCTCCTTACCATGTGTCACGAAGCTGCCAAAATTGCGCCCTACTATGCAATGCCAGGTTGCGCCTTTGCGCAGGTCGAACTGCGTACCAAGCCATACCTTAGAAAAGGATCAATACGGAAGTGGATCTGGAGCGTTCGTTTACCTCTTTCTTTATGTATTGCGCAATATCCTATTAAAATGGTAATCTTGTCAGTCTCACAGACATCGATCCAGTAAATCTACATGCACAACTTCTGGTTTAGACAGTAGTGTTGTACCTTTTCGATATGGTATTTATCCATGGCCTCCGTTGCTGCCAAAACACCCAACAGTCAGCACCAGTATTCCCATTCCGGAATTATGCCAATTTTCAAGGTTATGCACGTACCGACTTCAATTGCCTCTTGCTGCATGTCTTCGCTCTGGACGCCGAGTGGGTATTAGTGGCCATTCGAGAGGAAATGGGCGTAGCCACAGTCATCCTTTTTGATGCTGCATCATAATAAGATTGACGCGCTCACCATATCAGCAGATTTAATCTGGGCTAATGATTTCACATCTCGTCAGTAAGTCTTCTTTTTCCCTAGGTGATAGCCGCCTGGCAGAAGAGGTTGTATGGGTTGTATACCTTCCAGCTTCTCACGCTTTTCAGTAGCCATTTTGAGTATGGGTTTCGAGATATATTCCAAGTAAGTTCCAAAGGTACAACAAAAGCCGGATTGTGCTATGGGGCGATGATATAAAGTGACGTGAGTAATTCAGGGGTGAACTACAGCAATGTTTCTCTAGCTGGTGCTGTATCAGATGAAAGCTAGGGCGCGAACTATCCCTCACCGCCTTTACGGCAGTAAAAAACGTTATTCTTTTTCTCTTGTTTTTCTGTCTGATTCTCTAAAACAAGGTCGAAGAATTCCGTCGTATTCCCACCCAACCAGTATGGAGGAAAATACAAGAGTCTTCGTGTCAGGCTTGCCACCTACTTTCTCTAATGATGAGCTGCGAAAGCACTTCTCTACTCGGTATCAGGTTACTGATGCTCATGTCATCCCTAAACGAAGGATTGGTTTTGTGGGCTTCAAAACGCCTACAGAAGCACAAGATGCTGTCAATTACTTTAATAAAACATACATAAGAATGTCAAAAATTGCAGTGGAGATGGCGCGACCGGTATGTAGCTTTTCCCTTCCGCTGTACTCTGCGCTCCCAACTTTCCCACTCTGCGATTTTACGGAGCCCCCTTTGAAGGCTGACCCAACTGAAGGATTTTATGAAGCTGACCGAATTCCTAAGGTCGACGCTGATCCACCAGTAGTCGGGAAGGCAAATCCAAGACATGCTACATCAACCGACTTCACAACTCTCAAACGAAAGCACGACCAAGTAGAACAGAGCCTAGACCCCAAGCTCCAGGAATATCTTGCCACGATGAAACCGACAATTAGGTCGAAGACTTGGGCTGACGATGGTATATTAGTCAATGCTAACGGAGAATCAACGGATAGTGCTCAAGTTATATCTTCTGGCAATACTGAAACACCCAGCATCAAAGCCAAGCGCCTGAAGCCTGGCCATGAGCCCACTCTTAAAACCAAGCAGACGGAGCGACTGGATGATGTAACTGAAGATAATTCCGTAGCAAAGAAGTCTGTGTCTTTCGAGACTGAAGATGAACCTGAGGCCACGTCTGTTGAAGAGGCACCAAAATCCGATATGGATTGGTTGCGATCGAGAACGAGTCGACTTCTTGGCCTGGTTGAAGATGATGAAGACGAGGGATCTCACGAGACTACTGAAATACAGGAAATTGAAGAAAACTATGATAGGGACATTGAAAACGCAAGGAAACGGAAAGCGCAGGAAACTTCGCCACCTATTCAAAACGAACCACCCAATCCACCCGATCAGAACGAATCCTTTGACGCGAATATAGGTCAACTCCGTGAAACTGGTCGGCTTTTTGTTCGAAATCTTCTCTATAATGCTAGTGAGAGTGACATGGAGCCACTATTTTCTCCATTCGGAAAGATCGATGAGGTAAGAGCGCTGTTTCGTTACGTCAATACTCTCTTTCTCATTCTATGTGCAACCTCTCTGCACTTCAGGCCCCAATGATGATCATCCAGATAGGGACAGCTTATGCTATGCATGTGATGTTACCTGGAAAGAGAATTTTAGTAGATGCCTCTTGTTATCTGAGCCTATCGTGACAACTATCTGAAGCCCTCACTCGCCTTGCTTTTCCAAAATCTACCCAATGCTGACCGATGAATAGATTCATGTTGCGTTTGATACGCGACATTCCAAAAGCAAAGGCTTTGCTTACGTACAGTACGCAAACCCCGAGGCGGCCATTCAGGCTTACAAAGCACTAGATGGGAAAGTATTCCAAGGCCGTCTTTTGCATATCTTACCGGCCTCGTCAAAGAAAACGTACAAACTAGACGAATATGAGCTTTCAAAATTGCCTTTGAAAAAACAGCAGCAGATCAAACGAAGACAAGAAGCGGCATCATCAAATTTCAGTTGGAACTCTTTATACATGAATGTGTGTTACATGTTATTTTCGCGTCCAGATTAATTCAATGATCTAACTCCTTTTCCTAGGCTGATGCAGTTATGTCATCAGTATCCGAAAGGCTTGGAGTTTCGAAATCCGAGCTTCTTGACCCCACGTCCTCTGACGCAGCAATCAGGCAAGCCCATGCTGAAACGCATGTGATCCAAGAAACAAAAGCCTACTTCTCATCTAATGGAGTGAACCTGGATTCGTTCAAGCAACGGGAACGTGGAAATACCGCAATCCTAGTTAAGAATTTCTCCTTTGGTGTAAAAGCTGACGATATAAGAAAGCTATTTGAACCGTTTGGACAAATCAAAAGACTCTTAATGCCCCCGAGTGGCACGATAGCCATCGTTGAGTTCGTCATGGCGGATGAGTGCCAAAAGGCATTCAAGGGACTCGCTTATCGAAAACTAGGTGATTTAATTCTGTTTCTGGAAAGAGCTCCTAAAGACCTATTCGATGAGAAAGCGACTGCTTCAAGGGTTATAGCACCTCCTCCAAAGGTGGTCTCGCAAACATTCTCAACTTCGGATACTTTCAAGGCGACTGAAACGGAAGAAGCCGAGACTCCGCTGGAGACATCCACTCTCTTCGTTCGAAATCTTAACTTTTCAACAACAAATGCCCGTCTGACAGAGGTGTTCCAACCACTGGATGGATTCCTGTCCGCTAGGGTGAAAACAAAAGCCGACCCAAAGCGGCCAGGAGAAACGCTTAGCATGGGTTTTGGATTCGTGGAGTTCCGCACAGCTGCTCAAGCTCACGCCGCACTCGCCACGATGCAAGGCTACAAGCTGGATCAACACGAACTCGTCGTCAAGACCTCGCACAAAGCCATGGACGCTGCTGAAGAACGAAGGCGCGAGGATAATGCGAAGAAGTTAGCCATGCGGGGAACAAAGATCCTTATCAAAAACTTGCCATTCCAAGCCACGAAGAAAGACATCAGAAACCTCTTCAGCGCATATGGCAAACTCCGGTCTGTCCGCGTCCCGCAGAAATTTGACAGGACGGCTCGTGGTTTCGCGTTTGCTGATTTCATAAGTGCGCGCGAGGCGGAAAATGCCATGGACGCGCTGAAGAATACCCATCTTCTGGGTAGGCGGCTGGTGTTGGAGTTTGCGTCCTCGGAAGCTATTGATCCTGAGAAGGAGATTCAAAACATTGAGAAGAAGATGGATGCTCAGGTGAATCTGGTGAATCTGAAAAATCTTGCAGGTGCAGGGTCTCGACGTAAGAAATTTAATGTTGATGCTGGCGAGGATGAGGATGGATGAACGAATTATCTATATTATTTTGTTTATTATAGCCCATCCCAGAATGGCAAAACAATCAATAAATATATACCTTAATAGATATATATATCTGTTTGGATAAAATTATGTGGCTGCTTTCGAGGTCATACTACTCATTATGGAGGGGAAAAAACGGCCACATTGAGAACCTCTATAGGTATGGCCATTTAAGCGAAGATTGGTAATGGGATCCCGTAGTTACTGCAAAAGTGGAAGGGTAAGGATCCGTAACGATCACTCTAGACCAATCAACCTCGACTGCGCGGGGATAGTTTCTACTTACTTTTAGGGGATTGTGGAACCTAAGATTCCTGTTGAAGGCACTGATTCCGTCGATTTCGTTTTGCTCAAGGCCGAAATCATTGACACGTAGATTCCCAAGGAGACGGGTTTTAGAGTTGCTCTTAGGGATGATAGCGATACCTCGTTGTGTGGCCCAACGGAGGACGACCTGGGCAGATGTTCTGTCATGCTTCCGAGCAATGGGCGTAATAATGGGGTGAGAAAGTAGCAGCGGGACGTTCCTGGCGATTTGCATGTTGAGCTCAAGAAAGCTTGTGTTGGCGAACGAAGAATAGGCGGTAACAGCAATACCATTCTCTCGAGCGAAATTCACTAAGAGACATTGGGTAAAGTATACTCAGAGTGATGCTCGATCTGGAGAGCGGCAGGCTTGATTCGCGCATAGCGCAGCGGGTCCATGATGAGCTGGATGTCTGATTCCGATGCTACGAGACAGTTCTTTGTCAACCAGCTCCTCCATGGCTTGCTGGATCGTGGTACCACTGAGAATGATCGAACTTTCACCTTCACTAAACTAGCCTGGGGAAGTGTACAATGTAGAGGTCGAAGTAGTCAATGCTCCAGTCAGCTAACTGTTTCCGCGCAACATGTTCAACTTGCTTAGAATTATGATAAGCCTGCCAGAGCTTTGACACGACGAAACGAACAGCTCCTTGCGCCTCACAATGCCACTTGAATGGCCCGAGCCGCTCACTTTCCAGCCTCAGCGTCGTTCCCCGTAGTCTAATATGCAGTAAAATGATGTATGTCAACTGCCATACCAATCTTCACAGGGTCTTTTAGCGGTCTGGTCAGAAGGGAAGCAGGGGTTTCCTTACCATAAGCACCATCTAACAGGCGGTAACCAGCAGCTGTTTTTATTGACCTTCCACAGCCCAAAGCCAACAATGGGCATGTTGTACCCGCTGTTTAGCTTTATATCCGGGACTGCCATCTTTCCAGCCAACTGGATTATAATGATTGCCGTTTCTCAAGTAATTTGAGACAAGAGTTAGCTGTTGGAGGTACTCTGGACATGAGCGGCCCTGCTAGCTGAATGAGGCGAGCCAAAGGAAAGAAATTGAGCATGAGAATAGAAAGCAAAAGAGTAGGTAACGGACGGAGCAAACAGATTGGGTTTGTATGTATGCATGGAATGAAGCAGCAGTGTTATCCTTTCCCAGGAACTCTCCTCTGCCATTGCAATTAAAAAAGGAATTGCAGAACGAGGGCTGTACATACACTGTGCAGTCAGTCAAGGCCAGTGTCCCCACCATTGCGACCAGGCCTGGACATTGCTCCACGCTATACCCATACTCTCCTTGTGTAATGGATTCACCTATGGCGAAACGTCCACAACCTGCTCGTGCAACAGCAGGTAAATTTGAACCTATTCCGAAGAACAGAGATTAAAATTCTCAGTTTCTCTGGATCAAATTAAATTGCCTGCGCTAGGCATTGATTGGCATAATTCAACATCCACGCATTTGATTTTTCGATATCAACGTCCAGTATCACCGATGCATTTTGTAGAGTGGAAATAGCATTTTTCAATCCCAACCTTGGAATGGCTACACCTTTATGTTTTGAAGGTAACTCTGTGTCATTTGCAGAGCAGCTTTCCGATCCCGGCACAAATAGCTAAACCTTGTGATCAGATGAGCCGATTAGCCCTGTCCGACTCATTCATCATGGACGCAGAAATTAAAGATGAATAGTATAAGACGGTGGACAAAACAATCGAGTAGATGAAGGCAGTTCTCGGCTCCGAAATTTGGGACCCTAGGTTGTATCAAATCACATGATCTCCACCAGTTATGGTTTTTTCTCTTAGCATCAAAATTCAAAGTGATCCAACAGGCCATCATCAATCAATAATCGAACCGGATGATATTTACGTGTTTCTCTATGTCTACTTCACAAGTGCCAAACAACTGTCATCTTGAACTTCAGACTATATAAAGGGCCACGTGAAGATATCCCCGCTGGGCTTTGCCCCTGTCGAAGTTTTCAGGACCTTCATCGAAGGACAAAAGAATCCTAAGTACGGAAATCTTCCCACCCAAAAGGGCCACTTATCCATGGGAGACACCACATGGATCGCAAGCAAACACTTCAATGACAAGAGGATTCACGAAAGCTGCCTGAGGAGTTTCTTGGAAGTGGGGCGACGATAACGTCTGAATTATCACATATATTCTTGATATCCTAGGACCTACCTATGGCGACCTTCGCTGCACGCCATGTTGCGAATCTCAAACAAGTCCATATCAAAATGGTACCGAGTCCGCGCACACTCGCGGAGTCGCAATTGATCCTTGGGGCGATACGGAAATTTGGGGAAGTATCGTATTTCTTGAATTTGAAGGTATGTATCTTGTTGGGTTAGTATTTCTGTATCTTGCTTCTTTGTGCCGATAATGAAAGCGGATTTGCCTCGACTTGTATTCTTTCTTTCCTTGACTTGATATCAAGTTCTCTATGTGTTCGTTTGGCTTTATGGACTGGAAACGGGGGATGGGCCTGCTTGCTATCAAATGTGGACGAGTGTCCTTATTGGCATTCAAGCAGCTATTGCACTCGTTGAGACCATTGAAATACGGCGATTAGCTGTCCCTCTTCCTTTTGTGATACACATTGTTTTGACCGCCTTTCTCAGGGCGATTCTCTACGTTTTTTTTGGACTCTTCTGGGATTTGTACTTCAGCGCATTGCCCTACCAATTTCTACCATAGATATTTCAGCAGCCCAAAGAACCTAGATAAAAAGCCCTGATTCATGCTAACAAAGGTGTATTAGAATACTCCATCCCGAGAAGCCAAAAATACTGGTCGCTCAGCATTGGCAATTTTTGAGGACTCCCAAGCCAGGAACGCAGCTTTGGAAGCTTCTCCACTTGTCGTTCCTATCCCTAGTCTATCTACACTCTTCCCATCAACATACCCGCCTGATTCTGAAGGATATCAGCATTCAACAAAAAGTGCCCTTGGCAAGCCACGCATCAAAGCCAAAACCAAAGAAGCCAGAATGAACAAGGCCAGAGAAAAGGAAAAGGAACAAAACAGCAACGATCATGAGAACTGTGATGCCAACCAATCTCAATCATCAATCATCTGCTATATCGAGCCGTCATACCATGACCACAGTGTCGCAGTCAAGCAGAATCCATACCATAACGCCTTCCTTGTCGCGTCTAACTCTGTTGAGGTTCAGGATCTTTTGCAGATAGCAAATGGTACGGGTGGAAGTGGTAGCTACAAAAAGCGTAGCCATGCTCCAAGTCCAGCTGCGTCACCCTGGCTCGGACACGTCGACTGCTTTCCGAAGAGGAAACGGCCGGTTCCATTTCGTCATCAGATTAACGTTATGCAGATTGCCGAGACGTTGCATGGCGATTCGCTTATGCGACTGTGGCGGGAGGGACGGGAGGCCGCGGAAAAGAAGTCTGCGGAGGCGAAGAAGGTGAAAGAGCAGGGGCCCGAATTGTCACAGCCTAAGAAGGGACAATCGCAGCAAGAAGCACAGGATCCAAAGCCGGGAGAGGGAAATTCTGAGCAGCAGAACGAAATCAGCATAGTCGCATCCTGAACAGGTTACTGAAGAGAGGGGACTTTTCTTTTATTTCTTGCCCTTGCTGAAATGTAGAGAGGGGGGTGAGAGTAACAAATGCTCCTGAAGACAGCGTTCGAAATACTCCCGTCAGGCGTTATCTTCCTCGAAAAGGAATTTGGAACAGGTTGCGTCCCTTTTTTCTTACACTTATCCAACAGAACAGAAGAATCCTCGATTAGACTATGCCCTTGACGTGATGATGATTTTGCGTCACCGAAATGTCCTCCTATTTAACGCCTGGAATTTGTGACTGTTCGGTCCCCGAATATCAAACAACTGGTCCAGCCAACCAGATCAAGCAGAAACTCGACGGGATGGTACGGGTGGACAAAAAGAATCGATCCATTTCTCCCCATACCTAATTTCACCCGGGAATCAAACAGACCGATCAGATCCTACTCTGGGTGACTATCGCCGTGTGTCGCCATTGGGCAGAAAGGGGCAACCTTCCAAGATTACCTTTACCAGCACGTGGTGTAGGCAGGTATTATGTACTCTGCATAGAGCTGCTTTCGCTTTTTGTGTATATATAGAAGGGCAGTAAATCAAAATGAGATGGGGGGGGGGAGACACCCGATGTTTAGAGGTTCAAGAAATTATATAGAAGATTGAACCCACGGTGAGGATATGTATACACCTATGTAAAATAATATGATAATAACACCCACGTCTTACAGGCCTTGTGCTCCTTAACCATACTGTGCATTATATGTTGCAGTGCAAAGATTCATGACTTTTTGTTTCATTCGGAACATCTGCGAAATTGGAAAGCCTGAGAACACGATATCTAGATATACTTAGTTGCATTCACTTCATTCCTCAGCTTTTAAGGGCTAGAATAATTTCAATCCTTTGATGTCTACCACATCTACGAAGCGATATTTTATTATAAGGAGACGCGCTGTGAACGTAGACCATATTTGAAGACACTCCTCTTGTTTCCTGCATCCTGCTGGCAGTCTCGGTGAGAAATGTCAGGGGAGGGGAGCGGTTACTAAAATAACATGCTTCTTACGATACACGCAAGTACGCTATAAATCCGGAATTTGTTAGCCAAATCGTCATTTCACTTCACGGCGGCCTGGCCACAGTGTGACTAGCGTGCTTAGGAGGCACAACGTAGGAATTGACTAAACAAACTAAATAAAGGATAAAACCAATAAAAACTTACTCGCATCAATCTGTTGAATCTGCGGCAATGCCAGCCGGACTTTATTCCTATAGAGCACCGAAGAGGCCGTTTGCAAAGGATTCCCCTCAAAATACACTGTCTTCAGCTCCTTTTTATCTCCCAACTCACGCTCGACTTCATCGAAGCTAGCAAGCTGGTTGTTGGAAGCCCAGAACTCTTCGAGATGGGAGAGATGCGATATATTTTCTAGTTTACTGATCTGATTGCTGGAGATGTCGAGGACGCGGAGGTTGGTGTTATTTTCTAGACCGGATATAGCGGTGATAGCATTGTGAGAGACATAGAGCTCTTCGAGGTTATGGAGATTTGAGAGGCCAGAGATGGTTGTCAGGCGGTTTGAAGGGAGAGAGATGATTTTCAGGTTGGTAAGGGCATCGATGTTCTGTATGATGTTGGATTAAAACGGTGAGAAAATGCATGATTGATTGCATGCTCTCATGTTTTGAAGACGGAGCCTATTGAACGCTGTTGAGGAAATGCAGCGGATCATTCGCATACCTTGATTTCGGTGATCTTATTCTTTCCTAACCACAGTTCTTCTAGAGCAGTGAGGTCATCCAGATTCTCAATCTCCTAAAATTATACTCATAAGCACGGCTCTTCACACCAGTCCAGCCAAGGAAGAATTGTAACACTACATACCCTAATCCTATTGGCCGCAAGCTCCAAATTTCTCAACGCCCTCAATCCATCCAACCCCTCAATCTTTTGTATTCGATTCTGCACAAAGTATAGGTCCTTCAAGTGTACCAAGTGCGAGATATTCTTGATATGTTTGATGTTGTTGAAACTAAAATCCAGGTTGGTGAGCTTTGTGAGGGCATCTAGTCCTTTAATACGCGTGATCAAATTGTCGTAGAGATCTAAATCGGTAAGCGTTGGGCCGAGGTTTTCTGGAAAATTGATTTGAGATATTTGGTTCTGTCGGAGGCAGAGCTTCTGAATTATTTTTATTCCCGATTGAATGACTTGTCAGCCGGGGGGGCATACAAACTTGGATATATTTGGGGGGCTGCGGGGAAGGGAAAGGGTACCTCCAGATGCGTGAATCGTTCTAGATGAAGTGCTGGAAGAGACGATATACGGCAATGAACCAGATCGATGTCCTATAATCTGTGTCAGCAATCGCTCGTCTCCCACGGATTTGTCTCTCAGAAGGGAGAAACAAAAAGGTCGTGAGATAAGATACGCGACCATCCGCAAGGGAGCCTTCCGCCCACGCACCTCAACATCGTCAGCCAAATCCGAGAGCAGGTCTAAAGAGAAAGCAAAGTCATATACATTAGCCCTTGTGGTATGAAAAACTGTAAAAGAGAGGTACTTGAAGCCACATGAAAATAAGGTGATGTGCCTGGATATATAGAAAGTGCGGGGAGCAAAGTACCCTCATCAGCCTCTATCGTTTCCGGGGGCGGGTCATTTTCATCTGAATGGTCTTGGTCTTCGAGAGCTTCAGGATTTGCAAGCACGGCATGGCGCTCGACCCGAAGCTTGCCATCCCAGCCTTTACCATCGTTCATTGCCGCACTACAGTCTTTCATCTCGGTATTTGTAGCCGGGGTTGGGGTTAGAGTTGAGACTGGGGACTCCAGATGCGGTTTGGTCATGTAACTAGCTGTTGCGCGCGGGCTGGGAAGATGGCCGGACGTTCAGGAAGGCGAAGAGGAAAGAAGCTCTGGAGACAGTAATACGCTCAAATGTATGAGAAAAGGCGATCTGTAGCAGTTGGGTTTTATCACGACACGAGAGACGGTTTGGTGAAATGATGTCACAAGTGGATCGAGGATCGTACCATCCCTCACCTAACACCACCTGATACATCGCCAGGTGCATCGAGTTTTACACGATGGAACTTATTTTCCCACATTGGCTGGAGGAATGAGTCAATTATCCTCTCTTATACCCTCATATTATAGCAGAGTAGGAGACTGCATTTCCCCTAGATTTCTCTTGTATTCTTATTATTGCCTACTGGTAGTTACTGGTACTCTTCTTCCATTTCTGGGCTATAACATGATTTGCATACCGACTGAAGAATTTCTGGTTTATTGTCCATTGTTTCTTTGAACAAAATTCTCCCACTTTTACTCCTGAACTGTTGAAAAAAGAAAAACAGCCTCAATCCGCCCAGGACGAGTTTGGATTGGAAAGCATAGACTCAGTTGAGCCTGGAATGGCCCTGAATCATCCAAGCGATGGCCTCATGCCATACTAAACTATGAACTGTCTAATAGATTACAACATGATCACAAGCAAAACGATTGTAAGATTATCTACAAATACAGAAAATGAAGGGACGGCATTATGAATAACAATACATTCATCCAACAACTGTAAGAATGGAGAGAAAGAGGGTACAAAAACGTTTATCTCCAAGCATGCACAATAATTGAAAGAACCTATGGTTGCAAATGAGAGAAGATGAATGACGACATGGTCAAAAGCTATGGAATGCGGCAATTCTGTAACTGTGGATGGTATAATAATTAGGTAGGTTCGTAGGTGGGAAGTTATGTACGTGACTAAAATAGCAATATAAGCTCGTTGTTTTTGGTTTTAGTGAATTAGGTATAACATGGCAAGGGGTTGGGGTGGGGCTTGCTGGAGAGACTTTCGTATCGAATTTTTATGCCCTTGATTTTGGTCAGAAACCGCAATGGAGCAAGGGGGGATAGAAATTGGGGATAATTGAGGAGTGGTTTGTGGTTGCCTTACAAAACCATAACAAAACACATAAGGGAAAACTGAGAGAATTAGACTATCCAGAAAAAAAGGGGCAGAAATAATGTAACAGCAGAATTTTGACCTGCAAGTGATAATAAACAATATGGCAATAGCAATAGATGTTAAATCAAAAGGAAATGGGAATGACAGGGGAAATATCAGAAGGAAAATAGGAAGAGAAAGTATTACGAATAAATAACGACCCGCAAATCAGTTGCTTTGTGTGATATCTTTCAAAAGGAAACAATAGCAAAATCGCTGCTTCAAATACGGAAACACAGTGGAGATATGTGATACGAGGACCGGATCATTGAAAATACAAGGACAAAGGAGAATGATAACATATGGGATGATGGGATAGAGACATAGGAAAGCAGATGCATGGTAGCAGTGTGTATGGGTATGTGTTGTGTGTGAAAAGCCACTTGGGCAAAAACAAGCATGGGAATGGACACATATACTCAGCAAGGACATTTTCTTTTTTTTTATGATCTGCGGATATGGAGCAGACAAAACGCCTGGTTGATGCAACGGCAAGGAAATGCTTGAAGGGAAAATAAAACGCTCACTTGGAGGAAATGATTGGGCCCGTTCAAGGGTTTGCAATCAAAGCTGTATAGAGGCGGTGAAATGGGGGATGATTACGAAAGGGGAGAAAAAGGGACAGCCCTAGGATACAATCCGGCCGGATGGGAGATGGTGGAGCCGGTGCCAAGCAAAAATAGAAATGCATGTTATTGCCCACTCTTCCTTTGAATGCTGTGGTCGAGCTAAGGTATTTCGTGGTTTTTTTTTTCTCATTTCTGCAGCATTCGGAGCCGTCCTTAGCAATATGAGAGGAGCAGTGCAACACATGCAGGCACGAACCATGATCTTTGCGCTTGGCGTGACATATTTCCAGGCCAAGAGAACATATCTCCTGATACTCCGTGGAAAAATGTGGAAATATTGCAGAAAACATCTGGCAAGTCGTGATATAAATAGCGAACAGGCAAGCTGTCAAAGACCACGTCCACGCGGTCGCTATAACGCCACATTCAAAACAAGACTTACATCCCGAACTTGAGAACTGGCTAAATCCTCGAGGACGGGAATAAGATCTAACAGTTCGTTATCGTGTGCATCCGAAAACCAACTACTAATTGGAATCGCATGCTGAGGATGGAAAACGTAAGATGTTGGAGAATTGTCGATGATGATGGTATCTCGGAGGTCACGGCCAACTTGAGAAAGATCCTAGGTATCACCGCAAAGAGTAAGTTAATAGTCTATGAAAGAGGCAGTGCGAGAGGTATATACTTTAACATAGTTTCCCTGATGATTATAACAGCTGTCTCTAAATAACCGATGATGAATGACTTTATGGATATCTAGCTGGTCTAATAGAGGATCGCCATACTGCAACAGTCAAATAATGTTAGTTTCTCCTGTTGTCATTTCTCGTGAATACCAGCTTTTGACAAACCTTTGATACAGACGCTGTAAAAACGACAACTTCGTAGAGTTCTCCCACTCGTTTCATAAACTGATCAACGCCGGGACGCTTGATTACATAGATATTATGATATTGCCCCTCGATTTCCACTGGAATGGTGAAATCAGCTTTCTCAAGAACCTTAAAAAACCATTTCCGTTAGTATATTCGCAAAAATGATATCATCCAAACTCAACGAAGACATTTTTCTTACTTTGAAACTGCTGTGGACAAGTGTTTCGTCAAGGTCAAGGACAAGGCACTTGCGGCTCTGAAGGTGTGGTTCAACGGGAGGTAATAACCATTGCTGGTTCTCTGGTTGAAGGGGAGGAACAGATGGGATGTACTTGTTTGACGATTCTGCATTATGATCTAACGGGGGTGGAGGGGGAATCATCGCTTGCTGCCCGGTTCTGTCTTGGAGCGGAGTATCCACATCTTCGTCTATGTAACTTTCTGCGGACTGCGAATTTTGCATGGAGACATCTTGATCGCCATTGGGTTGTTTTGAGACCGCGTCCGTGGCCGGTGTTTGCTCACCCGAAGCGCTGGGTGTGTTTGACGGGGTCAGTTTCTCCGATACAGGAATTGGCGGTAAATCAGAATCTCGATCTGTATAACTCCTGGAACCCGAAGCTGAGCCAGAGCCAGATCCTGAGTTGGATGGGGCAAGGGTGTTTAAATCTTTATCAAAAAGATCCCTTTTGACCACGCTATCCGGAGGAGTTTCCGCGGGCGCTACCGGCACATCATCGTTAATGTGAGAATCCTTCCGGTCCGCATTCGCTTTCAGCGCAAACTTTTCATCAAAAGATGCCGGTTCTCTAGAATCCGATGTGCTCGAATCTGCAGCGCTGGGTTCTGTCTTCTCGACTGGCGTTGGCTGCCTGCCGTGCGACGACTGTGGCTTTACGGATCTTTTTGGGGGGATTCCAGGGTCTTCCTGATCTTCGTTCGACGCGCCGCCACAGCAACTGAGGAATGAAAACAACTTCGGTGGCCCTTTTGCCAACCTTTCCTTAGGCTGATCATCCGCATCGGTTGTGGACACCTTAGGATTGGTGTCTGTAGCAGTAGGGGCGTCGGTGTGCCTGGATCGCTTGCTGCTTGCCATACTTCCAGCCCGTTTTTTACTTCCAGTATTGCTTTCGGTGCCGTCTTGTTGCCTTTCTTGAGCGGTAAGCTGCCCTCGTTGTTTTGCATTGGAAGATGATCGCGAGGGGACGCGAAGAAAAGATCGCTTTTTCTTTGGCCGTTCGGTATTGTCAGAGGACCCTTGAATTGAGTTCGTATGCGATGAGCGTCGCTCTAGAGGGGCGTCGTTAATGGACCGATCAGTTGGCGACAGACTTTTGGAAGTTGCATCGTTAAGAACAGGCAAGGCAGAGTCTTAAAGGACGATTGGTCAGCAACAATATAGATTCAACATAGGGCAAATAGATTAAATAGAATAACTCACTGGACCCTGGGCCATTGGGTGAAGTCGTCATGAGGAGGTTCGGGAAAGCTAATTCCGCGGGAAGGGGAATAAGGTTGCGTTGGTCTCTGTAGTCCAAAAGCGAACGAGGACAAATATATGCCGCTGTAATACACGCCTGGAGAGGCCGAAAGACGAACGCTATTCTCGAAAACCACCACCGTCACTTACAAGTCGGGTCAAAGACTGTCAAGAAGGGGACGTCCGAACTTTTCTTCCCAAGTCTGAACTTGTTTGCCTTTTACGGAGATAGGGAACGATGAAGGCTAGCTTCATTCAGCGCTAGGAACTGGTCACAAATATATCCACAAAATCGACAGCTCTGCAATCGCCTTCACAGGAATTCTTCGCCTGTCAATGTCGGCAATAGACTCCAGGAATTGAAACTATATAAGCCTCTGTGGACGAAGTTTCCACAAACTCGCATCCACGCGCTAGGAGAATGTGGTGTACAGGAATGCTGTACAGTATAAACTCATCCAAGTGTTATACCAACAGACCCCTAAGGCGATCTCCTCGAGTGTTCCAGCAAGAAATGGATGCAAGTGAGACAGAGTCGGACGAGGGGACGGCAGGTTGGAGGATGCCACGGACAAAAGCAAGCCAAGGCTAGGGACAGAGCAGGGAGCCCAAGGAGGAATAGTCCAGATTTCGGGGATCAGGGCTTCAAAGGCTGTGAGGTCGAACCTAGGCTGGTTGGTACAAGCGAATTGCAAAGGGAAAAAAGGTAGGGGCAAGGAACCAGCTCAACCGACTCGAAGACGATACTGATCGCAACAGGGCAGACACGAAGACCAAGGACCCCAAAAGCAACAGGGGAAGCGAAGATTAAGGAGGAGGAAGAGGGAGAGAACGGGTGAAGGCGGTTCAACGCCAGCGCAGGAAGGTTGGTGGTGGTTGGGCTGGATGGGGCAAGATGGAAAGGGGGCAATCGGTATTGTCATGTACTGTAATATTGGAGAGTCTGCAGCCCATAATTTGCGGCAAGGTTGATGCCAACCATAACATACCGCAGCCGGCCAATTGGATCAGCTGAGGCACTCGTATGGAAATACCTCACGCTCCATGATATATTACATGCATTTAACGAGTCCCTTGTGGCTGGAACCATCCTATTCGATGTTACATTGGTTGGTTTTGAAGACCAGCAAGAGGGTTGGTAATATATTTCCTGAATGGAAACACCTAAAAATATACAGGCACGTGATATGGCAGAGAGGGAGATCTTTCGAACTATCTTATCTATCAACAAGCTTTCTCGTTTCAGAACCATTGTACTGCATTTATTTCCGCAACGCTTTGGGCAGCAGATTGCGCCTCCTACATTGGAAAAGTGTTTCTGAGTGTGTAAGGACATGGCCCATTTTCAATTGAATTAGCCGTATAGTCTCCTGATACCCTGCTTGCCTATTTGTGCCTACGCGCGAGTCAATCCGGCATTATGAACCACCAATCTACTCGAGGCGGCAGCTGTTGCCGGCTTGCCCAAGTTGAGCAACTCGTGATACATTAAGACCTTGAAAAGCGGGGTATAAGGAAACTTGCATGGATCCTCCATGTCCTTGCGTATAATACTTTGGCTGTTGGGCATGGTTTCGAGCCGTAGCCTTTGTCGTGTAACTCGACACCTTAACTAGGCTAGGTATCAGGGTCCCTCTTCCTCTCTTGCCCAGATCCACGAAATTTATGCCAACTAGGGAACTCAGGCATTCAGATGAGCCGCTCCTGTGCAAGAATTAAATTGTAAGAGTTAAACACGATTCCATATGCTTCCTCTGGGTTGATAATTCTAGGCTTCTGGGGCAAAGGAGCTCAGCTACCACCCGAGCCAACTGGTAATAGAGGGGACGAACCACCCAACCCAATCCCTCCAACAGTACTATTTTGACCGTCGTATGTTAGCTGTGCGCAAGCCTGTTCTATCATGTTTTGACCCATGGCGTGAATTGGCATTGATTATCCTAGAGACTCACTTCGCGTCGAGCAGATACCGATTGGCAGCAAAATTCACGGAATATGCTCATCGAGGGTTTTTTCTTGCGCTGTTACAGATCTCACTCATGCGGCTCGTTGCTGCTATTGGGCAGCGTTGTTCTTGACGGCGCTTACACAAATCGAAAGCAGTTAGCCATCAGATTGGCCCCGTTCGTTTCTTTCGGGCACCGGCTACTTTGCCGCTAGGAAGAAAGCCAAGCCTGCCGCTTCCGCTTGGCAGCACCATACACATTGTGGATGTGTTTGGTTCCACAGTGATAGAGACAGCGATCAAACAAAGCCTGGCGCAAGTTTGTGCAGACGAAACATCCCATAGGCTCCGATGTACGTTGGCTTGACATCGTTTCTGAAGGCAATTTTTCGTGATTGGCGAATAGTGCGGGTTGCGTGCAACAGGTTAAGGCTTCAACAAAATCGAATCAGTCTGCTTGCTAGGTGGAGCTAATCCTCATTGATTGATCATTCGTCTGCGCGCAGACATGGGCGGCAAGAAATTACATTTCTGTGTATTATTACCAGCTTTCGTACTGTATAATACAGATGTAATCGTATTTCAACGCTACCCACAATACAATTCCTGGTACAAGCCACACATGTATAATCACGTGATGATAAATCCATCGGTTCTCGGCGTCGTCACATGTCATTGAATCGTCACGATTCTTCTTCGGCCGGTTTCTTCATTCCTTCAGTTACGCCTTTCTCTGGTAGAGTTAGCACTCTCACCCCCTGCAGATGTCAGTTATTGCAGAAGAAATCGGATTCCAAAGAAGCTGTCCTTACATTTCAGAACCACTGGCACAAAGCGTTATCGAGGGTTGACAAATGCAATTTCTGGGAGGTCAATAAAACGGGATATTTGAACCCAAGTTCAACCGGACTGCGAGTGATCTTACACCATACTCCATATACGGACATAATGGCTGTTCAGTCGACGTTGCGGCCGCCTGAGGACCCCTTGCTTCTTCTTTTCACCCACTCTTCGAAACTGTTGCAAGATCGATTCCGCAAATCCTCCAGAGCTGCCAAGCTAATCGCAACTACGACCCTCCTTCTATCGATAATCGGAAGCGGATATGGGGGATATCGCTGGTGGCATGAATGGGCGAAGGATCGGGCTGAGGGGAAACGGTTATTGAGGAAGAACTCCGGTCTTCGCGGCAAGGATGGGACACGGATAATATACGTTCCCTACAAATCGTCCGTATCGTCTTCAATTACCTCCAAGGTAACCATTCATCCGACGAAGCCAATGACATTCGATGCGCATCGACGGCTATTCCTGAACCCTCCCAGGGCGGCCGGTCTTGGTGATATATCGTCCGTCTCATCCCAAATTCCACCCCCCTCCACAAAACCAGGCTTAAATCTGGCCTTCTTGCACCAGTTTCTCAGCCTCCTAAGCATCATGATTCCGAGATGGAAGAGTAAAGAAACTGGATTCTTGATTGGTCACGGCGTCTTTCTTATGCTTAGAACATATCTATCTCTCGTTGTGGCAAGACTTGACGGAGAGATTGTGCGGGATTTGGTCACCGGCAAAGGTAAAGCGTTTGTCTGGGGCCTCATAAAATGGTGTGGAATCGGAACATTCGCGTCTTACACCAATGCTATGATTAAGTTTCTCCAATCAAAGGTCTCGATTGCTTTCCGAACGCGACTCACAAGGTATATACATGACCTTTACCTCAATGATAACATAAACTATTACAAGCTCTCCAATCTTGATGGCGGGGTTGGCGAATCCGCAGACCAATTCATCACGCAAGACCTCACGCGATTCTGCGCAGCCTCAGCGACGCTATATTCTTCGATTGGGAAACCACTAGTGGACCTGTTCGTTTTCAACTATCAACTCTATCGTTCGCTTGGGCCATTAGCATTGACAGGGATTCTGAGTGGATATTTTGGTACAGCAACGATACTTCGTCGTCTCTCTCCGCCATTCGGAAAGTTGGCAGCTGTCGAAGGTAGAAAAGAGGGTGATTTTAGAGGCCTCCACTCCCGACTTCTGGCTAATGCTGAAGAGGTGGCGTTCTACGGCGGAGCTGAAATGGAACGTGTGTTCCTCACCAAAAGCTTTAAGGATCTTCAACGATGGATGGAGGGTATATACAGTCTGAAAATCCGATATAATATGCTTGAAGATATGATTCTTAAGTATTCTTGGTCCGCTTTTGGGTATCTTATCACGTCTCTCCCAATATTTCTACCTGCTTGGGGCGGTCTAGCTGGTGTTTCCGAAATGACTCTCTTGTCTCCTGAAACTTCTGACAGGGAGAGAGATCGCATGAAGGATTTCATTACGAACAAGCGACTTATGCTTTCTCTAGCGGATGCAGGAGGTCGTATGATGTATAGCATTAAAGACCTTTCTGAGTTGGCAGGATATACTTCTCGTGTGTATACGTTAATATCAACCCTCCACCGCGTACAAGCTAATGCATATGCTTCGCGACGTGGTTCCCATCCTGAACTGTACTCTCTCTCAGATGTCCAAGGCACGATTCACAGCGGGTTCGACGGAGTGCGCCTAGAGCATGTACCTGTGGTAGCGCCGTCTCTCTTTCCTCAAGGAGGTGATGAACTTATCGAATCATTGTCATTTATAGTCCGTTCTGGCGAGCACCTTCTGATTTCCGGCCCGAATGGTGTCGGAAAATCTGCTATCGCTCGCATTGTCGCAGGGCTCTGGCCAGTTTACCGTGGGCTAGTTAGTCGGCCTAGAAGATTTGGCGAAGATGGCATAATGTTCCTCCCGCAGCGCCCATACCTTAGCGGGGGCACGCTGCGTGACCAAGTCATTTACCCCCACAGCGAAATGGACATGCGAGAAGATGGGAAGAGTGAGGCGGATTTACTTCGTGTATTGAACGATGTTCACCTCGGATACTTGCCCGATCGGGAGGGCGGTTGGGACTGTCGTAAGGAATGGAAAGATGTCTTAAGTGGTGGTGAAAAGCAGCGCATGGGCATGGCAAGACTCCTGTACCACGAGCCTCGATATGCATTCATCGACGAAGCCACGTCTGCTGTCTCTTCTGATGTTGAAGGCTTACTCTATGAACAAGCCAAGCAACGGGGGATCACTCTGATCACGATCTCCACACGTGCTTCGCTGAAGAAGTACCACACCTTTAATCTTACCCTTGGCATGGGACAGGACGGCACCGAATGGGAATTCGACCGTATCGGCACAGAAAAGGAGAAAATGGGTGTAGAGAAGGAAATACAAGAGCTTCGGAAGCGGCTTGACCAGGTTGAGGGGTGGAAGGCTCGGAAAAAAGAAATCGATGACGAGCTGCGTAGGGTGTGGGTTCGTGATGGCGAGGCTGAACGGGCTCTTCCTCCATACCAGAAAGGCAACGAAGCCGGGGACGAGGCTGAGAAGCAAAACGACCAGAGGAGTTGTGATACAGATGCAGACCCGAATGCGGATTCAGATGCATATGTAGATGCCCATGCTGATACGGATAGTCTGGGTGCACAAGCTGAGACCGCGGAGTAGAGCATCCGAGGCTCTCTGTAAGTTGATCGGATGTGATATGTGCTGTAAATATTATACTTCTTTTTTTTCAAATACTCGCATCCTATGATCCTATGAATATCCTGTTTGGAGCTAGCTGCATCTTCTTACACAGTGTAGAATAAGAAAACGTCTTTTATCGCCCTATCATAGCTTCAGCTCCGCGCAAAAAGTGACAGTAATTCGTCCATATGAGATGTGGGCGAACCATACGCGCTTTTTGACGGCCACAAGTCATGCATACTAACGGCATCCCGCTTTTAGCTTCCATCGTTTCATATACCAGACAACGCTCCATTCTCTACGTCTAGCCCGGCTAACCGACAAATCACACAAAAAATGGAAAAAAAGCAAGCAACACATGAACATCCGTCGGCATATGTCTCACTATAAGAAGGCAAAAACAGGATAAAAGGGAAACGAGCCACTACAGGGATTTGTCGGCAGATATCATATGTTTCTGCTATGGCTGCTTCATACACTACGCCAATGAGCCCTTGCCAACGGTGGCACAATATATATATTACCTTGGTCTTCGACCCAGGGAAGATTTAAATGTGATTCAGACGCATATGAGCCTCGTTTTCAGGTATGAAATTATCTTTCTCGTGAATATACTTGTTCCAAAGTCGAAAGAAGACGACGACCACGGGAAAACAAGAAGGCAAAGAAAGAATCGAGGTATATTTACCTCGTTACATACAGCTTGGGAGCAGTATAGGACAGAGCTGAATTCCCCCACCCCCCTCCCCCCCCAAGACCCACCACAATGTTATCCAGCATCCAGTTCAATACTACGCTGGAGACGATGCTATGCATACTCATCGTTCTCGTCTCCCCGTTCCTCACCACCTGGCTTATCACTAACGTCAAGGCACGTAATGGGCCCTGGCAGAAGGGAGAGCCTCCGTTGATCCCTTATATCATTCCGTGGCTTGGTCATGCGTTGTCCTTCCGCCGCGGGACGACTCGTTTCTCGAGCTGGGTTAAGTGGGTTGAACATTTCTTCTCTCTTCCTTGCTCTTCAAACCAAATACCTCCGGAAAGATGATGAAACGAAAAGGAGGACGGGGTTAAATATAGGGGGAAAGGGTTGGGATTTGGTACACCACTGCTTGTCCATGTTCTGACCTCAAATTTCTAGGGAAAAATACCATAACGTCCCAGTGTCGCGAACGTTAATGGCAGGGAATAATCTCTATACAATTTTTGACCCTAAGCTTGCAAGGGAGGTAGATCGTCGCCCAAAGGTTTTCACCTTTGACCCGGTTGTCTTGCTCGTGAATAAAGCATTTGGAGCCCCCCAAGCCGATCTAAATATCCTGGAGAGAGATCACCTTGGACCAACTCAGAGAACAACCAGCAATAGCGACGGCCAAGGCATGATCGCTGAACTCCATCGACAACATTTCCCTTACCTCAATGGTCCAAATTTACCCGCCATGATATCTAAATTTAGTGCGATTTTGAGTGCAAATTTAGAAAACGTGTTTCAAAGGAAAGGAAGCTGTGACACCAGCGACGCATGGATAACGCTGGATTTTAGAGGGTTTCTTATGCGGCAGTTCACGCTTGCTTCCATTCCGATGTTGATGGGGACTCGTATTTTGGAAATTTGGCCCCAAGCATTCGAAGATATTTGGGAATTTGATTCGTGGGCATTAGTGCTCACAATGAACTTACCCAGCATATTTATACCAGAGGCAGCTGCAAGCCGAGATGCGATGGTCTCTGCTTTAGAGAGATGGGAGGAAGAGGCATCCAGGCACCGAAAATTCGAGGATGTGGAATCAGAAGATCCCGCGTGGGATGAATATTGGGGCGCCAGGTTGGTGAGGCAGAGACACCGTACATTTCTAAACAATGGCATCAGTAAACGAGGGCGGGCCGTTTTTCACCTAGGTCTTCTTTGGGCGTATGTCGCTTCCCCTCTTTCCTCATTGAGTGCAGAACTGATTAATGTGTAAATCAAGCACAACTGCCAACGCCATTCCGGCCGCCGCGTGGATGTTGATACATTGCGTTCTCGATACGCAACTCCAGTGTCGAGTTCGTCACGCAATAATATCGTCTAAAAGGAAAGATGGCACGGTGGATATCGAAAGCCTCGCCGCGAACAAGCTCGTAAAATCGCTATTCCTTGAGATACTTCGTGTATACGTGTCCTCACCATCAGTGCGACTGGTCTTAGAAACGACCGAACTCGGCGGTTACGTGTTTCACAAGGGGGGCACGATATTTATCCCCGGCAGAGAAATGCAAAATGACCCAAATGTCTGGTCTCCAAACGACTCGTTTCCAGATGCTTCTGAATTTTGGGCCGAAAGATTTATTGATGAAGAACAAGACGAGAACAGAAGCATAGGAAAAGAGATTAATGGGTGTATCAAATTGGAGGCTGAAAGTGAACAACACGTAGCCATAAAAGATGGACAGACACTGTCTGCGGACGCGATGACGATACCCGGCAGAACAAGATCAAAGTCATTAAGAGACCGAATGTATTCAATGCGCCCGTTTGGAGGCGGTACCTCTTTTTGTCCGGGAAGAAATGTCGCGATGTACGAAATCGTTGCTGCCGTGGTGGCCATATTGTCGGCGTTCGACATTGAAGTTGACAAAGAAGCCCTAGCGTCGAATGGAATGCCACAACCAAACTTTGACTTGTCCGGAACTATGGGTCCTGATAGGCAGTTTATAGTGAGGATGAAGAGGCGAACGGCCGCGAAATAGATGTCATGGTGTTTGGCCAGTGGTTTCAAAACAGGCGACATGAAGATGAAATTGATCATGGCTGTGGCTTGGAAGCAGATGGGGAATATGCATAATTAGTGAGTTATTTGCAATTAGCAGCCGGCTGGGTTCGATATATCTAAAGAGACACGTAGCCAGTAGTCTCGGCTCTCAATGAAATACGGGAACAAACTCATAAGCTGTCATAATAAACATACAATTTAGTGAGATTACTCTCCGCAAGTCACCTTCCCTCCCTGTTAATCGTGTCCATCGCGCACGAACATCTTCGTGTGAACCGCATCCGAACCGATCGGAAGCGCGTGGCATGGGTATGACCAAAAATAATATATATAACCTGAGTATAGATGATCTGGACCCAGACTCCCAGCCATTCATCATTAGAGATCGTATTTTGGCGTAGCGGCCACATGTTTAAAAGATATCTAGCTTTCCAAATTCTCCATGCGAAGAAGTTCTAGAAACTCCCATCCTCACGCGGTATTAAGTTTCTCATAATCGAATTTAACATATGGTACCAAGTCGAAATCTGATATTTGGACAAGAAGCTTTGAATGATCACATTCAAAATAGAATTGATGTCATTCTTCAAGAGTGAACCTGAGCGCTAAGATCTCACTTGAAAGGTCTCAGAGCAGCTGTTAACCTTGCGTCAGTATGTCGTTGCCTTGGCGGAGTTTCGACCTCATTCCGTTCGCCAATTGTCGCCATAGCTCAAGCATATTAGCAATCGTATAGATCATGATATCTTCAGATGTTTTCTATAACTATGTGGGATGGGAGGCCATTGGTGGGTTTTAGTGAATGCCAGTAACTCAAGAGACAACTCTTGGTCTCTAGGGAGCTTGTGGTATGAAAAACTCCGAAAAATTCCTGGAGGTTTTTATATCGCAAGAGGTAGTTATAACACGTGACTTCCATAACCGGCTAGTGTCCGCCATGCGAGCTCTGCCCCGCCGCCAGCCAATCACAGCCGTGGTCTCGTCCTCCAAGAGGTCAATTCAAATCTTTGTCGCAACTTTGACCGAGAATATCTATCATTTTGCTTCTGCTTGAAATATCCAAAAGACGCGTCCGCAACTGTCTTTTGGCGGCAACAGGACTAATATAAAATGACCAAAAACTTAGATCCTCCTATTTAGCTGACTATTTCGCATTTTCGAATAAGCCATGCCGCCTCTCCTCCCGCTGCCTCTAGACGATGATGACAACAATGTTGTGACAGTCTGCATAGACAAGTCGTTTACCGACGGCGACAGCTCCGTCTGGCCGACACATCCACGATTCGAAAGAGAAGATCCGCAGCTTTATTTGCGGAAATTGGCCAATATGTGGATGAAAGAAAGAGATGAGGTGAGACCAGGTTAGTGTGTCCTTGGTGCATTCGAGATCCGCGTTTCCTTTGTCGTACTCGTTTGTTTTCATGTTCCGAATAACTGCTGCTTCATATTGTTGCATGCATGTACCGTGCAGTATAGTTGGATCGTATTTCTCTTGTTTTCCTACATATCCTCCTGTTTCTGGAAATTTGGAGAATTTGGTTAAGATGCATCCGTAGTTGTGATTGAAGCTCCTCAAAAGTTTTCGCAAGCTTATGCGCTAGTCCTCGGGTCTTCATCTGCCTTCTTGGGCATGAACATGTTGATATATTGCATATATATAATTATTCGCTTCTTGTTGATTCTCCCTTGTTGACTCAAGTGTTGCCTTGTTAACAACTGTTGCCAATCCACTGGGAGTATAGGGAAACAATATATCCTTGACCAACTGCCCGAAGGATATGTGTTTATGTCCAGGGCCCGTCAGCACAATCCCGCGCTCGTCAGTATCAGTATCTCTGTTGGTGAAGATGTTTGCATATTCATGAATCCAAGCTGATTGGCTTCAAATAACAATAGCGGGATAAATATCTGTACGGCCACCCGTCGGGGTACTACTTTAATTCTCCAAATCGATTTTGGCCTCACTTCTGCCATTTAATGACTCGAGGTACCGTTCCATGCCGCTGTGATCTCTGCAGAACCGGTAAACAAGCAATTAACTCCGACGACCCTTCCATGGCGAGACTGCGACGCAAGCCTGGCCCCAAGCCTAAGCAGAAAGTTGGTGGAGGGAGCGCATCCACAAATGGTGTAGGAGGCAAACCCGGTAAGAGAGACTGACCCGTTTGCCTTTGGATAATTCGTCCCGGTTTCCATTTGATGCGTAGCCTCTGACAGTCGCTGGTCGGTATAGGGCGTCCAAAAACGAGGAAATATATGGCTGAGGATGAGGAGGGGACACCAGACGTCTTCAAGACTCTGGTTTTCAAGTTACAAGAAAGAGGCAGCATTGATCAACCAATTAAGGAGCCATTAAGCATGGACTGGAGAGCTCAACGCAACACACTACAAGAACACCTAACCAGAACGTTTATGCAACACTCGTTTATCCCCCGCCTTGGCGAACTTGTTCTATGGTGCTACTCCTTCCAGGGAACAGAGCTTAGGTTCAACTGGTCAACTGAAAGCTTCGAAATGTATTGCCGCAAAAATAAAAAATTCCTTGGCATCCCCGAATGGCGAGCAGGCACTGTTGCGCAAACGGCTGAGGAGCCTCCTATTCTTGAAGATATAATTACAGAAACCAAGAAGAAATTTGCCGTCAACACATCTGGTTTCCGGATAGAGACATTCCCCGACCCTAATAGCACTAACAAGAACCTCTCGCGTCAATACAAATACGTACCGCTGAACTGCATTCGGCCCCTGAACTACTGGCAGATATTTCTACAGGGAGTCGACCCTGACGATTATCACCCATCTATTAAAAACGCGCTCACAATCATGTCTTCTTGCTCGGTGGTCAACAAGTACCATTTCAAGGGGGTGTGGCCGGACGCAACGGTATATTGTAAAGGAATATTTATTGGTTCTGAACTCCTGATAAGAGGCGACGGCGTTCGACTCATGCCACGGCAAAAATCAATTTTGGCAGATCCACATCATCAGGTTACCGATGTGTTAGTCATAGAGAGCATCCAGGTCAAGCTCAGAAACTGCGACGCTGACCTTAACTCTCCCCTGCTATGTCAGTCAACAGCAGTTCGCCTCGTTGGCAAAGCTTACACCCTCTCACCGAAGAATGCCTATAAAGAGCCGAATTCGATCGGAACTCCGAGCCCTCTTACCTATGAGGAAGTCATCGACTCTTTTGAGTGCGTGGGAATGCGTGGCTATGGCAAATGGTACCGCATGCAACCAGAGAAACATCGGATTCAAATATCTCTAGATCACGTTGTTGGCCGATGTTACGAATCAGAGCTCATGTCCCTCATGTTCGATGACCTCTCGCTCGGATTAGATATGGAAGGAGTCATAGCAGGCCGCGAATATGGCCGCTTGACTGATCAGCGATTAGCCCCTGACAAAGAGTGGTTCTTCGGAGATTCCAGGGTCGAGACGCTTGCCCTGGAAAGCTTGAATTTGGAGGAAGTTGGCATATACGATGACTCGAGGGATCCCAAGATGTTCCGTGCAAACCTGCGCATCATTGACGGGACCGCGAACGGGTCAGATATCAGAGATGCCAAAATTCCCCGCACGATGGGCAGGCCACTGGTGGGGCTCATTGGCAGCAGTGCTAAGTCGTCCACTTTTGAAAACGTGGGCAAGATGAGTTCGCTGGTCACTAGCGCGCTTGGGCCATTGGAGCCTTCGGCAAACCAGACTCCCATAGATCTTACGTCTGCTGCTGCTTCGGACGTTAGTGAGAGGAGCGAGAGTGACGAGAGCGATGACCTACAGGTCATTCTCGCGCAGGCGCCTTTGGTCCGCGGTGGAACCGAGGAGAGCGAGGGCGGCGATTATAAGCCGTACGCTCCAAAGTCAAAACGAACTAAATACATGTAATCGATTAACTTCTGGGTGTCGTGAATTGGACAGGTTGCTTTTCTCTTATCTTCTTTTCCGTTTCTCTTTTCATTCTGGCGGCAGCGATGGGTTTCCTTGGGGAACAGAAATGGTGCTTCAAACCACATAGCAGGCTGGGTGGGATACCAGCGGTTCGTTTTGGAGGGAAATTGTTCATCTTCCACTTTGATTTCTTTTTGCATGCACCCATCTCCGTGGCCCTGCCTTTCCTACACATTGAGTCTTTTTTATCCCATTTTCTCTTTTCTTTCTTCACTATGTACTTCTACCGAGATACCTCTGTATTCTTTACCCTTCTTTAGCGCTTTAAGACTCAGTTGAGCATACAATGCCGTTTCTAGTTATCTGGCATTCTCGTTCACTTTTATACCACATCCACGAAAGGCAAGACATTTTGCATATAAAGTAATCAATATTATCAAGGCAACAAATATCCATTACATACGTTCCACGCCAAAAAAAAAAAAAAAAAAAAAAAAAAAAAAAAAAAAAAAAACAAAGGGACAAGGAAAAGGGACACACATACATGCTCCGTACTGTACCATATATAAGAGAAGAAAAAAAGCAAAAACAAAACCATGACCCAGCCAAATCTCGATAGGTAATCATAACTCATGATACACAATATCCCACACAGTAAAACCGCTAGTGATTCCTCTCAACCACCTCCCTCGCAAAGTCCGCAAACGACTTCCCCTCCCGCACGAGCAGCTGAAGCTCCAATGTGGGTGGAATTCGTCAAGGTATTCCTCGCAATTTTCCCCCGCGCACGCCTTACCCCTCGAACGAAATGCGGCACGGCCCGGAATCGGCCCCTGGTAATCAACTCCAGCGCCTCCCCCGTCTGAAACGCCAGGCAGTCCTTGGGGATATTCACCTTGACGACCTGTCCCGTGCGCGAGCGGATGTACAACCCGGCCTTCGGGTCCGGGGAATTCGGTAGTTCGGGGATGTTGCTAGATGCTGTTGCTGATGACGATGAGAGTGAAGCGGGCGGATTTGCCTCTTCGTCGACGAACATGGCGGAGGTGAGACCGGTGAGGCAGCTGTGGTCAACGTGCGTGGCGCACCAGTCATCATCACCATCATCATCACCGTCGTCGTTGTCATCATCGTCGCTGTCATCGTCATCACCACCACCATCCCTGTTCCCGACCACATCTTCCACCGCAGGGAAATAATGCAACAGCCTCGCTTTGGTAGTCAAGCTTGTCCGGACAACATGCTCCAGATAGCCGCTCCTGTATCCTTCAATGTTAGCCAGCGCATAGCGATCACAGGCCCGCGCCACCAACGCCGCCGTATCGATGATCAGGGCGCAGAGCTGCTCGACACTGCCGCGGAACGTGGGCAGGAGCTGCGGGCTGGGCCAGAGGTTCGGGGCCGTGTACTGCGGGAAATCCGGGAAGTGGTCCGCGGGCGCGCCCTGCAGCGCGGGTCCTGGTAGAAGGCGCAGTTAACGTAATAGGAGCCCTTGAGCGTGTCGAAGCGGCCGGAGCGAAGGGTTTCTTTGCCGCAGGACCAGCCTACGAGGTATTTGGAGGCGGGGCTCGAGAGGGCGTCTGCGATGCGCGATGCGCAAGGTTTGGTCAGTTTATTCAGCGTTTATTTTATTTCATCCCCCAAGTGGTGTTTATTCCTATTATCTATTATCTAGTTTTGTCTTTGTTCTACACATACCGAGCTCGGCTGGCGGGAGGGCCGCTACGAGAGAGGCATTGGAGAGGGCGGTGGCCCGCAGGTCGCGAAAGCGAGCGGGCAGGTCCTTGACAACGATGATGCCGAGCGAAGAAGGGCCGAAAGCTTCTGTTAAGGTCTCGAAAGACACAGACCCTTTGGCGCTTTATACATTAGAGCCCGGCGTCTGCTTGGATCTGGAAGCTTAGGGACGGCGTGGAAGATTAAGAGGAGCAAAGCAGAGTTCATGCGCTTACCCTGTTCGAGCTCTTTTAGACTGACGGTAACTGGGTGTCCTTGGACCGGAGACGAGCCCATCTTGACATGAGGTGGTTAGTTTATATGTAAATAGTTAGTTTATATGGATCCCGACATATGTGAATAAGAGCTCGAGGGTTCGGCCTGGGATATCAAGTCGAGGTAACAAAGTTAGCTACTAACTAACTAGTAACTCAAATACTGGATTTTGAGTTCAAGTTTAATCCTAGTTTGTTTAGAATATAAAATATACGTTCGTTGATTCGTTAAAATATCATGTCAGGCGTATCCACTTTGCTCCCAAGCATCTTGATCGCGGCCACCCGCTGTTGATCTCCACAAGGTCGACCTGGAGAGCAGCGAGAAGATGCAATGCGACAACAACCCGACAACAACCACTGGATAGCAAGCTGTCTGGGAAACGAGCAGAAACAGGAGGTCTGGCGGAACTGCTGCTTCTTCTGCCGCTGCTGTGACTGGCTACCCAGCACTGCAGTTATTATTATTAATAATAACTAAACAAGCAACTCTGGTCGGTTTCCAACGCTCCCGCATCAACTCGACCTGCAGACGCAGAGCACTGAACAGTCGCTGCAGCTCTGGCATCTGCTCTGTTTTCGCCAGGTCGAGACAGCTTATTCAATGAGAGGACTCTCTCAGACTCCATTCTCGTGACTGCGTTTCATTCTCCCGGTCCGAGTCCGCTCATCTACATATCACCAGAGGCCATACATACGTTTCAAGTCTCACATTTCCCACCTTCATCCTCTACCTTTTGTCTGCGTCGACGCATTAAAGCTGTATACGCACTTCAATTCTTTCAAGTTCTTCTCTTTTCCTTTTTCTTTGTCTTTCTCTCGCGATTCTGGATTGCAATGGACTCCTCCTACGTGAAGCCAGAGCCCCAGGAAACGCACGGGATCTCTCCTGCGATCCCCTCGTTCGCTGAGAAGTTCGCGGCGCGTTTCAATGAACTCAAACAGGAGCAGTCCAACAGTATGCCCTCTGCGATTGAGACGGTGGCTTCCAGAGCCCCCGGAACTACGGATGTGGTTGACGGTACCTTGTTGACAGGGCAAACCCCGTCCGTTTCAAGGTCTGCCGTCGAAGACACTCCTGAGCGCGTGGATCAACCACTCACCCCACAACCACCTGCAGATAACTCTGTTTCAAAAAGAAAAAGACCTACTGTAGATCCTTGCAAATGCACCTGCGCCGTCTCGCGGGATTGCCCGAGGGCTGCGAGGGATGGCGTGCTGGACTGTCGCATTGCCCCAGGGCTTCCCATCCCCAAACGCAAACACAAACATACAGGCCCAAAGCCCGCCCGCGAATCGCAGACGTGAGTATACAGCTCCCCATGCCCCCCCCCCCCCCCCTTTGTCCTGCTTTTTCAACGCGTTTTTTACAAATGTATCACGTTCAGATAACCAAAAAGCGCAACTAACGCCTCCAATCCCAGCTTCCGCTACATCTCAATGAAAGAAAGAGGCCGTCTCCAAAGATCAGCCGATGACGTTCTCTCACTCCTGACGCTCTTCAAAAGCGCATCCATCGCCCCGGAAATCGAGCGCCCTGGCATCTTTAAACGAATGCGAGGACGCGTCCAACAACTCCAATTCTACGACATCGACACAGCTTTACCTTCCGTCCTTGAAAAATTCATGGACCCCACCACCGGCCTTCCAGCCATTGTCCACAGTACTAGCAGCGCCGTCCCCTGGGACATCAAGTTGGATTGCGAAGCGATCCTCCTCCGCTGGAAAAGTGGAGACTTCGACCCCAGTTTACTACGCGGCATCATCTCCGGGGACCGTGTCCGGACCGCCCGCAGACTAGACTCCAGCTACAAATTCAAACGGGACAGCATTGTCGTGGGCGACAACGGGCTGCTCAACGGCCAATGGTTCCCGTTGCAGATCACCACGATCCGCGACGGCGCTCACGGTGAGATAGAAGCAGGCATCTCCGGCCGCGACAAGATCGGCGCCGTGTCTATCATCCTCAGTTCGGCGGGGAAAGGATACCCGGACATCGACCAGGGAGACACCATCTCTTACTGCGGCACGCGCGGCAAGGACGGCCACATCTCCGCGGGGACGAACCTGCTCATCGAATCCCAGGCGAAACGGAACCCCATCCGCGTCCTGCGCAGCTCGAAACTGCCGAAGATTAACCCGTACCGCCCTGTTGCTGGTTTCCGGTACGATGGGCTCTATGAGATTGACGGTGTGGAGTTGCTGGATTCGCAGACCATGTTGCATCGGTTTAGATTGCGGAGGATCCCGGGCCAGACTCCGATTCGGTACCAGGGGGAGGAGAGGCGGCCGACGGAGAGGGAGGTGGAGGAGTGGAAGGCCATTCAGAATCTTGATGCCAGTTCAAGGCTGAAGTAGATAAGTGGGGTTGAGTGCGGAGCGGGAGGCCACAAGAGGTGAAAGGGGTTGGGAGGTATGCGAGGAATTTTATGGTCTTTCTCCCTTCCTTTCTATTGTTCTTCTTCTTCTTCTTTTTTTTTTTTTTTTTTTTTTGTTTCATGTGACGCGGCCACGTTATTCTTCATGCTTGACACTTGATTCCTACAGCGCGGCGCTAATGGGGTGGGTTGGTTGATTGTGCTGTTCGTTATTCATCGCGGATACGTTTTGCCTATGTTTGCTTTTATACGGAGTACGGAGAACGGTAAAGGAGGATGGGAAAAACATTTCCTTTTATTTACTTGTTTTAGCAATGCTTCCTCTTTCCCTTAATGTTTTTTTTTTTTTGTTCCTATTTTCCGCGAGCGGACCTTTGGAGAACTTTAATTCGCCGGCTACACTTCCCGGTAAATTCCATGATTTATTAATCATAGCATTCTTTGTCTCATTGAAGACCGCGGTGGATGGATGATTAAGTAACATAACGCCCCCTTTTTTTCTTAAAAACAAAAAAGAATTAGAAGAAAACATGAATAATTTTTGTTTGTTTCTTCTAAACAAAAAATAGTTATACATATTGATTCTAGCTAGCTAAAGATATTACCAAAATGAAACTCGTTTCTACTTTTCTTCTTCTGTTTTATAAAAATTTCTATACATAATATCACAGACGAATGGGTGAAGAAGGGGAAGGCGATAGGATATTTTAGCTATTGCCGGGAAACTCGATTTATCTAAGACGATACGATATCAGATTGAGCTATCGACCGACATAAAGAATAAGAATAACGCAGAGCAGAGACGCAAGGAAATCATTTTGATTCCAAAATTGTAAAACGAAGAAGAAAGGAAGCCCAAAAAAAATAGGGAGGGGGTGAAGAGAGGTAGGTGAGTACGAGTGGTAAAAATAATTGGTATGCGTTTCATTGCTCCAGCCAGCATAGATTGCCCTGTCTTTGATAGACTGTTTGTCCTATCCCTTAACACTCGGTCTCTGGTCCCCCTCCCAACTCCATGCGCCGCTATAAAAGGTGACACCGCAAAGGATACTTGTAAAAGCCAGCTTGAATAGGCAAAGTTGGAGGGAAAAACGCCGTATACGCCCAGGGAGATGCGATGTATACAAGTTAGATAAAAGAAATAAAATAAAAATAAAATAAAAAAATAATAAAGCCAAATCAAATGGGAAATTTCAACGTCATGTTAGTGTTATTTCTTTTCTTTAGGAACTACAAAAACAATTTCTGGGCGTCCTTTGGATGGCTTTCGTTCGGGCAGTACGGGCATTTAAATCTGGAGCCCTTGCTGAGTCTCATGAGGGACTCTTGCGCAATGACGTGGCCGCAGGGCATCATCATGGGCGGGTTTTCGTCGGTGGTTTGCTCTTTCGAGACGGGGCAGACGAAGATAGAATGGAATTGGTATGATGGTGGGAGGGGGATTTCGACCTGCATTTTAATTAGTGGTGGGCATGTAGGAGAGTAGAAGCTGGGGGGAAGAAACAATGAGGTAATATGGAGGGACTTGTTTTTCTTACTGGAAGTTCGTTTTGAGATGTCCATTCCGTACGTTTTTCTTTCATAATGGTTTGTAGCTTGAGTAGCGTAGGGAGGGCAATCGCACCAGCCGTAGCTGCTATGTATAGGGGAGATTCTGCTGCTAGGCCCAGCAAAGAGCAGAATTCGCAGGTGAAGGAACGTGCTACATCATCCCAGGAAGAAGGATTGTTAAAAATGTTTCTATACGGGGAGTCTGCGAGATTAGGGCAAAATGCCATAGCCCCCATCAATTGTTGGATTTCCGGTAGGTGCCTGCTCTGGAAAGCTGAGAACTCTTTCCTGGCATACTGCAAGGCCAGTTGCCGGCCAACTGTCATCGGTGTTTGCGGATTTTTGCCTCCATGGAATAACCACACGAACTGCAACTTGCACAATTCAAACTCTAGATTGCTCCCCCTTGCTTCTAACTGATGTCGATGATGAGAGGCCCACTGTATGGCTGGTACTAAGTTTCGTTCTTCTTTTAACTCATGAAGGATTTGATACATGAGAACAAACTGCTTCGTGATATCTCCCGATTTCATTTGCTCCATCTCCATGAGAATTTCGAAAGAGTCAGAATCAGGTTGCTCAGGAGCGGGTTGTGCGGGAGTTGGATTTTTGGCTACTTCTGATAAAAATGTAGATGCGACGGAAAACTGGCCCTCCCGAAGTAGGTGCATGGCAATAGCTCTGTTCACCAGTGCGGGCTGTGCTGAAAGAGCGTCATAGGGAAGAGGCTTGTCTTTAAAGAGCTATAAAGGAAGACAATAAAAATTTAATACTCCTTGAACCATTTCCATGTGCACAGTATTTTCACAGATTGCCTATTCACATGTTGTGATCTTACCTTGTCCAAAGCCTTGGTATATTTGTTAAGACCGCTATGGGCGTCTTTGAGACTCTCGTTGGTTGCATCGAAGGAAGACTTGACGGGATTTTGTAGCTTTGCCAAAGTGATGGGCGCTGAACTGGGATCTAAACAGATAAGACATTAGTATAAATCTTTTTAAAATGGTGAACCCCTTTCCCGTAGGCCTTGCATATTGCTATCGATTTCGGGCAATGTGTTTAGCACGAGGAGCCACTCACTCTTGGCAATGGTGTTTCTTGCTTCTTGGAGCAGGTCAATTGTGGCCTGCACATCTTTGATGCTTTTCCCGCTGTGAGCTCGCTTCCAAAGTCGTTGATATTCCTTCTGGAGTAAATCCATTTTTGCTGCTGGCGTGGTGGGGAAACCAACGAATAACGCCTGGTCAGAGGTCTACCGGTGTTGGGGTATGGCAGACATATCGCGAGGCTCCAGCTCCGGTTTCGAGATCAGAAAATTGAATTCGCACCAGATAAACCAGTTCCAAGAAGAATGGGTTTCCTTATGCTTATTTCTTCTCTTTCAGTGTTTTGTATGGTGTATGGTGGCGTGGAGTGATCATGGGCAGTTGATGCAGCAGGTGAGCAAGTACGTTTGGTGGTTGGAGTGACTCTCACCTGCGCATGTAACATACGATACGTAATAATGGAGTCAGGTGAACCGCTATCCTTCCAATACTACTCGCTTTTTCGACATAAAGCTGTAATATCTCCAGAGCTGTCTGTATCCTACACGCACTCCAGTCTAATATCTATTTATGTTGTGGGATACCACGCCTGGCCTATTCGATATTTATTATTAACTTGTGGTGCCTGTTGTTAGTAGATTTGAGTGGTTCCGTCACATTGATTCCCTCAAAAAGCCTGGACACTGACATCTCGGAAATGCCTTTTTTATCTATCTTTCCCGCGACCGGCTGGGCCGAACGCTATCACTTGCTCGCAGTGAAATATCTTATCGAAATGCCCATTGTACAGAACATCTAGTTGATCTCCAATGCCGCAAAAGGACATATAGCGGCTGGGCCGAACGCTATCACTTGCTCGCAGTGAAATATCTTATCGAAATGCCCATTGTACAGAACATCTAGTTGATCTCCAATGCCGCAAAAGGACATATAGCGGCTGGTCCAAGACATTCCTCCTTCCCATCGCTATGATAACCCTACATATACTTGAAGTGAATAACGTATAACGTGCTTTGAGATATAGATAGTAATCACGTATCCCAGGGTCTTCCGAAAGTACTCTATTGATTCCAATACTCTGGGTATCAGTCTGCTCCATCCCAGCCCAAAAACAGTCTTTACCCCGCCATTTTTTAGCAGTCATAATCATGACATTGCGCTGTGAGAAATTACCATGTGCAAAATGGATTTATAGTCATCTATCATCCCAGCTCTCACATAGCGCAGAAAAGTTTACTAGACCACCATCCGTGCCCTCAATATGGATTGTCTTTGTTTTTCAGCATTTGAAGATGAGAGATAGATATGGAGTTGATGAGAGATCGAGATGAGCTTGCCTCACGCTCTGTCAACTGATTTGTCAGGCATTGATTGCATGACAATTTGGAATGCCTGGCATTGCTGCTGGGCCAGATAGATTTGTAGACTTTTTGGGCTGCGATTGTGGCGCTGGCAGTGATAAACAAGTTTCAAAACTTTGGTTTCTTTGCTGTCAGCTCTTGTGGTCTTTGACACTCTGTGTTCATCGAGGACGGATAATTCAGGAACACCGGTTCGTAATGTGTTTTAGGTATTATCAAACTACTAGTTAGTATTCAAGAGATAATGGAAACTGGCTGATATTGAACGGGCGTGAATTTACGTAGAGTGCTCAGTAATGTCCGCATCTCTTGTCCCTGTTATTGATGAATTGGGAGTTGGAAAGTAATGTTGCACGGATGCCCTCCGTAGATGATGGTTTCTCGTTACAGTTGTGGAATGGACGCTTGTTGTTGGCGTTGAGTCTGGCCCCTAAGTTAGGCGGCTTGTCGATGTGGCGTACTGCATATTTACCGCGCCTGTATTGTATTACCGCAACATTTCACGGACAAAAATTAGTCCTCCCGGTCTGGTGACAACGTCAGCCACATGTGACGTCGGTGCTTGAGCTACACTACAACACCACCAACAGGGCCAATTATTGTTGCATTTGGTTCTCACGGACTAACCACAGCTTCTGAGGATTCACATGTTTAGCCACAGACTGTGTTATCCTCCATCAAATCGATAATGGCCTTTTTGGCGGACGGTTCCTATTTCGCTCAGTCCTGGCCTGCCAAAGCCATTCCAGATACAACAGAGGTACAGTACAACACCACTTGACCAATCCAACAAGCTCCAAAGGCAAAATTTTGTTCCACTGATCATTTAATATATCTATTAGCAAAAGGGACCTAGCATATCGCGTTAGTTCATATTCTGTTCACAAGCTGCCATGGCCTATCCCAGCGACCCTGGTGCCTTTTCCCCACAGGCTGTTAGTCCTCGACCCGATGAAAGGAGCGTTGGTAGAGGTTATTCGACACCTCCTCATACCGAAGTCAAATATGATTCGCCTAAGCAGGGTCATCAGAGGTTCGTTTTTACAGACCCTGTTGCTTTTCGATACCTGGAGGAGGACCCGTCTACAATAGTGTTGGACCGGCGACGTACCTTGACGTGCTATGAAATCTACATTGTTGAGCAATGGGCGTGCTCAAGGGTCCATCCTACCTTCGTCATCAACACATACACGGGCGATCCTTCAAACACTGCGATAGTAGCTGTACTTAGTATTCCAACGGATGAAAATGCGTGGTCCCCCCGATTGAAAGTTTACTTCGATGCTGTTGCCCAATTTCATTCGCGAAAACGAGAAACTCCGCTTGGTATTTTGATGGTGACGAATCTGAGCAGTTTCCCCTCTGCATTGACTGTAATTCTCGTACCTCATGGCGATGTGAAGAGACATAGAGAAGATTTCGTTGTGAACGAGAATTTGAAACGCCTTGGATGTTCGGGACGAGCTGGTATGAATCTCAAACAGCCTAGTGCCGCTACGCAAGCCAAATTTCACCAATTGTACAGGACGAGCGAACGGGTGCCGTTATATTCGGCAGTCATGGAGCTGGTAAAGCAATGCCAGATGGCGCTGATGATTTTTGATAAGCTCGCCCCTGAGTACGCGGATGGTTTACTCTGTGACGTGACAGAGAAAGCTATAAACGACTGGTGGACTGATATTGGAACCGACTTTTTCAACATCGAGCCAAGCGATGGAATCCTAGGTCCAACGACGGTGTCTGCCTTACTTGGGACGGTGATGGGGGCGAGGAACCGTCTTCATGCATATGGTGCTCCAGTTTCCAAGGACGTTTTTGATGTGGCGACTTTAAAACGAGGAATAGAGAGCTTTCAGAAATCCCAGAAACTTGATAGAACTCGCAGACTCGACCGACAGACTCTGGATCGACTTCATCGGGTCACTACAAAGGTCGCCAGTGGTGATGGCTGGAATGTTCCTCGCGCAGTAAAATCTACTGTTGCAGAGTTAGGAGGCAAAGGCGGCGAGATGGTCATTGGAATGGTTGCAGGACGTGCCAAAGCTGGTATCGCGGAAATTGAAACCATTGACATGGACCGATTTGTTCAGTTGGTTAGTGGCGAACGGCCGAAATGGCTCTGGCATGGGAAGCCACGCAAAACTGGAAGCGATATTTTCCGCCATGCTACCGGCGACGATTCGATGGTTTTTACGAATGATGACCGCGGTGGATATAAATGGACTAGTAGAAAAAGGGATGCTGCATCTGATCAGACTTCTGGTCGCCATAGTCTCGAAACTGAATATTCTGGAAGACCGATTGAGTTTCCAGGTACCTTTTTGGATGATAGGGAGCCGCAATTAAAGGGTGCTATAAAACGCTCCGTCACTGGCAAAGTATCAGATGCCCGTGCAGGATTTGGTCGGTTCAGGGACGCCGTTGGGCTGCCTGGTCTCCGGTCCCACCATCACAAACGGTCTAGGGATGGGCCGGAATTTGAAAATGAGTTAGGTGCTCAGTCAAACAGGGACTACTATTTCGGATCGCCGTCCACGCAAACTCAGAATGATGATTTGCCGGATACCGAACAACTGCCATCCGCATACCCCGAAAATCGAGACGATGCCACCCAAACCCCACGTGAACCGCCACCGAATGAAAAGCCACCGGCTCCCAATTCTATCTTCCCTAAAGCAAATGGGGGACCTTTATCTAATGACGAGCATTCAACTACTAGTGAATCAGAACCCAGCGAGGAAGCTGAGGTATCCACAGGAGAAGAAAAAGCTGCGCTCGACAACGTTGATGCATTACCAGAGGCAAAGGGAGCCACCCTACCCACCAACATACCCCTTCGACGGCCACGAAGCCATTGTATACTTCCTACCGAATCCTCGGAGGATCAACGTAATTCCCGTTGGCCTCGCCACCTGTCTTTCAGCGCTGTAGAAGATACGATCCTTTGCTGGGAAAATGTCGCAGATTGGGCAGCAAGACCCGACACAAAAAAAATGACACCCGCAGATGCGATGTTGTGGGAGGACATCTTCGCATCCGACGTGCAATACTATGGCTGTAAGATTCAGGCTTTACGCTCGGCGATAGCGCCCTGGGTTGAGAAACAGGTTTCCGCGGTTGAGTTCATAGATGCACGTGCCCAGGCACGGCTTGACGAGCTTAACACTGTCTACCATGAGAAGATCGAGGACTTTCGCGCGTTGCAAGTGCATACCACTGATCTGGTTGCGGTTGAAGGCTCGACTCTCATGGAGAGCTCTAAGAAAGTCGAGCTGCTGGGTGCGAAGCTTGACTACGAGCTTAATGCGTTGCAGTCAAGGATCGAAGAGGTGGAGGTGGGACTGAATGATTACGAGCGGCATATCGTTGGGATCGAAAATAGGGTTCGGGACCTAGTCAAGGATGAAACGCAGAAGGCGAAGGAGTCGTGGTTTAGTTGGGGTAGTGGGCTCCTTGGACGCTGAATGGGTCGCTTGATAATAATCGATTCAAGTCGGTTGGAATTTTTTCTATTCGATGTTTCTGGTCCCTTGGCTTTGGGAGGTACATATTCTAATTTCCCCTTTTTACCTCTCACTTCTTTTGATAGAATACTCCATATGCATATCGCTAGAGCGTGTTATTCCATGTTTGATTGTATCATGCACATACACATGTACTCTACATATATTTAATTCCTACATAGCAAGGCGTTTTTTTATCTAGAAACAAGCATAGGAAATCAAAGAAAATGTCTCATCAAACAGAAAAACACCGAACCACATCTGTCTGCCCGCCTACAAACATAGGGTTGTGAAAAGTAAGTTTTAGAATATTCTATTGAACAAAAAAAAGGTCACAATATATTAATGTATGTCCCAATAAAAATACAAAAGAAAATCCGCCAGCCCTATAGGTTCACAAACATGCATGATCAGATGAGACACAGTACAACGTAAAACAAGTGAAGCAAAACTCTTTCCATCTCCGTAGCCGGCTTAACGGCCTACCACACTGACGCTGGAACGAAGAACATAAGAAAAACGAAAAGATGAGCCCATACAGGACAATTGCATCCTTCCCCACGCTTAACTCGTAATTGATTCCGTTTCCTCTTATCTAACCAGCTCCTTAAACCGAGGAAAACCCTGTCTCCCCCATGACATGAAACCCGCATTTTATATACCGATGCGTCAAAGAGTGGGAGTCAAACAAGGATGGTAAACGAAGAGAGAAATGAGGGGACAGGAGGTCCCACCCGATGAATCCGCTATCATCATTCCTGCATGTATGTCATTCCTATCCCGTCCCGTAGCCTGGGACGGGACCCGGACCCCGACCTCGCGCTCTCCCATATCAGACTATTTGAGTCCTTTCTTACACCCCGAATCCACTGCCGCCCTGCTGGCCACCCATGGCCTGTCCTTGCATCTGCTGCATTTTCTCTGAGACCTTCATGTTGACTTCGAAGAACTTGGCGACGCAGCGGTCGAGGCAGACGGATTCGCCCTTGTTCAGGTCCCCTTCACGGTAGTCGGGTGGAATGCACTTTTTCATACAGGCGCTTGAGAGGCTGATGTAATGGAACGGGGGGGAAAAATACATGTGTTAGCAGATTGCCTTCTATTTTTGTTTCCTTTTTGGTGGGATATCTTTTTATATAAGTGGGGGTTGCAATGTATAGGGACGGAGACTGAAAAAAAGGAGCTTCCGCTCGCCGGGGCGGGCGGGAAGGTTGTTTTGTTGTTTTTATAGGGTGCATTTTGCTAAGAATATGTAACTTACCGGGTCATCATATCTGTGACCATCTCTACCTCTAGCTCTGCCCTGCTGATTTTCTCCTCCGAAGATAATTTCGGTTGGCCTCCAAATAGGAACGACATCTTGACTGGTTCAGCGGGTGTGAGGATATCGGGTCGTGAGATAAGGGAATGTCCAGCTGGAGCGGGTTGATATGGGTTATGTGAGAAAGCAGAGATTGGGATTGGGGTTTGCAATCGGAAGGGCTCTCCGTAGAATGATCTAAATATACTGCTAGTATGCATTGATATTTGAGGAGCTTCATGACGGATTTTGTTGGAGGTCACATGACCAGGCGTCAACGGGAGCACAAACCTTCAAGTTTTTCGTGGAGATTGAAAGTACTTATATTATTGTTAAGAAAAAATGAAGGAATGAATAAATTATGCCATCTCAGTGCTCTTCCATCTCTATCGTCTACACGATGTATGCTGCACGGAGTTTATAGGTGAAGTTGAACGACAAATTCCATCTGCCAGGTCTAACCGCATCGGGAAGCTTCACCACTGCAAACAATCCGCGGCATTCAGAGAACCCATCTTCATTGCTAGTAGAGACAGCTCTCATTCATTCGATTCCCTAACCGTTGAATCTCACACTTTGTGAGTGCTATTTTCCGCTGAGCAGATGCGGATTTCCTGCTCTCGATGGGCATCCCAGTTGAGCCTGGATAGGCCATTTGCAAGGTACTATACAGCTCCGTTTTTTTTTTCGAAAAGTCATTTCCAATCTCCAAGAGTGCGCAACGCCGAGATACTACTTTTACATAACCGCTAGAGATCATAACTACTTACTAGAGGCATGTTCCTTCTCACCCTCTCTAAAGCCAGAGGAATCAGAACAATGTACATCCATTCTGAGAATATGCAATGCAAATTACTCCCCGCTTTACCTATTCAATGTACCGTCTGGATCACTTCAACATGCTAATCAACTACAACCCTGCATTTTTTTTCTAGATTAACCCGCGCACACCTTCCGTCCTCTCCGAGTGTAACAACGACGAAACCACAGGACTGCCAACTGGTCCGCTGGTCGTCAACGAACACACCTACTGGCCCGGCCACCCACAGCCTTGATAGAAAGGGTTGGGAAAGCAGAATCACAGAAATCAGAAATGTTTACCATGAACCATATCCCCGAATGGCCGTCGACAAGCGGTCAGTCAGCAGCGACGAGTTCCACTCCAAGTACGATTACCTAAAGCCAAACGAAACTGCAGAGCAGGACTATGTGGTTATATATGGTATGTCGCATGGGTTTTGGGGGTGTGATTTTTCTACAAAAACAGAAGAAGCAAAATATGGAGGCATTGGCTGTGCTCACAACTTGATGATTAGGTAGAATACAGTCGGCACGGATTGCGGGGAGCAAATTGATATTTCTTGACCTTGTACAGAATGGCCGGAAGGTGCAAGTGCTGTGCAATCAGAGACATCTGGACGGTATGGGAGTGACGCCGGAGAAGTTCAAGCAATTCTACCATCTACTACGGCGCGGGGATGTTTTCTGTAGGTCATCTTTATACCCTGTATGATGTATTGCCGTACCATCGAGAAAAGAGAGATTTTATATTTTGCATTAACACTTTAAAACCTTGCGTTTTCCGGTAAAATAGCGGTCATCGGACACCCCCATCGAACAAGCCGTAGAGAGCTCTCCGTGGCCGCATCCCAACTCCCCAAGCTCATCACACCTTGTCTTCACGATGTCCCGCTCCGTATGAAAGATCAAGAATCCTCGCCATATGACCGGCACGTTCAGTTACTATCCTCCCCCACCGCAGCTGATATCCTTCGAGCTCGGTCATCTATCATTCAATACATACGCATTTTTTTCTTGGACAGGTCTTTCATGGAAGTGGAGACACCGATATTAGCATCTGTGGCCGGCGGCGCGGTTGCCAGACCGTTCCAAACATCCGCAACTGAATTCCCTGACCGACCACTTTCGTTGAGGATTGCCCCTGAGCTATGGCTCAAGCGCCTGGTTGTTGGCGGATTCGATAAGGTCTTCGAGATTGGCCCATCATTTCGCAATGAAGGTAAGCCCTCGTCCAGCTTATCCTAGCATGCTCTTCTGTGGCTCAAAAGAGGGGGGGAAGAGGGGGGAAGAGGGGGGACACAAGAAAAGAAATCGAGAATTCTAGCTGAAACAATTTCACAGGGCTGGATAAAACCCACAACCCGGAATTCACAACCTGTGAATTCTACCACGCATTCGCCGACCTGGAAACCTTAATAACCCTGACCGAGTCTTTCTTCACGGGCCTTGACCGACACATCCGCCATCTAAACGAAACATTAGAAACCCTCTCCCCGACCGCAACTAGTTTCGCAGCCCCCTTCCGCCGTCTCGACTTCATCCCAGATCTCGAAACGGCAATGTGCCACAAGCTACCGGACTTTACCACCACCCCTACAGAAGAAGCAACCAAAACAGTCATCCAGCTCTTCGAGCAACTCAGCCATCCGCTCCCGACAAACCCCAACCTTCCCCGCCTCCTCGACAGACTAAGCGCCATCTACCTCGAGCCGCAGTGCAGAGACCCAACCTTCATCATCAACCACCCGGAATGCCTCTCACCACTCTCGAAGTCATTCACGCACCCCACATGCGGGCAGACCGTGGCAGCACGGGCGGAGCTCTTCATTGACCAGCGGGAGGTGGTCAATATGTATGAAGAAGAGAACTCACCGTTTGAGCAGAGGCGGAAGTTTGAGATCCAGCTTGGGTTTCAGGTCCCGGCGGTGGAGGCGGAGGGGAAAATGGATGAGAATTACCTGCAAGCGTTGCAGTGGGGGTTGCCACCGACGGGCGGGTGGGGGTGTGGGGTTGATAGATTGTGCATGTTGTTTACGGGGGCGAAGCGGATTGGGGATGTGTTGAGTTTTGGGAATTTGAGGAGCGTGACCCGGTCTGAGTAGGTTGGACTGAGTATTCGGGTAGGTAGGAGAGGGACTAAGGATATTGTTTCTCTTGCGTGGTTCTTGTGCACGGTCTGGGATGTGCATATATGTATGGTTGCTTATCTTTGATAGATGGATAGAGCATATGTATGATAGAATTCAAATTCGCATGAAAAGTCACGATCAATTCAATAATGGAATGCCATACTGCAGGTCGACCTTGAACCTGACATGCAGTTTTGGATTCTCAGTTGATATGGCATCCACCAAGGCAACAGTCAGGCGGCGATTTGTCCTTGCACCAGGCAGCAAAAAGTCTACACAAGCAAGATGCTGGACTGTAGCAATCGATTTCTAACTGGAGACATACCGAGCAAATCAAGTTCGTTTGTCTTTTCTGTTGCAGGAGGGTTGACATCGAATTTCATTTATTCCTCCTTCCTCAATTGAAGGTTCACTGGCCCATTTCTTTTTGTTCTTGTTTTTGATCGCCATGCCTAAATAGTTAGCAGGAATGTAATTGTGTTCTGTTTAAAGCAGCCTGTGATGGAATTGTTTCTTTTTTTTCTGTAGATTCCTTCGCTTTTTTTTTTTTTTCAAAAAATTCAGTCGTTTGTTGCCACGCGACATCCTGCCTTTCAAATGACAGTGGGGAAGAGGAATGATCCTTGTTATAGTATCATGCTTGCAAGCTACCCTGTTAATAACAATATGAAATCCAAGGGATGTCCGGACGGAGGTTCAGTGACTCTTCATCTTGCTTTATCTCGGGGACATTTTTTCTGCTTGCTGCGCACTGCGTAGTTCGAGGGGGGAGGAGAGCTGCAGGCCAAGACGATCACCCCTGTAGCCCATATTTTCTGGAATTTGGTTTCAGATTTTCTGTTTTGACTTTTCCTGGGGGTTTAGCGGGAGGGTTAGCCTCCAATTTTGAAGCTGTCCAAGAGCCATATCTCGATTCCATCCACAGTGCATGTTGCATGCTGGGTTATGTAGAGTGGCAAATGAAGCGGGTGGGAGTACGGAGTAGAAACTGTTCCTGCGTTGACCTTCCCATTTCTCCACTCCCCGTTCGTTGCTCAATTGCTCCGGTTCGCATCCCAGCTCTGGCCCTCTGGATGCTCAGTCCCATTTTGGAGGCGTGTGTGTCTTGCCCATCCACACAGTTCTCCGCACCACGGATAGGATCCAGTAGGGTGGTTCCCCTGCACTAGCTCCAGGCCGATGACCGCTAAGTCATTGCAAGGTACTCAGAGGGGAGGAAGAAATAATAATCTCTGCATTATTGCCGGACGATGTCTGATCTGATCCATCACATCCGCATCCAGTAACGATAATTCCCAGCGTTACCAGCGTTACCCCGGCCGTGGTGCTGTGTCCTGACTTCTGATTGGCCGAATCCGGGTGCTAGGGCGGCACATGACTTCGTGTGAGTCACCTGAGGTCGCGTAACCACTTTACACGTAGCCCTAGTTGCAAGCCGCGTCGCCCCCTGCCTGCATCGAGGCCTCCAGACGAGGAAGGAATATTAGACTCGTATCAATATCCATATCCAGCTTCAACCGGAGGAAGAATAACCAGCAGAAATGGAAGTGGAAGTGGAAATGGAAATGGAATTACACAGCAGAGTCTGGTTGCAGCACGGCCCTCGGCTGCGTCTGCTGCTGCTGCTGCTTGTGGATGCTGCTCATTTCCCGGCCCTGGTTCCTTTTTCGCTGTGCTGCTGCTGCTGGTGCTGCTCGGTGGGCGCTGCCTAGTGGCTGCTAGCTATCACTATCTTACTCTGTACGACTCCGTACCTGTACTATATCATCCTCCTGGTATCCGGTACTTAAGGGCGGCTGGTGCTCCCCTTCCGGCTGGAAGGAAATATTCAGTTCCTTTGCTTACTTTCTTTCGCTTTCTTTCACTTCCACTACCTTCCATTGATGCCCTCAGGCAATATAAAAAGCAGATATCAATCTAAAGTCTGCGGAACTCCAACGTTTCTTTACCCATATAAGGACTTGCTCTTATACTTAATTGGCCTACCCCCCAAGCTCATACTGTGTTTGCCTGGGAACGAGAAACGGGCCAAATTGATTAACCTTTTTAAGGGATCGAAAGGACTTAACGGCCATCCACCTGAAGTCCTGGACATCATGTTTTCCAAACGGTCGTCTCAAAGCCAGACAGAGAGCTTTTCTTCCAAATATCGAGCTGGTAAATCCGCTTCCCGGTCAAAGAGGTCCTTCAGAGATCCTGCAACATCAAGCACCAGAAGAGCAGAAAAGGCATCTCGTAAACCAGAGAGCCCTCCAGTTGGCCCGTAAGTCGACAGACATGAAGGCTTCTAGATATGCTTCCTTTTGCTGACTTGTGCCATTTTTTTCTCTTCCGACTTAGCAACCTTACTTCTGCTATTATAACCCTCTGCGTGGGTCCCGACCAACGGCTCTTTGCTGCCCACGAGGATGTCCTGTGTATCTCGCCTTTCTTTGCCACTTGCTGTCGAGGCCAATTCCTCGAATCCCATGGCAAAAGAATCAATCTGCCCGACGAACAACCAGAAATCCTCTCCTCCATCCTCGAGTACCTTTACAAGGGCGATTATTACCCGCGCCTGATACACAATAAACGTCGAGACTCGTGGGAACTAGAGAATGTGGGGAATCCATCGAGTCAGCAGGCTTCAGATTCAACCATTATTAACCAGGTTGATGGGGCTGTCATCTTAAAGGATACTGCTGTCTAGTTTGTCTCCCCCGTCGTCACCTATACCTCAAATCTATCTGTGCAAATCCTCTGCCTAATGAATTGAATTGTCGGCTAATGACGATTCCGTTTTCAAACAGCTGTGCTGCCGAAAAATATGGCCTGGATGATCTGAAACGACTTGCTTTGCGGAAACAGGGGCTTCAAGTTGCAGTGCAATGCAGCACGATACTCTCCAGTGCTCGCTTTGCCTATGCAAACACTCCAGACAACGACTCCAAGCTCCGTGCACACTATCTTGCCTTGATCATCCGCAGCAGATCGACATTCAAGCGAAGTGGAACCATGCAGATGGAAATGGAGGTTGGAGGGAAACTCTTCTTCGACCTCTTCGTCGCGATGTGTAACCACATGGTTAGCCCCATTCTCTCTTTGTCGCTATTTTCCTTCCCCCCTCCCCCTCCTCCTTCCCTCTCCGTTAGGTACTCAAATTCAAATACTCACTCAGAATTGACTTAACAGGATGACCTTACCAACGCTACCAAATCTCCATTCTCCCGTTAATATCTAACATTCTGCTCCGCGACTCCATATGCCACACATACATGCATATCCTCCACTCCGGATAGATTCATCACCGCTTTATATCGCCGCTCAGCAATAATGGAACCCATCTCACCTCCTTTCATTCGCATACAAAGCCGTGTACACAAGACTTTACCCACTCGCCGCTCTTGTTCACTAGCCGCGCTCGATATAAAATATGCCCTGTCCTCCGAAGCGAAAGTATGGCCCCCCGCCCAACTACCACCACTACCATTTTACTCTAAATACCGATACTTGTATAATATATCACTTCCGCCATATCGAACAAAAGACCAGAAAGGAAAAGGTCCAAAACCCAGGCAGAAATAAGTAGAAAGTCCTAATCACGAAAAACCAATACCCAAGCAACGAAACCGTCCGCGCCGTCCCGTCCACACTCTTTTCCCTTTTGGGGTGATTATTTTCTTTTATTCAAAACAAAACAAGCATTTATGCGACACGCCAGTACCAGTCTGAAGCTCGCCGAGAGAATTTGAAGCTTGGAACGTGGGGACAAAAGAAAACAAAACGCGGAACAAAGACACAAAAAATCCAGCTACCTAAAAAATCCAGCTACCTATCTATCTATCTATCTACCACATCTTCCCTCCATGCTACATTAACTACCGCAAAATAACCACCCTTAATGCTGGTCTACATCCTGTACATTACCTCTACATTTCTTCTTTCTCTTTCCCCTTCAACTTCATTTCCTTTCCCCTTCTCATATCATATCATATATCTCGCTCTTCCTGTTTGAGATGCATCTGTTTTTGTTTCTCTCTGGTTGTTGTACGATACTGTTAACGGCTGTACTCCTTACTCAAAATTCTCCAGCCGCCTCCCAGCCTCATGAAAAATAGGTGCTTGGTCGATGGCAATGAGAGCACACGCAAAAAAAAAAAAAAAAAAAAAAAAAAAGACTTTGGTTCGCTATCATCTTTTGGGGTTTCCTTTTCCTTTCTTTTCTTTGGCAAAAGATTCTCTCTGCCTTGCATATGTGCTTGCAGCTTCCATGAACCGCCTCTCCTGCCCCTAGGCTTCTTTTCTTTCTGTTTTGTCAACAGTACTTGGAATAGGCTCTTGTTCTCGTTCGAATTCCTAAATATACGCGAGGAAACCATCCGATATGCTTTGCCAGGTTTCAAGAAGCTGATGATACCCTTTTTATTGTTATATCTATATTTTTGGGCCCTCTTTAGATGTATCGTGCGCCTGACAAACAGACTACAAGTCCTTTTGCGTTTCTGTCTAATCTAAATTGTCAATGAGAAAGGGGAATATGATTCGGAGATTTGAAAGATGTTTTATTTTTTGTATGTATGAAGTATGTATACAACAGATTGGTCGATTGGGGCTTGTTCAGCTCGTCAGTAAATTTCGGAATGAATGGAATTGAGCTGACCCCCTTGATTTTTTTGATTTTTTGAATTTTTATAATGGATCAAGATGCAAACGCTTCGCCAGTCGTCGGTTCGGGGGTATTTATGTAGAAATTGCTCAGCTCTACCTAGCTATCCTCTAAACCGCCTTTTCCCCCTCAAGCTCAAATTGACAACAGGTGCCTGAATTCAGTCCATTTTGTCTATCATTCATCAATCATTTCATGGGCAGCAGCACATCCCTTTTTCTATCGCACTACCCATTTTCGAAACATCCATCAGGCCAATTACGCATCCCATATACGACATTCCGCAAGCCGTCAAACCCGCCGCGAGACGGGGTTTTTCAGGGGTAAAGTAAAACCAAAAAAATCTGCCCGAGCAAGGCTTCCCGTTGGCGAAGTATCACGTGATGATACGCTTCACTCTATCTCCATCGATCTAGCCACACGGCTACTACAGATATACGTATATTATTATTAGCATCTACATCCAGGGAGGGGGGTCGTTAGTGGCACGTGGCATCCGGCAGAAACAAAGGATTCGAAAGCTGCTGTGCCATTGGCAAGAAAGAATAGTACTAGTACGTTGCTGCCACGGTCTACCGCGTGGGTGTGAGCGTGGTGACTCATATTCAAATCCATATTCTCGCCCTGTCCACAAGGATCCATGCATTGTGGGCGGAGGTACGTATGAGTACATGTCAATGTAGCGTTGTTATCGTGCCATTCCAGCGACAGAGACACAAGGCATATCGCACTTGTATGAAGAATGTTTCTTTTTGGCCGTATCCCCTCCCCCCTAAAGCCCGACAAAATTGAAAATGGCGCTCCCCGCGTCCATCTATGACTCTTCCCGCTTATCTCACCTCAGCTCCACCACGCTGAGTGCAAAGTCTTCCTGAGAATAGCCAGCTTATTAGAAAAAATATTTGTGGTTTCCCCTCTGCCATTGTCCCTGTTCGTGATACAAGGCTTCCGAAAACTGCCGAGGTAGGTGGGGATATGGGATGTGGTTTTTGGTTGGTGTGACTGATTCTTATTTCATCTGGGATGGTATCATTGGCGAGGATTGCTTTGGCCGCAGGTATTCGACTGGTGTGAGATGGGTGGACAGGCAGACGAGTGTGTTCACAGTAGTATCAGAGTAGGATTCACTTTTTGAGTGCGGAGTAGGTATATATCTATTGGTATTTTTGGGAGAACGCTGCACGCTGCATCTCTGGAAACTGAAAATCAAGGCGCATGTAAACGCCCCGAACAGCAATTTAATGCCAACTGCACGAAAATGATTCGCATGTATCCGGAGGAGGTGCGGGAATGATATGAGGTCACCAACGAGCAGCCACGCTGGAAAGAGTATTCAGAAGTGAAGTCGCTGGAGATTTGGATCCTCTGGTTAGTTAGTCGTGAGATAAATATAGACGAGTTTATATCAAAACCACTCCCTCAACTAAAACATGCTGATTTCGGGTACATTGCTGGACGGTATATGATGAGAATACAGAATCGCGGAGTTGTGGCGCACATCAGACCCCAGTTCCGGGGAACGCGGTGCCCCCTTTACTTAGTACCACAATGGCTCTTTCTCTGGAAATGTACCCTTTCATCAAGTTCTGAGTAGTACGTTCAGTCAGCAGCTTGCATAGAACGCTCACGATATTTGGGGCTCTTTCCAGGAACTGGAACAGAATCATTTGGGAAACAAAGAAAGGTCTCGTCTCACCTTATAGATGAGATTTGCCAGAAAACATTCAACTTCATCCATATCTAGCGAAACCCTTTCATCCACCTTGTTGCCTAATCTAATTGCAGCAGCGAATTCCGCAACAGGGATTCTCGTCCGCCTGATGGGTGGTTGCCCGTTCACCGGTGGATCATATCCTCCAGCCAAGAACACTTTCCGGAAGAGATTGCGGAGTGCGATGTCTCGGCCTCTTTCGAGAGGAAGATATATACGCTTCTTGACAAATTCGTTCTCGCCAGCCGCCATTGCGGCGTCAAAGCCTGTGAGGTCGCCTTTCTTGATGCACTTGCATAAGGGACTGAATAACTTCTCGAGAAGTGGATAGGGGGCAAGAAGCCGAAGTGTCGGTAGTGTGTGGGTCGTTACGATGTGACAGGGAATAAGATACGTAAGGATTAATCTAGATAGGGCAACTTAGTGCTGTTGCCACAGAATGAGAAAGAGAAATCTCTTGCACTCACTCTTTATTTTTCTTCGCCAGGGGATGGCACATTTTCCAAGCGTAGCTCAAATGCTCTTCGGCCTAGGCGATTCGATGATTAATATACAGATCAAGAGGGATGACGGAGAAGTGTCAACACCATCCACACATACCTCTGCGTAGTTCTCTTCAAGGAAACATATCACCCCGAGATAATATTTGAAAGTGACGATGTGCGATTTGGGGAAAGCTGAAAATGGCGGTAAATCCGCGTGTGATGCATCTATAGCGCGCAGCAGGCTTTTACAAGATGATACGGCCCCGAGCTATAAGATAATGGCTGTTAGAAAACGGACCAGAAGCCATGACAGAAGTCTCCCAGGAATCCGAACCTTAAAATACGTTTTGAAAGATAGATTCACGGTATTATATACGCCCCATTTACGAGACTCTTCAATTGGTGCCCTGCAAGAAGTTTCAGAAAAGTAACCTAATATGATACCCAACCAGAAGCATACCTGTCATGAAGACATAGCGTGAACATCCGGTTAATTATTTGAGACGAATCCTCTAACTTGGCATGCTTACTGGAGTCGGATATAACGTCATCTTGGAAGCCATTATTAAAGGTATCCGAATCCTGGGAAGTGCTGGCATCCGCTTCCATCGCGAATATTCGAAGATATCTCCCGACGACATATATACAAGGCAACGTCCACGCCTGGAACCCTCCGTTGGTGTACCCGCGGATGAGAAGATTGGCAACTTGCTTCCAAGCGTTAAAGACTTTGGTCCAATTCCCCGTTTGAGGCGACTCTTCGATTTCGACTATTTCTGCCACTGCTTTCCAGTATGCCACGAAAACTTCTACCCACGCATTGCCCTCCTGCTTCGAGAGTTTGACCCCGGTTGATCGGTCTTGGAGGAGAGCATATCGGATATCTGACTGAACTTTGGCAAAGTTTGTGAAATAATAGAAATTCCGCAGTCTATCTGGGTCACTTGGAGGGGCAACTGGAGTAATTGTAGCTGCCAACGCAGAACCAATGCCTGTATGCTGAGCTTCCTTGAACTCAATAAATATGGTTCTCATTTTGCGGTCAACCCTTAGGTGCGTCGTCATAAGAGCGCATGAGCTGAGCAAGATAGCAAAGAGAAGAAGTACCTAGTAGAAGGTGTTAATTAAAAAAACAAAAGAATTTAGATAGTCATCTTCCAGGCCAAGCAGTCAGTTCCTCCTTGTTGCTTGCTGTTCGCGGTTGGCTGGAGACACTTTTGGTTTTCTGGAGGAGTAATATCTTGGCATAACCAAACTCGGTTAGCGTATTGAGGCTCCTGGGTTAAGCGAAGGGCCACAGACAGCCCTAGCCACCACAAGCTCCAACACATCTGAAATTCCCTACGTTGAAGACGGCATCCATCTCACGACACAGCACGACAACCAGACAAAGTAAGTACTTATCCAAGAGCTATATTGAATTACGAGTTACTGACATCGAGGTTCTAGATGGGTGAGTTTTATCCCTTGATTCGAGTCACGCTGTAATGCCCTGCCAAACCCCTTTCGAGATCGCAATGTAACATGATCCTACTCCGATAAAAAATCCCAATTCATGAAGCTACGCCTGGTGGAATGTCGTGACTATTAGTTGTGGAGAAATCTCGTTGCAGTTTTCCGATGGGGATCATTTGCGCTCTGGAATCTTCTCTGAAACTGGTTTCTTGCCCATCGAATTTTTTGAGATATAGACGGACCAGCCGACATGTTGCATCTTTTAATATCGCCCTATCGTCCTACGAAGATCACAGAAACCGCTGTCAGGAACACTGTCTAATTTTGTGTGTTAAATTAGGGCGTCTCACGGAATACCAGGTCATCGGGCGACATCTGCCCACAGAGGCAAACCCCACACCAAAACTGTATCGCATGCGCATCTTCGCTCCGAACACAGTCGTTGCAAAGTCAAGATTCTGGTTTTTCTTGATGAAGCTACGAAAAGTGAAGAAGGCAAATGGTGAAATTGTGTCCATTAATGTGGTATGTACCCCCTTCTGGGAAATAGTTTGCGCGTGTGGAAACTTCGTTCCCGTAGAGCGGTCTCCGGACAAGTTAACTCAAATCCTTCATCTTCCTCTCTAGATCCACGAGAAGCGCCCACTGAAGGTTAAGAACTTCGGTATCTGGATTCGTTACGATTCGCGTTCCGGCACACACAACATGTACAAGGAATATCGGGAAATGTCGCGGACTGATGCTGTTCAAGCACTCTATCAGGATATGGCTGCCCGCCATCGTGCCAGATTCCGGTCCATCCACGTATGAACCGTCCATCACACCCCGATCATAGATTTCTTGTTATATTAAATTTTTGCATTTTTCTAGATCCTGAAAGTTGTCGAGCTCGAAAAAGCCGACCTTATCCGACGACCATATATCAAGCAGCTTATCACCAAGAATCTCAAGTTCCCTCTCCCGCACCGGGTTCCCAAGGCTTCAACTAAAAAGATATTTGCAGCTCAAAGACCTTCGACTTTTGCTTAGGTGGATTTGGGGGTTTTGTTGGCGTGGAAAATGCGGGGATGCGGCATATGAATGAACTGCGCTTATGGCTATTTACACTTGTGTATTGGGCTGATGGACTGGTCGAAACGTACCCTTCCGTTGTCGCCATGATCCAGCGGCCTTCCTTTTAGTCTATGGAGCGAAAACTTTTTAAATTTTATAAATTTTTCTAAAAAAAATTCATGATAATTGTTTATTTTAAAATCTGGGCTCATAATCCCTAGCCGTGATTGTATCAGTATTCCGCAATGATATTGACATTTTTTTAAAGCAATTGTAATTTCATTATTTTTGTGTTGTTAACTTCTACACCACTTGACTATTTTTAACCCATTGTTAAACAAGGAAAAGTATGTAGTGGAAATAAATGTCCACAGCTGAGCCAAGAATCTCATATATTTTAAATTCAAATCTGTCAGTTTATCTAAAGCCTTGGATTGCTGAGAAGTGGTCAACACTATTTCTCAGAATTGATGAGAACTTGAAAGGAATAAGAATAATAGCATAAAGAAGAAAATAGAGAAAAGTATTAGAGAGAATAAATTATTCGTTAATACAGCTTCAGTAACTTATTAAAGCAATTTATTCTAACCAGTTACTCAAATCTCTCAAAGTTTGCGAACTTCAAAGTTTGCACTTTTTTTTTGCTGAAGCACTAAACCTTCCTATTGCCGCGCTGTACCATATAACTCTGAGCTTTCGAGCCCTCTCTTCAACAGCATAAACACTCTACCCGCATCCCTTCCAATGACTATGGCTCCGCGTCAAGCGACACACTTGCAGATTCGGGAGAATGGTGGGTTGTAGTCTTGCTATTCCGGTCTTGCTCTTAACTGACCCTCGTCGGCAAGCGGATCTCAAGGCATCCGGAAAGAGCTCCAGAGCTGGAGAAGATGGTTGTGAGGAAGAAGCCTTCCTAACTAGCAAACCCCCTCCCCCCACCTGCAGCGAGTTGCTCTCCTACAAAGATTGTATGATAGCCACGGCAACCACGATGCTCTACAAGGAAGTAATGTCAACAAACAAATGGCAGAACCCTCCCAATTGCAATTGAATGGCCGTAAACGCATGCGAGAGTATGAACAGCAGACTGATCCTGTTAGACATGTTGCTGACAAGCGACAACATAGTCCTACAAGCCCGGTGAAGACACAGGAATCAGGGAACCAACGCAAGCCGATTTCCAGTTCCCCAAATAGTGGACCAAGATGTATACATTTTCCCACCCTTTGATGCTTCTTCACAGTCTACCAATTTCACCACCACGGTGTTTACCTAAACGTAAACAACGGTATCCCGAGCTTGAGGATTCGCCTGATGATTGAAATCCGCCCTCAAGACTGTCACGGACCGGCGACAGACTCACTGAACATTGGGTGCTTCACGAATGCGAGTGGCCTAAAGACCTTTTAAGACCCGATCCCATGGGAGCAATTTTATGCGTGACCAAAAATCCAGACGAAGTCAACTAGTTTGAACACTGCAAGTGAAACGACTTCACAAAGTGCAAAGAGAAACCCTTACAACCTCACATACTACGCTACATATCTCGAGACAAGGGGCTGTTTTATATATGACCATGATGGCGGTGTTGATAGTGATAACAGAATTGTCTGTTCTCAATTACTGAGTACAAATCCGGAGCTCCCTAGTAAAACTGTGTTTGAAGTGGAGTGTGGAAACACCTTGATATTGCAGATCGACAGAATGCACACTTCATGGCTCTCTCAGTAAGAGGTGTTGTTAATCTCTTCAGATTTGTAAAATGTGAGGCAGAACTACATCGACAGATTCTGGCATTTTCTGTTTCACATGATCACCGAGATGTCAGGATCTATGGCCATTATCCTGTGGTCAATGGAGAGAGGACCACCTATTACCGCCATTCCATTCGTCAATTTAACTTCACAAAGTTGAATGGCAAAGAGAGATAGACATCTTACAAGTTTATGATGGTGTGTGTATAGTGACTAGGCGCCTTTTCATTTTAAAAGATTGCGCTCTGCTATTGATGAGCTACCAGACGTCGACTCTAACATGTTGCAGCAACCAGAGACGCCATATCAACCTGAGGTTTTACATCAGTTGAAGCTGAGTTTCTCGAAATCAACTGGACTTTCACAAGGTGCCGAAGGTGTTGATACAGGGTTCAAGTACTACCTCTCTATTGAAGAAAACTGGGACCGGTCCGCATACTACTCCTTCAGGTGTTCCCGAAAAGAAATCTGCAGAAGCCTTCAAAGTGCCAAGGAAAAGACGCCGATATTATTAGATAGTTGCTACTCTTGTTAGTTGGGACGGTTTTCGATGAAAAAGAGAATCACTTTCATTGCTTACTACTTCGGCAACCTGAGAATTGGGCTACAAAGAGCAGCAGAAATCATTGACTCGTGGTATCCCCAATGTATTATACGACATGTGTAGTTCTGTTTAGTTCAGCGATTCACATAGCTAGCCCTTGGCATTTCTCGTCATTCCGTATGGTGCTTCCGGGGCATCTCATTCATTAAGCGCACATAGAGTATATTGAATATTATGCTATGAATTACCAGCAGGCGTTATTGTTTTGCTTCTGTGGCTCTGAGCCGTAATGATTGGTTGGTGGTAATCCAAAGGATCCGTAAGACATAAGAATTGCCTAGAAATTGAAAATTAATATCTCTAGAATTTTTCAACTGGGGAATTGAGGCAATTCTTAGATGCAGGGTTTTGAAAATTGACATAACCACCTACCTCCCTTTTGTTATCTGCATTCTGAAGGGATACACGATCCTCGTTCCATCCATTATCAAATCCGTAACCAGGGTTGGAGCCCTGTCGGCATCACTCTTGCATCTACCGCCGTTGCGGGATCTCCATTCCTGCTTGAAATGCTTAAAGTCCTCTATATTCGTCACCGAAGGCTTCTCATCATTCAAGTATACATGGAATTCTCAGACCAACTTTTCACAACCCGGAATCCTGTTGTTTCGCGGCTGTCAGATAGGTTCCCATGCGACAAGGGTATTTCAGTAATCCTTTGCCTCCTCGCATGAGGATATGGGAGTCCTGTATCTCTTTTTACTGACCGCCTACTTGAGACTTCTCGCAGAATTGATGAGGCTCTACCATCCGCCATCCGATCCAACCAGTCACCACTGCCAGTGGATGTCCCATGGGCACATGACTGTGGCGGAGGCGTTTGCGCATCTACCGACTCATTTCTGAACTCATCATCGTTATATATTTCCATTGTCGTCTGAGATGGAGTTTATCTGGAATAAAACCAAGTCGGCGGAGTCGGTAAGAAAATCCTGAGGGGGTCTAGAGACGGACCTCTGCTTGAGTCTGACCGGCATGCACGAGGGTCATCTTTAGAACACTTTCGGCGGCCATATCTACCTGGTAGGTATATCGAGGCAGTTCTGTCAAAAGAATCACGAAAATTCTGCTGCAGATGGGAGTGTGCCATGGGAGTTGGTATTATTCTGACTTCTGCCAGACAAAATTGATTCTCATCATTTGATAAAATCTCCGCTAAAATTCTGTCAAGATCATTCCATGAAGTTTGATATATATATAAGTCAAAACGTTGAGTTCCAGACGGAGATGAAATTGGAGAGGAGGGACAACAAGCAGAGACGAACAAGGAGAACAATGATTGACTATCAAGATCTATTAACAATACTTTATATCTTTTTGTCTTCTCTAAGAAGTCCTATAAGTATCTCAACAGTCGTAGTTATACTTACTGAATTCTATATCCTCATCACTCTCTCACTCTCAACTCTTCAATTGCTATTGTAAGAAAGCTCTGAAGACCCTTACAATGGAATTGCCCTTGTGTGTTAGTAACATCCCAGCAGTAACAATTTGAAGCTGCACATATCTGTAATTTAAATATTTATGATTGGTTGGAAATTTGGGTGACCAGTTTCCCATTGCGTCATACGTGGTATAAAATAAGCACCCAACAAACCTTCAACCCCAAGTCAATTCAACCCTCCATCGATCAGCCTCCTCATCCACCCATCCATTGGTGTGTCAATTTCCGTCCAAAATGTTTGCACGATATACATTCCGATGCTCCCAGCCTCTGGCACAGGTGAGTCCGTTCTAAAAAAAAACATCCATTGCCGGTGCCCGCGTCACTGACGCTTCGCTCCAATTGCGCATAGAGTGTGCGAAAATATTCCTCAGAAGCCCCAGCAAAGTCATCGCGAATTCCGTTAATTGGAGGCATCACTCTCGCAGCTGGCGCCGGATATTACTACTACTGGCAAACTACTTCCGCGAAGTCTGAGCTGAAGGAACGCAGCACCGTCTTCAAGGGAGGGGACCAGGGATGGATTGGCCTCAAGCTGGCCCACATCGACAATGTCAACCATAACGTCAAGAAACTTCGCTTCGAGTTTGAGGATCCCGAAAGCGTTTCTGGTCTTCATATCGCGTGTATGTCCCATTCCCATTTTATGGGACTGTTGGTTGATCCACCGATTTTATGCGACTAACATCTGATTGATCACAACAGCCGCCCTTCTGACCAAATATAAGGGCCCAACGGACGAGAAGCCGACAATTCGTCCTTACACTCCTGTCAGCGATGAAGGTATGTGGGCGGGACAAGTAGTCCCAAGAATCCTGGCTCCCTTGGTGGGATAAGGTAAATAACAAAGGATGTGCTAATCCAACATGACAGGCCAACCTGGGTACCTGGATCTCCTGGTAAAGCGATACCCCAACGGCCCGATGTCCAACCACCTACACAACATGGCAGTAGGCCAACGGCTTGACTTCAAAGGCCCTCTTCCCAAGTATCCATGGGAGCCTAGCAAGCACGATCACATCTGCCTGATCGCAGGCGGCACCGGGATCACGCCCATGTATCAACTCGTCCGCAAGATCTTTAGCAACCCCGAAGACAAGACCAAGGTGACGCTCGTCTGCGGCAACGTCACGGAGGAAGACATCCTGCTGCGCAAGGAGTTTGAACATCTCGAGAACACCTACCCTCGGCGCTTCCGCGCCTTTTATACCCTCGACAAACCGCCCAAGAACTGGGCGCAGGGCACCGGTTTCATCACCAAGGAGCTGCTCAAGACCGTGCTCCCCGAACCCAAGACAGAGAATATCAAGATTTTCGTGTGTGGGCCGCCAGCCATGTACAAGGCGATCAGCGGGCCAAAGGTCAGCCCCAAGGACCAGGGCGAGCTCTCTGGCATCCTGAAGGAGCTTGGATATAGCAAGGAGCAGGTGTACAAATTTTAGGTTTGCGTGCTCTTTATTGGACAGGGAGGGAGGGATGGGGATGCTTACAATCTTCCCACTTTTATTATCCAGCTGTTTTTCCGTTTTGCTGATTACTAGAGAAAGAGCCTCCCGCGGATATGTATTAGATAGATACTAATGCAGGTAATGTGATTTTTCCATTTTCAGTGTGTGTATATATATATTGTTGTGACTTGATTAGACTAGTTAGTACAATCTTTATTATCAGCTATATAACACTTTTTTATTTAAAGCCGACAAAAAGGGTTCACACACACACACACACACATGAATCCGTAACAACCATCAGCTTATCCTGAACCCACTCCGGCACCAACAAGGGAAGCAAGGGCAGGCCGTCACATCACGTAGACACAACATCAGCTTCCAATAGGCACTAAATAGAGTAAATCCTAGACCCCAGATCACGGATTTCTCGGATGGTTCGATCCGGGCAGAGAGTGGGAGGATAAGGGCAAACAGAAAGAAGAAGAAGAAATGAGGGAAGTTAAATAAGCATTTTCTCAGATGGTCATATCTGCTGGACAATATAGATACGTAAAACAAACATATATAACATATTTATTAGATATTTTACAAAGGGGAGGCTCCCTTTTCAACTTTATCTTCTGAATCAATAGAAGGGGGGGCATTTATCCATCCCAATAGATGATTTGATCACAACTGGCTATTCGTATTTATCTATCTATCTATCTATCTATCTCTCTACGGAGGGAGGTCGTCTTCAAGAATTTAAACTGAAATAAGTTAACTATAGTTACCGGTATTAACTCAGTAACTTATTGCCCGTTCGATCCCCTCACCCTTTAACTAATTAAGTCGTAGTTATTTTACCATTCAGAGGGGGCTTTAGTGGTGGCTCATTGCCCGTGGCTTGCTCACTAGCTCATTAAGCATTGCCCAGGAGTCCCAAGTATGACCGACCTCCTTTGCGCTAGTTATTTGAGATTTCGGTTTAAATCCTTAAGTGGGAGAGAAAGATTTTTGAAAACAGACTCCGTATCTATTTATCTATTTAGTTTCCCCCCCACCTCCCCCGATGTAGTTGAGCATTAAGCCATTGATTGTGGTTGACAAGTATATATATCTAGCAAAAGGGGGATCAAAACAAACTCACCCGCCGCCGCCCGTAGTTGTGTTGAGAGAACAAATGACTAAAATAAACAGATGGGAGGGAATAGCGATGTTATTTTAAATACTCGGGGTTTGCCCAGCGTTCATCAAGGGGGCCAGCGTAGGTTCAAAGGAAAAGAAAAAGGGTTGTATATAGGGATCATTCTCGTTGGATGGCGGCCTCTCTTGTGTTGTTAGTAAGTCCCCTTTTTTTTTTCTTTTTCTCTTTCGGTGTTTTTCTATATATACAATATACATGTATGATTCTTAGTTCATCAGATGATGGAAGAGGGAAAGAGATGGGGAAAGAGAGGGCAGTGATGAAAGGGAAGGGCGCATCTCCAAGATCTCCGCAAAGACAGAGGGAGAGAGAGAGTGAATCAAGGAAAAAGACAAAAAAGACAAAAGAAGAAGAAACAGAAAAAGAAACCCTTTCGTTGAAAGTTGAACCTCATCCCTACCCCCATCCCCGCGGTGGCACTGCCCCAATCCTGTTGTTCTGATTATAATTAAGTGCTCACGATTATTATTCTCCAAAAGAACCCGTGTCAGCGGGGGAGGGGTTGCCGTTGGCTATGACATTGTTTAGCTCTTAACCAGTAGGTAACAGAGCCTAGCAAGGGGCACGAACATTGTTGTTTCTGGCCCAGGAGCAGGCACAGGCGCAGGGGCGTTCCCTGGAAAGAGCTAAGTTAGCGGTTAGAAGAAACTGACAAAAAATACGATGGGAGATTTGATAAACCACTGGCCCCGTAAGCAAAAAAAAAAAAAAATTAGAATATGCGGTTTAATCAACAGAGGCATCCCCCCCGCCCCCCCAGCGCAGCCACCAATGCCCCCAAAGTCACCTTGGGACTTGCAACGTTGCGATCTGCAACCCAGATCCATATTTCCTGTATTTTATTTTTACTTAGTTATTTGATTTATTTTCTCTATCCCAGCGCTACAAAAAGGAGGGAAGACGTACTGTTCTATACTGACATATGTTATATATATATATATGTGTGTGTGTGTGTGTGTGTGTGTGTGTGTAGGGCGGCTTTGGGAGGGAAGATTTCACAACGGGAAGGGTGAGGTGGAAGTTCTTGGAGGGGCAGTCGACTCGAGCCTCCCTTGGAGAAATAGGCGGGTGCAGGTGCGAGAAATACTACGCTGCAGTAGGGAGAACAGAATTTCGAGGGAATTTCTGGGCAAGTTGTGCCGTGGTGGGGAGGGGTGCTTGCTTAGCTGCGGAAAATTCTTCGTATTCTTGTTTGCCTTTTTTTATCCCCTGTTGTGTGTTAAAGCTGGGTCCGCCTGGAGCGGGGGAAAGAGTATGCTTAGGCGGTGTGGTTGGGGAGGAATGGGGGTTGTCGCACACGGCCAGGGCAATATTTGGAGGCTAGGCATCTAAAACGCACCCTGATCAGCCGCCAGAGGATGTGGGCTGTTGACAGGAAGCCAGGAGGTAGAGGCAAAATGACAATACGAATACTGCTCCTCATAACGGGAAGAAATCACGGACATCAATGTGATGCCTGGAAGGTTATATTAAAAGGATAGTTAATAATCCCCCCATATATACTAAGATATCCAGTCAGTCCATTTACCATTATGTGAATATTGGGGAAATTGAAATAACTTGAATGCTTGTTAGGAGAGGGAGAATGAACTCGGATAAGCTCTGGAATGGGCTGTATAGACGGAAGGGTATATAATGGGCTGTAAGTTAGAAGGTATAGTTAGAAGGTTGACAGAGTTTCTTCCATCATCGAACTGGCAGCCGACGCTCTCGCTGCTAAAGGTCCCTCACGAGAACGGCGCACAAGAGGCTGGGCAAGGGCGTCAAGCACAAAGCGGCGTTAGGTGACTGTGCAGCAAACTGACTTCTCAGGTTGGCTGCAGGACCAATTCCCAAGGGCCCAAGACAGCCAATAGCATCGAGCGCTGCTGGGGAGGGGAGGGGAACAAGAGTGGACCGACTCCCAGTGACTTCAGTAGGGAATCGAGGAATCAGGCGCCATGAGTAAGTGCCTACAGCGGTGCCAGGCCTCGCCTCGGGCCAAATGTATAGGCACACACACACGCACGCGCACTGCAGCCCGCAGCCCGCAGCCCACAGCCAGCGCCCGGCCAGGCCGAAGGGCCCGCCTAAAAGCGGCGCTGGGTGCCAGCCGTGGGGGGTTTAGCCTACAACCCGCCCTAACCGGGAAAGGACTGTGTTCGCCGTCCAACGTCCACGTCCACGGGTGGGCCTGCCGCCGACGTCCCAGCTGCGATCCCCCGGCGATGCGGGCCCCGAGCGCTTGGGTATTTATTAATCCAGGCACATCCGCCCTTCCCTCCTCCCGCTCTTCTCGCTCTTTTCGCTCTTCTCTCCCTCCTGCTTTCTCCTGCCTTCTTCCCCCCAGAGTGGAACACACTGTATCCTGACGCTCTCCGTTTCTTGTTGGCGCCATCTTGTGGATGTTCTTCCTGCCCACCCGCACTAACGTTATTCTCTAGCAGCAGCAACCCCATTCCACACACACACACACACACAGGCTGCATCGCGAAACCAACTCAAGTCTCATTGTTTTTTGTTATCGCATCATACTTGCACGCGCCCAAGATGTCGAGGAAAGATGACAAGTCTAAAGACAGCACCGCCATTGTAACGGTCAACATTGATGATTTCACCAGAACTCGCGACAGCGTAAGTTTGCATCTGTGGTCCTTGTTTTTTGTTCCTTGTGCCCTGTTCCCGTTGTGGTGCTGGTGTCGTTGTTTGGTGCCGCTCCTCCCTGCCCCAGCGCGTCCCTACGCGAGCCCAAATCAAAACAAAAACAACCCCGATTAGCGTATCCTTTTGGGGCCCCCACCGGCCGTCCTGTTTTCCCCGCCATTCCCCTATCCCTTTACCCCATAACAACGGCGACTC